CTGGAGAGCGGCGCTCATATCTTTTTCAGTAAAAGAAGGCATTCTGAATTGATTGGCGTTAGTTTGAAATTAATTGGAATTAAATTGGTAGAGTTGTGACTGTTTAAAGTATATATAAATTGGGTGGCTGGGTTAAAAGTGAGGTGGCCGGTCTGTGGGGGTGGCCAGTCTTTGGGTGACGGACGTTACCACATCACGTTTTAGGTCACATGATGCTGAAAGCTGGCCGAATGTTCGGCTCCGAAATCTCTCTCCTCCGCGCCGTTGCCTCATGGTTTCACTCACAACACCAACTGGGTGACTCCTTTGAGCTAGAATTCTCCGAAAGAGGCCTACCATCGGCACGGGAATGGACAGGGTAGACTAAGAATCAACGATTGAAGCGAATGAACCAGAACCGGCATCGGCATCGGCGAGAGCCAGGGCAATCATGGCATGGTTATCATCATCTGGATCTCATGCGATCAAATCTGGGCTGTCCTGTCAATCTGGGCCAGAACCTAGAACGTGACTAGAAACGACATGGGCATATGCATTTTGGGGTAAGCATGAGAGCCTCGTGAGTGGCTGAACGAGTATCATATCATGGCAAACCCTGGTAATATTCGCAATCCAGGCTCACGAATGCAACCACTTGCTCTTCGCCGTTCCCCGGAAACAGCGCAGGTCATTGCTTCCTTTGGGATCCAGAAATTCTGAAATTCTTTTTGGGGATCCTTCAGAATCAGTCGATAACGACGAAGTGTTGACGGGAGAAACAGGGTGTTGGTAAGGGTGTGCCAATTGACCAATCGCCAGCGTCACCGGTCCCCGCCGACCAAATCAGAATCGCACCACAACCGCACTCGACGCCCTAGAAATCGTGCCATGCACCTCTGGGCTGTTGTGCTGACTGATAGTTTACGGTGAAAAATGATTGGCCAGCTGTCAAAACACCCTCTAATACCCCAGGATCCAGGTCTCTACAGTGGCATGATGGTCGCCAAACCAGATGAAATCTGACCACAATGGATGTATCCGGCTGCACGGGTTCTGGGAGGTCGCCGTTTGAAGGAATCCTTGACCAAATTTGTGATCTTTAGTGAAAAAGATCGGCATCTCAATTCTGTATAAGAGGATGTCATCTACCGTTCCCAAAGATAGTCTCTTCTCTCATCATCATCAGCATCATCAGAGCAATAACAACTCCCCACTCAACAAACATCTTCACCACTCAATTCAATTCTTTGAGTATATTACTACTGGGTTTCCTCTAAGGACAACTTGAAATCGATTCATCTCAAAAACAACTCAACTCAACCAACCACTTACACCAACCCGACTCCTTAAAATCAATCAAACATGTCTCCCATCGTTGTTCGATCTGCCGCCCGCGCTGTTCAGCGCCGCCAATTCTCTCTCCTCACTGCTATGCGAAACGCTGGCCGAGCCATGGAGTCTCACCCATTCGAGCGTCTTCCCATCACTCAGCAGCCCGCTAAGCCCGACTACGCCAAGATGTTCAAGCGAGTTGGAAGCCAAGCTCTCTTGTAAGTTGCTCTGTCACCCAAGACTTTGCCAATATCAACTAACAATCTCTCAGCTTCTTCCCTGGCTTCGCTGTCATCCTCGGCTGGCCCCTCGCTGCCCAGTATGCCTTCGACGGTAGACTGTAAAGGATAGATATACAGAAACACCCAATCTGTTGGATAGACTTCGACTGAGCAAGACTCGACGGTACCACTACTCGATAAACACATGCACGCATGGATACCTGGATATTGGGACCAATTGTTGTGACAATGCACAGTCACTGGTAAATAGCATGGAAAGGCGTTGAGGTGCATTGCAGGAAGGGTGCTTAAAGCAACCCATCTACGACTACATATGATAAATTTCTAGAACTATATAATTCCATATGTTATAACTTCAAAGCTTCTTTCTCTTGTGATTACTGTACATTACCTCCAATATTCGCTTTTCATCCTAAACACCCCGCTTGATATTCAGGTTACATCACATACACTAATCATCCCCAGGCATCAACGATATGGGGTACTTTAGCGATCGCTATCCTTGAGAGCTCTATCTTAAATGGAACGACTCCCTGGCAATATCTCATGAACCTTCCAAATACGCCGAGTTATACTCCGAATTATACTCCTCAACAGATTTATGACATGACCGCTTCTACACATTCTTTGAACCTGTCAGCCGTCCTACAATAAAAGCAGCTACTAGAAGACTAGGTACGCCGACGCCGACACTGATACCAACTCCTCTATTTCTTCGATTCTCTTCGACTTTCCCCACTAACCTATATTACGATGCGTTTCAAGATATGGCACCACGTCATTGTCCATAACTATCACGTGTTGGGGTTTGTCCATCGAATATTCCTGGTTTCATAGAACTAGTCTCTTCAGACATCGCACGATTCTCAATGCTGTCTCTGATATAGGCAAGAAAACTTCTAAATTCTATCCTAAGTAACAAAAACATTTAGGTAAACTTAGTAAACTTAGGCAAATTTAGTATAGACTTAGTAGGCCTTTAGACTAGTATATACTCTAAATTAGCTCTCCATCACCATCTTCGACAAGGTCGTCATCCTCTTCCCAGTCAACCTGGGCAGCCATCTCCTCTGCTCTTCGCTGAACTTCGGCCAGACCCGATAGCTCTGCCACGTAGTCCTTCTCTTGCAGTGCTTTCTTTACAAAACCCCATCCATCATTGCGGTAGGCATCAAGAATCTTGGGGCTGCATGCGCTGCAGCAGTCGTAAGATTGACCGCGGATAACAATGTTCTGAAATGTCGACACATAGCCCCTTATCTGATGCGGAACCAACCCCAGAGGATGCTCAGGTGGGTCTCGCTCTGGAACCACTCCAGGAGTTGGCTGTGGTGCTGGTGCATCTTTACCCAGTGGATGTTGTAACAAGCTTGTCAGAAGTTCGACAAGAAGGGCAGACGCAATCGCTGCAACACCGGGTCGAGTAACAGTACATTGCTGGTCCAGGGTCTGGTCCTTTTGAGACTAAACGAATGTTAGATACGGTCTAGAAAGTAGAAATGGAAACTTACATCAGCTGGGGCCACGACGTCGTTGCAGAAATAGCAGCCAAGCGGTGTCTGCCCCTCGGCATGGCTTTCAGAACCATGCCGCATAACAACATACGAATCGAAACCCAGGGCGGCGTTCATGACAATCTTTCCTTTGGCCTTTCCCATGACCGTTGGCAGCCATCGTGACTCTCTTGAATCCATGAGGAGGAAAATGGCATCGTGTTCGTCGATAAGCTTCTCCAGCTTTTCGTATTCCTCCCTTGTCTTCGACTCGTCTATATAAGGGTGACCGAGCATAGGAACGAACAGCCTGTGTCCTTCACTATCTATCCCTGGGTAGATTTCTTTCAATGCTTCAGCAGCTCGATGTGCTTTTGGTTTTCCTCCTTCAAGACAGTCTTGGAAGTTGAACAGTGGCTGTCGGACAGGGTTGGAAAATGACACTCGCCCATAATCCACAAACGTTATCTTCCGGACGCCCCAACCCATAAGGTTTCTTGAGACATAACTTCCCAGCGTACCAGCGCCAAGTAGCAGGCACTTCGTGTTCTTAATAGCATCTAAGTCGAGTTCAGGGGCGATCCTCCATTTCATGAGCTTTAAGTTCAGGTCGACAGAGCCGTCAGCTTGTCGTGCAGGATCCATATACTCTCCTAGGTTGACTTGTTGTGCCTGGAGTTTGCCGTTACTCGACCGTGCCCAGCCAGTAACCTTGGGCATTTCAGTGATCTCTAAGTTCTCGACTGGATCCATCTCGATTGGAAGAATGACACTGCGGGCTTCGTGTCTCTTTGCCTGGATATCTCTGTAGCAGATTACTTTGGTCTTTGTCAGATGAAACCTTTGTCGGATAAGGACCAGGAAATTTCTCAGGGGCCATCCAGGACCTTCTGGGTACGTCGAAGGGTCAACAAACGCAACATAGCGGTCTTCCTCAGCCACCTGGTCGAAGAAACCATTCTCAAACTCTCGCAGCGAGGCAACTTCCCATCGAAAAGGAAGTCCCTGGGAAGAATCCGGATCATCCGTATCCTGAACTTCACCGTGTACCTTCTTGACCAAAAAGAAGCCATGCTCGCGGGAGTCGACACTGTACCTCCAAGTTCCTACCCTGTCAACAAGTGCCGTGCTCTCCTTGGAGTTGAGCCGTTCGGCTGGACCGGATCGCTTCCACGAAGGATCAGAGTGCAGAGCAGGGAAAGCGAACCAGTACGTAAACTTGTACTTTTTCAGGTCCGCGTATGAAAGTATGATGAATGACGAGAGCAGGGATGGAACAGAGTAGATACTACCATCTTTGATCGCATCCCAGATCTAGAGTTGTCAGCGGTGCTCCAGTCTCGGTGGGCTCATAAATACCTGTCGGCCCGCAGTCTTGAGCATAGCAGGTTTGTCTGTATTCTTGAAATCCTCGAGTGTATTGACGTTCCTAATGATTCCCTCGGCCCTCATTGTCCCAAGAGGGGGACTGGGCGCATTAGTTCTGCCATAGTCAGAGAAGGACTGTGCATAAATCAAACAGCGGACCTACCTGCTGCTCGTGAGGGCATTTCCTAATATCTGCATGCGGCAGCTGGACTCTGGTTCTTCCAAGCGGGGTTCATAGAGGCCAAGAATGCTCCGCGCTGAGTCGTCGAGCTTGTCATGCTCAAGCTTTGAGCCAAAGAGCGCCGAGTAGAACGACAGCTCGATCTCTGAGATGAACGGGGCAAATTGCAAAGGGGCCGCCATCGTGATTAGAGGCTCGCTTCCAACACTGATCCGACTGCGGTTGTTGCTAAACCGTGACGACTTTCGCCTGCTTAGTATTTGCGGAAAGTAGCCTTTTGGGTGGGATGAAGGGGAGGAAGGTTCGGTCCAGCTGCTGAGAGCAGGTATTGTACTGCTTTGTTACGGCAGCAACTGCGTCCCTGAGGCAGATAAACCTTATGGTTTTTGAGCGCTATTATGTCGGCCTGTTGTAGGGCTGTCACTGTTTACACTACTGTTCTTTAAAGCTCAAAAAGCTTTTGTATGGTTAAAGGTTGGATACAGTTCGCAGATTCGATATGTTGGTCCTGTTCAAGAGCCAGTTGCTTTCCTCGTCGCTACTGTAGTCGGATAAGGTAAACAAATTGCCAAAGCGATACTGTTTTAATTTTTTGGCTGTTAAAAGTGTCTTCTCGAGGGCTCATGACCTGTTATAGCTGGAATATAAGGTCATCGTTGTGTGTATTCCGTGATCTTATGAAGGGTTCACCTGAACGGATAAGATGACCGTCACTGGTGATCATGGATGTGGAGCTCCGCCTTAGGTCATAGGCAGGCGCCAGGGAGCAAGAAAACTTAGGACCTCTATTCTAAGTGATAAAAATATTTAGGCAGATTCAGTGCAGACTTAGGAAGCCTTTAGATCAGTTTTTTTATCACTTGGGATAAATGTCCTAAGTTTTCCTGCCTCCCCTTAGCCCCACCGCGGGGTACTGGGCATGCACCTGCCTCCCGTCACGCAGCCTAACTTACCTATCGGACCAGGCCTTATCGCCATTTCAGAGGTCCCTCACAGTGTATATGTCGTTATAGGGTAAGCAAAAGCCCTTGATGTTGGTGGCTGCGATGTGGCCCTCGTGCATGCAAGTCCGAATGCCTATGTAAAATAAAAAAGGACATCCCAGTATTAATAGTCTTCTACATTGTGTTTCTTATTATATCGTCATAATAGAGTCATGCTCATGTCTATTTAAAGCGTTGTCATATCCATACCTCAGATCGACGCTATGGATGTCATCCCGTTGAAGATTTCCCAGCTACATTGATAGAAAGTTGCTGACCGAAAGCAACTACATATCACCGTCAGTAATCCAGCTTCAAATTTTACCGAGAAAAGGGGATCGATATTGCAATCCCCATTATTCCCGTTCATCATAAACAATGACCCTTAAGACTCATTTACCATCACCTCAGCTACAGGAGAAACACGTTCTTCACAACCGCAAACTCGGTATATCGGAAGTTATCAAGCATACACCCGTTCAGATTTATTTCCACCATTCACTTGAAGAATGTGACCTTTATCTTGAGGACGCCATTTCATTAACGAGAGATTTGTGTCTGAAACATTCAAGGGTTCAAGCTTTCTCGGGACTGCTGGAATGTGCGCTTTGATCATAACTCACAGCATCTATATATATGAAGTGTCTAACTAGATCGAGATTTGTATGATAACTCGTAAGATGGAGAAACATACTTGTCAACTTGTCGGCCGCTTTCAAAGTCGAGTTTGCGACACTTTTCAAAGGGTTCTGTAGACATTCTAGAACACCAACGGTCACGGCTGCGAACAGTGCACCCCCACACTCTGCGACGCGCTTAGAATAGTCGCCGTACGCGTTAAATGACCATACGAAAATATCAACGTGAGGCATGATACATCACCCAAAGCCTGTTCCTGACTTTACCTCCACAAACATCAGAACAAAACCACAGCATCGAACCACAACATGCTCATCGGCGTCTGCGGCAGTAAGAACATATCGCAAACTTCCCAAGTCAAGTCATAAACTCACAACGTTCAGGTATTTGCTCCGGCAAAAAGACGGTGGCCCAATATCTCGTTGAGCATCATGGATTCAAACTCCTCCATCTACAGCCACACTCGCAGCCAAGGCCGTCCAATTCCTCGCTTGGAGCCGAATCCGCATCACCCGAGGAACACGGTGCAGAGTCTCCATCACAGTCTACCGACTCAACAGCTTTCACAGGCGCTCTGACCTCAACAGCGCTCACCACCAAGAATGGTTACCAGTCTTCTTCTGAAACCACGCTGACTCTCCGGGATGGTCCGCAACACGTGTTTTCCACAGCTGAGGAACTCCTCGACTTTGTGACGAAACGCTGGCGTAGCCGCTTTGTCACTACCGACATTCCCACCGAGGCCGTTCTAGACGTCTTTCTTCGTCGACCTTTCTTCTTACTGCTCTCCGTCGATGCGCCATTGACGGTCCGCTGGCGACGGTTCCAGGACCGCGCGAGGCAGAGGCATGCAGGAGAGCCTGACATGAGTCTAGAAGACTTTGTCACAGAGAGCGATACCCACCTATACGATGCAGAGAAAGGCCTCTCACCCCTTATCTCGCGTGCTGTTGTGAGACTTCTCAACACATCATCCTCTCTAGCGCACCTCTATGCTACCCTTGGCAAGCTGGACATCCCAAATCCTGATCGTCTTCGCCCTTGCTGGGACACTTACTTTATGGAATTGGCATCCCTTGCTGCACAACGCTCCAACTGTATGAAGCGTAGGGTCGGATGTGTTCTTGTTGGCAAAGAACGCAGGGTCATTAGCACCGGTTATAATGGGACTCCAAGGGGACTACAGAATTGCACTGAAGGAGGCTGTCCAAGGTGCAATGACGGCAACAGCTCCGGAGTGGGCTTATCGACTTGCCTGTGTATCCATGCCGAAGAGAACGCGCTTTTGGAAGCGGGACGAGAAAGAATACGCGAGGGTTCTGTCCTATACTGCGACACGTGTCCCTGCCTCACATGCAGTATCAAAATCTGCCAGGTGGGTATTAGCGAGGTTGTCTACGCCCATACGTACAGCATGGACAACGACACAGCCCGGGTGTTTAGGGAGGCTGGCGTGAGGCTGAGACAGTTCATACCAGTGAGTACATGAACCCTCCCTTCGAGTCCAGATCTGGACGAAATTCTGTCATTCACTAGTGCTTTTTGAGAGTTTGATACTGACTCAGATCTAGCCGCCTAATGGTCTGATTCATCTCGAGAAGATGGAACTTTATTAGATCTTCGGTATCTCGGCCGTCTCACTATGATCCCCTGCTATGCCTTTGTGGGGAATCTTGAGAGTGACGCTGGATTTTGCCCAGAATGTGGCTTATTGAAGCAGAACACGATGCTGGAATTGCTTCGCCAAGATTTGATGCCAGAAGACTACGTGCTCAGGATCACCCACTTCAGTTGGCATGCAAAATTCGCTCATCTCGATCCTCCCTCGCGAGGAGGTGCATATGAGACTTTAGTCAAAGGCTGAAGTTGACCTGCAAAGTTACTGTACCCCTCGCTGACTCCCTTGCCAATGTGGTGTCCAATTGTCCAATCAAATAGTATATGCTACACTCTCTCATGCAGTCCCGAGTCCACTTGAAGCATTGCATCGCTGCACCGAAACCTCACAGACGGAAGCAGGCAAGCAGACGGCCCGTCGAGATGCGTTTTGCATTGCCAGCGTGGCCCGTTATTGAGGCCAGCAGGTTTCTAAGCCCCAATGACGCCGAACTCCAGAACACTATAGGGTAGTCATAGCCCACTTGGCCGCAGTTATGGTAAGACGAGAATGAAGCCACTTTGCGTCATGGCGTTTGTCTGTGTCTTCCGTTTCGGATAACGGTGCGCTTGGGTTCAAGTTGGTTCTGTTCTCGACGGTCTCTTATGCAAGACTATCATTTTAACGCACATGAATAAATTCAATATCTGCATCCTTTATCCGAGCGCTTAATTTCGACTACATGCTAATTAAAGTCATGCAACTTTTCGTGGATGTGTAGGCTGTAACTAATTAAACTCTTGCTTGGTTTCATCACACTTGAACACATTGTGCGTTTGCATCGCAACAACAGGACAACGGCTACCATCTGCGGGAAACAGCTTGCGAATAGGGGCTCAGGAGTATGTTAAAGTTGGTGAAGCTGCACTGAAAGTTGTAGACCGCTGCCGCCAGAGGCCACTTACACGGCCCTTATAATATGAACTGCATAGGGGTTCATTTCACAGAGCCGCAGACTTGTGCGGTGTGCTTCAACGGCGTGCTAGCTGCAGCGATGTCCCATAGAATATGCAACCAAGTCAGGCGGTCAACAAAGTTGGCACTGATGTTGTGCACAGCCAGTTGCATCCCCTGTCTAGTGTAAAATATGCGAGCGCGGGGGATGCATGCGAGTGAATTGAGTTGAGCTGATCTGTTGGATGTGAACAATGAAGGACCTTTCATTATGTTAGTGCAAGTGACGATGATGCTCCATGTAAGTCGATATATGAGTTGATCTAAAACTTCCGATCAAGAAGCACGGAGCAGCAACGGTAGAAGCAATGCCGATTGATGGTCTTGATTGGCAGTTGATTAGATGGACGACATGCTAGGGGCTTCAAATCTCAAAAGTACGATGCGTAGCTTTTCGATTTGATGCGCTTTGTGGTCCCTCTGGCCGAGGCCCCAAGCTTATGAGCAGGGCTTTTGTGCCTCTTCTCGTCCACACGCAGGCCCAACAACTGACGAGCGCACATAATTGAATTGTTAGCGCAGTGCCCTCTCGCATATAGCGGGGGCCACCCCGGACTCACTCATAAGAAGCGAGATGACATGGGCTGGTCGGCATAAAGAGCACAATTAAAGCTCAAATTACCACCGTCAGCTAGTGGGGGAGTGCACAAGAGGATAGGGGAAGCAAATCGTTTGTTTGTTTTGATCAGAACGGGAAGATTTCCTGCGCGTCATGAGAGGGGCCGGCGTATCGGGATGTAGGTCAGGACATGGTTGACACTGATGCTGATGCTAGCCTCGAGGTCCTGTGCCCGATGCGATGAGCTGGCCTGGCGTGGTATGGCCATGCCATGGCTGCTACTGATTCTGCTGGTGGAGGCAGAGACGGCCTGAATAAGAGGGCCACTGGGCGGCTGTTAGAAGGAGAGAAGACTCCTCATTGGAAGTGGCTGGTATGAGGAACTCGCTGGTTAACGAAAACTAAGTTGTGCTGTACCCATTGACTAGCCAGGGTTGACGTTGTCTCTGTTGTACACGCTGTACAACACAACTCACTCACTTGTTCGAGGTAGCCCAGTCCTGTACGAGGCAAGTGATGGGACCCGGGATAGAGCATGCCCACCAGCAAGTGACGGCGACGATCATGACGCTGAATGGTCTGAAGGGGACGGGAGCCAGCGAACGGGTGGGCTCTAGACACGGCCCCAACGCCCCGTCCCAATCGTATCTTGCTTTGGACTCGCTGCAACCTGCGAGTGCCAGTGCAAGTGCCCGTGCTGCGACCTTCGATCTATCTTGGGACAGTTACTCCAGCGTCTAAGTAGATGCTGCTGTCCTACAACACCTGCGACCTCTAGACTGACCAGCAGAAGCGCTCATCTTTTTTGCTCCATCGAGAATAGACCTCATGCCATTCCACCAGAATTCCATGCCATGTTAGAGGCGATCTTCAGTCCAACGGGCGCCATCCCATGCCAACTGCCAGTGCCATGGGATCTCCCCTGGCTGGGAAGAACAGAGAAGTCCCTGGGCCTGAGGGGAGGTCTCAGGGGTGAGGTGGCTTGCCATGGCTTGAGGAGCGTCTGAAGGACGGGAATACCCCTGAGCACTGGTGCTGAGAGGCGCCCAGTGGGGTATTGACGAACCAGGGCTTTGGATGTCCGACTTACATGTCAGTCTCTTGAATAAGATTTCCACATGAACTTTGGTGTTGATAGAGGCCATTTCAACCTGGAAAATGTGAGCAAGAAAGAGCCAGACTCTCTTCACAAGTGGGTAATTCCTATTGTATCTGTATCCGTATACCTCTTTCATCTCGTAGACGGAGAAGAGATGCTGGTCAGTCTGAGGTTTGAGGTTGGCTTCAGGAACCACTCCAGACTCTACCCATGGACATCGTGGTCCTCACTTACAAGAGTCCTAGCGCAACAGGCATCAAGGCTCAACAAGTTCACAGGAACATTCAGTCACAGACAACGTGATTTTCCCTGACGATCAACGATCGTCGTTATTCAATAAGTCGGTTGTCCTACCTACGGGTGACGAGGAGGAAACATTAAGACATAGAGAGAGAATCTTTGGATATGACGAAGCCACGAAGGAATGTGATTGTTCCGATGAACGTGCCATCATCGATGAGACAGAGAGATCAGTGCTACTCTACCTGTAGAGTAGAGTAGCAATCAGTAGCTCAGAGGCTTGAGATGGAACATGGATGGGCCATGAGCGGGTTGAGTTACGGGGGCCAGCTCCCGGCGCCATCCTTGAAGGAAGCCACTCGCTAACAGGGCCAGCCTGGAGGGTGTGTTAGCGAGTTGATGTTTGTCTGTTGTTGCACCCCTGGCTTTTGTTTGGAGAAACGCGTCTTTTCGTGTGTCACTATTCCCCTTTAGGTAAACGTGTAAACAAATGCGTCACTTGTCGCGCGCCTCTACCCCAGCTTGTTGTTTTCCAGCCTCTTTAATGTGACGAAGAGATTTTTGATGGTAGAGTACGAGTACGGATACACCAAACTGAATTTGCCTCCCTGGTGCAAAGTACGCGCGTTGTTTTCCTGTTATAATATTGACTGCTCTAGTGATTCTCCCGTTCCTCATCAATCGATATATTGATATTGGTTGAAGACGGGAGGCTTGTAGACAACTGTAAACCCCCACTAACTTAACTTGAGCTGCCTGCCATTTTTACGGGGCGTGCACCAAATCGTTAGCCTCCAGCGCCAACACGCGCCATCCCTGGGCTCCCACGCTCCCTATCCCCATCCATCTATAGCGGACCCTCTCTTCCAACCACTCCAGGCGGTCTTGTCCATCCTCTTTCTTGCGCGCCCGCCCTTCCCTCTCATCCCATCCTGTCCTATTTCTCACTAGTATTTTGTCACACCCTCTGGGTCTTTTTTACTTGCAAGTCAACTCTCGTCTGCACCAACTTTCCAACACAGACACCAAGAAAGCCCAGACGAGTGCATACCAGCCTGACTTGCCACTACCATTCGTTGTCCTTTCGACCTGATATTCTGAGTCACCAGACCCCAGTTGGAGTATCCACGTTCTGCCCTGAGGAAGGGTTCTTGGGTTTCAACGCAGCCACACGAGGGGTATTGTACACGACGGGGCAGCATAGTATTATTGCTCTGAACTCTGCTGGTTGTGGATTCAAACAAACCACAAAAACAAAGACTGGATGAGCAAGAGCAAAGTAAAGCAGAGACAAGACCGGACGACAACTGCAGGGACAATTTGCTTTTCATTAGCCTCTTCTTTACAACTTCTTAGTTTGTGTCAGGATCAGTAGCCCATGCCCGTTCACGAGCGCCATGGTCCAACTGCCACACCCTAACTACTAGTTCACCTACCTAACTCTCTTGTCTTCCCGTTCGCCTCTTCAACCCGCCCACCCCCAACCCGGACGTCCATCTTCTACGAAACACGACACCACCACCACCTGCAGCACGACTACTCCTACAACTGCTTAGCAGTTCCAACTTCTACCAACTTTCCTCCTCTACTCAACCTCACTTTTTCTTTTGTCGACAATCACTCATATTTGCTCAACCCTCAACGCGAACTCACGTCGACCCACTCTTATCTAAGGTATCTATCTAGCTGCCTTGTCGACGACATCACCATTCGGGCACTTAAACGGAAGCCTACACTCAACGCACTTCTGCCTTCTGCCTCCTCACTTTAGTGTCTGATTTACCTTCAGTTGTCGAGTCATGATATGACCTTCGACATCCGAGTGAGACTGGCATAGCTTTTTGCGATTTGTTGGGCATCGCGTCGAGCTGCTTCTCACATCTTCGACTTGGCCATTTCACGCAACACCGTTAACGGCTTGCACATTTGGCTCACCAACGTCCGCAACCTTTATTTCTCCCTACTGCATTCTTCACCGGTCACTGTATCTCGCACCAGCAATAATATCGATAAGGCCTAGTTATTCAACTGTTTATATCCATTAGCCTTACTGCGTCATCTGCTCGCGCATTACCGAAGCGCGCAGCACTTCACAACCTCACAATGTCCTTCTCGAACAGCAGCGGTGGCACACTCGCCCTACCATCACCAACCCACGCCCACCACATCGACGTCACATCGGCAGTTCGCACTCTCCGGCGCTCTATTTCACGATCACCTTCCAAGTTCTTGACGCGCTCCAACTCCCAAAACTCGCTGAGCCCCGAAAGCCCCCACCAAACCTCACCTCAATCGCCTTGTCGTCGATTTGGCGCAACACCGCAAAATCAACAACTTCTACCGTCCCACACTCGCTCAGCACCTCCTCACATCAACGGTGCCCCGCATTCAACCGCCTTTACACCTTTCCGCCCCAGCGTTAGGCTTTCGTTGCGTTCCGCCAAGGCCGGTAAGACATCGCCCTCGAGACCGTTGACACGAGCACGCGCATCTCCCAAGAGCCCTCTGAAGAGGGCACTCAACATGGCTCCCGATAGCGGCAACTCACTACCTGCGATACCTTTGGCTTCGGTTATTGATGCATCAGGGCAAGAGAACAACGCTCTGGGAGCTACAAGCCCCATCTCTGTCAGTCCCGTCAAGCGGCGCAGCCTCACTCTCGACGTCGCTGAATCTTCGCCGACATCATTTCTCAAGTCTCTTGATTCCAACAATGATGGCCAGATGGTCACAAACAACGGGTCATTAAAGCGCAGCGACGCAACCATGAATCTGGACCAACCGAGCCAGGGAAGCCCGGTGGCTAAGCGACGGAGCTTGCATGGAATATCGGGGCTGGGCCAGAACGAGGACCAAAATATCTTTGGCGCCAACACGACATCTTCACAGAGCTTCTATATACATGAAGACTCATCTACCGAGTATGAGATTGCGGGTACTAGCGGATCACCGTTCCGCGATCCTGTTCCCTCACCAACACCTGCGACGACAAATGTTCCTAAGAGGTCATCGTCCCTACGTAAGTCAACTCTACAACAAAGATATGGGGAGCGAGGATCTTGGGGAAGACGATCCGGTGAACGACAGCTGGCTCAGATGAGCTCCGAATATTCTCCTGTCCGAAGTCGACCTCGCCTTTCTCTGGACCAATTTGTTCCTCCTCCCGTGCCTCAAGAGAGTCCCTTTGTTTCTACAACGCCGACCTCGAAACCACCACCCACTACTTTCTTTGGCGACAAGGCCCATCAACCACATCCTCTATCGAAGACACTGACGACATCGTCTTCAGGAAACAGCCTAACCGAGGAAGCACCTATTTATGCTCCCGTGGCCCGGATGCCAGATCGACCCAGACCTCACCTTTTCTCACGATCTCTACCTCTCAATGCGACACGACCTACTCGCCCAAATGATATGTCCAAGGCCATGGCGACACCCAGCAACTCGCAGCTGTGGGTGGGCGCTTTCAACTCTACTGGACTTATTTCCAAGGTCAACCGAAACCCCGAAGAGGATGCCGACAAGAAGATGGCCCCTCCCGATACACCATGCAAGAAGCACTCTAACCCGTTCGCTACTTTCCCTCCACCGGCCGGGAGTGCCATGAAGAAGAGGGGTAACAACCGGAATTCTTTTGGCGGTCTCCCTTCCACCCCATTTGGTAACAGCACAGGTCCCAACAGTTTTGGTAGGCCAGGAAAGGGCATGTCGATATTCCAGCGTGGCAGTGCTTCTAGGAGTGCACGTCGCGGTAGTGTCCTTAGCCTGGATGGTGACGAGCACAAGCTCTTTGGTGAAACGATTGACTTTTCGACACCCATGGAAGGCGACGCTCCTCCTACTCCAACCAAGAACACTTTGACTCCCAGCCTTAGCAAGGTCAGCGAGTACTCATTTGAGAGTCCCCATGATAACCATAGCCCAACTGCCAACCGAACATTACACTCTACTACTCCGGTCCTCGGCACCTCTATCCCTCGAGAAGCAACTTGTAAGTCGGAAGTCCCAACAACGGACGGACCAGCTGGAACAGTCGACAATTCAAGTCGGCTTACCGATGCTGGACGTCTGTATTCCCCATCTTCGCATCTGCCTCTATCTTCGTTTGGCCGTTCCAGGGCTCGACGAGGATTACACTCTCCTTCTCCACTAAGCACAGTTTCTTTGAGTCATCCCCTCAGTTCTCCTCATGAGACATTTACTAAATCGAAACTCTGTGAATCAGCCAGCCCCCTTGATGGACGACGAACACCGCAAACGCCACGTGAGAGTTTGCTGCCTCTCGACACCAGCCGATTGTCTATTTCTCAGATTGGCGATGGCTTCTCTGATAACATGCCACCTCCCGTCACCCCAACAGCAGGACGGGACTTGCGATCATCTACCAGCCTCCTTGTTACTCCTGTGAACGCCCGTACTAGTAACATTGACATTGACGCAAGCCTATCCTCCCGATTTGACAAAGTGGAGCAGATTGGAAAGGGTGAATTCTCTGTCGTCTATCGTGTCACTCAGGCGGACCATCAAATGACATTTGGCAACCTCAGTACAACCCCGACAACAAGCCCCACCAAGGGTAGAGTCTATGCTGTAAAGAAGAGCAAGCATGCGTTTCAGGGACCAAAGGACCGGGATACGAAGGTCCGAGAGGCCGAGATCTTGAGGACTCTTAGCTTCTCTGAGCATGTGGTCCAGTACTTCGATCATTGGGACTACAATAACCATCTCTATATCCAAACAGAGTACTGCGAAGAGGGTACCCTCGACAAGTTCCTGGGCACTGTTGGACGAGGTGGACGACTAGATGACTTTCGCATCTTCAAGATCCTCCAGGACCTGTGCTTGGTAAGTTATAAACCACTTCGCTGCTCTGTACGTACTAACATTTCTATAGGGCCTGAAGGATATCCATGATTCAGGTTTCATGCACCTGGATCTCAAGCCGGCCAACATTCTTGTTACGTTCGAAGGTGTTCTCAAGATTGGTGACTTCGGCCTAGCCCAATCCTGTTCATCTGCCGAAGGCGTGGACGTTGAGGGCGATCGTGAGTACATGGCCCCTGAGATGCTCAAGGGCAAATCCTGCCAGTCCGCCGACGTCTTCTCTCTTGGCCTCATCATTCTTGAGACAGCCGCCAACGTTGTCCTACCTGACAACGGACCGACGTGGATCGCCCTCCGCTCTGGAGATCTTTCCGAAGTGCCAAGTCTCACCTGGAATCCCTCTATTGAGGTCCAGCGAGATGCCACTGGTAACCCTACCGAGATAATGCATAGCGATGATTTCACAAGTGGCAAGACCCACGACCCAAGCAACTTGTTTGGCCCATCCAAGCGATCGGAACTACTTCAACCTCCCGAGTTTATGGTTAATGCCACCCACAGCAGTTCTCTCGATTTGATTGTACGATGGATGACAGCTCAAGAACCCAGTGAGCGACCAACTGTGCATCAGGTTCTGGAACTTGAGGGCCTGCAGTGGGTTGGCCATCACCGCGCCGCACCGGCAACTGTTTATGAAGGAAACTGGGGACCCGATGAGGAGTTGATCCCTATTTCCATCGCAGAGGGTGGTGACAGTGACACAGAGATGACCGACGTCTAGAGGGAATTACCTGGTTGCATTTCACTCTGGATAGCACTGGAGGTCTACTGAGAAGGAGCTTTTTGCGATTTCTATAAGGGAAACACGCCTGAATGATGTTGGAGAACCTGGCTCGAACTAGGATCATAGCACTCACGACCAGGAGGAATTATGTGCTCTGACGACATCTACATTATTTGCTACTACGACACGACACGAATACCACGAGGAATGGAAGCCATTAGCGGGAGATTTATTCCCATGGCGTTTTGTTGAGTTCTTTATTCAACCTTTGATTCGGAGGCTGTCGCTACCAGGCACGCCACGACTGTTCCCCGAACCGACCATTTTTTTCATTTGTCAACTTTTCTTTGTACGCCACAGGGAGCGAGAGCACGATTTGAAGAATGTGCCCCTCTTAGGAAGATGGCTTGAATATTTTGCGTCTCAACAGCGAGACTGCGTGTACAAAATACCCCGGAAAGCATTAGACATGCTGTGGCTACAGCGCATATTGGGTGGGAGTAATAATCAAAAGTTCCGGCAAACCTCTGCAGGATTCAGCAGAGAGGGGCAACAGCACAGGACACAGCATATGGAGGAGCCAAAAAGAGACGGCTGTCTTTAAGAAATGATTGTATCGAGTCATTGGAAGGTGCAGGGTTTGCTACATGAGACGCTGGAATATTGTAAATTATAGTAATGGCTCTTTGAGCAAGCATACAAGCAAGCATGGTGGAAGGATACTTTAGAAGCCCACTGCCGAAGCAAGGCAGAATGGGATGGATTGAAAGGCCACTGGATGGGGGAGCTTGATCTGATAGCTGCTGATGATTCTGACGACGAAATGGCATGAATATGATACGATCGATTCACAATCAACACTTCGCTTTGGCTGTGTATCAAGTTGTGTATGCGTGATATCCGAAAGCCTATGATACTGCAGCCCTTTATCATATCAGTCTATCTATAGCTCCTATGCACGCAACTGATAAATATGGAAATCTACGTAATACATCTCATGTTACGCCAACGCCCTCCAATAACTGCCGTCTAAGGCGGGGTTTACTAAGACGAATTCACATTCGATACATAACCCGCCAGCCTTTCAACTTACATCTCCGCAACTTACCTCAAACTTATATCTAGTCTCACATCAGCACCCACATATACACTAAACACACCTCAGCTAAACAATGACAATCCCCACGCTACTACCAGGGCAGGCTGGACTGCCTAGCATTGAGAGCACAAAATCGTACTGGCATCGCAAACCCTCTGAGAAGCTCCTCGGGCATCGCACCACAGCAGAGCTCCCTTCCACGGCTGATGTTGTGGTCGTTGGCAGTGGTATCACCGGGGCATTTGCAGCGAGAGAGCTTGTTAAAGGGGGCTGTAAGAATGTGGTGCTCCTCGAGGCAAGAGAGGCCTGTTGGGGAGCTACAGGAAGAGTGAGTTAAGTCTACTGAGAGTCTTTTATACGGGTTTACTGATTGTCATCAGAATGGTGGTCATTGCCAGCCCCTTATTTACGCCGCCAAAGCTCCAGTCGCTCAATTTGAACTTGATACCTTCAACTTCCTAAAGGACCTTGTATCAGAGCACAATATCCCTTGTGACTGGGAGACGGTCGGAGGTGTGCACCGCGTTCCTTCACAAGAAATCCTCGACATCGTGACCCGGCATCTAGACCGTCTAAAGAAAACCAATCCTGATCTTGCGGACGACATCAAGGTTATAACAGATCAGGAGCAGCTGAAGAAGCTGCGAGTTTCAGGGGCATCTGCTGCCATATACCAGCCCAATGCGGCTAAGCTATGGCCGTATAAGCTTGTTAGCTGGGTTCTTGAGAGTCTCCTTGAAGCGAACGACTCAAGCGTCTTCAATCTTCAAACAAAGACGCCCGTGGAGCACATTCAGCGGATAGGTGACTCATGGGCTCTCCACACCCCTCGTGGCCAGATAGCAGCCAGGAAAGTCATCCTAGCAACTAACGCTTATACCTCACACCTTATTCCAAAGCTATCTGGGTACATAGTTCCCGTGCGTGGCCAAGTTGCTGCTCTCACCCCTTCAGACGGCAGCTCACCACTGGAGCATAGCCACGTGTGGTGGACACCAGATGGAGGAGACGACTATCTTGTCCAGAGACCTTCGGGTGAACTTATCACTGGCGGTGAGAGATTAGGCTCATCCGGTGGCCAAGTTGGACTATCGCGGGACGATTCGATCGACCCAGTTATAGCCCAGCGATTGCGTACCTCACTTCATGAGGCCGTCAAGCTAAGGGCACCAGAAGAATCCGAGGACACTTCTCTTCAAGCTACTTATGAGTGGACTGGCATCATGGGCTATTCGAAAGATGGCTATCCCTGGGTTGGCCAACTACCCGCTTCTCTAGGCGGTGAAGATAGTGGCCTCTGGCTTAGTGTTGCTTATACGGGGCATGGTATGCCAGTTGCGGCGAGATGTGGAATAGCGGTTGCCCAGGAGATATTGGGGATCGCCGATGGTGTGAAGCTGCCAGCCCAATATCGAATTGATGGAGGGCGAGTTGATAGGGCCCGAGATATGAAGATACCCTCAACACTGCTAGACGAAGTCAGGATGATGATTGGTGATGGAAACTAAAATATATGTCTCATGGCAAGGGCCATGATGAAGTCTGTGTGTGCGATTAATGGAAATAAAGTTATGCCTGGAAAAACCATGAGAGATGCTACTGTTGCTTGTTGAGACAGCCTCCCTTACACTAAGAATTTTATGCAAATGTATTGATACATGTAAACTCTGCTCAGTCTGGTCCTAGAAAGGCGAATTCTTTTGTCACCAAGCGTGACATACCTTATTTATCGACTTGCCCATACTTCACAGACCATCGCATACGTAAAGAAGTCTATGATTTGCGAAGTGATGCAATATATTAGCTTGCGCGCCTGTCGCCGCCGCTGACCTACAGCTTGGCGCGCACCTCAAGGCCGTTGCTAACTTCGCGTTTTGCTCGCTCACGAAGAGCCTTACGCAAGATCTTGCCCGACTTCGAGTGACAATATGTAAGCCTCGAACTTGCAGCGCCTCTTACTGAGAAGGATAATAGACTTACAGGAACTTTGGGAATAGCGTCGACGAAGACCACTCCCCCCTCAAGTTGTTTGTATTTGACAACACGACTAGCCAGCCAGTCTGCGATTTCTTTTTCAGATGTGTCTTTTGCGTTTGCTGATTTGACGACATAGGCTCGTGGGAGCTCCTCACCGTTGACCATGACCCCAACAACTGCAGCGTCTGCAACATCTTCTCGTTCAAGTAGGAGAGACTCGAGTTCAGCTGGAGCAACTTGCATGCCTTTAACCTTGATCAACTCCTTGACGCGATCCACGATATGAAAGAGAGATCCTTTTGCGTATTCCTCCACATATGCAACGTCCCCGGTACGAAGCCATCGAGTGCCCTCAGAGTCAGTAACAAATGCGCCTTGGGTTGCACTTGGGTTTCTCCAGTAGCCACGCATCACTGTAGGACCCGTGATCCAGAGTTCTCCTGGGGTGTTTGCAGCCGTAATTTCCTCTCCAGTTTCGATATGGATCAACCTGGCCTTGGAATCTGGCGTCAGCTCACCAGCCGCAGAGCTGGGAGCTTTGTTAGGGTCCCACGATAATGCGGTGCAGGTTGCTTCAGTCATCCCCCAACCTTGCCGTACTACTGACTCGCCCCCAGGTATCATCCCAGCTATCTCGCGTTGTGTATCCTTCGCTAATGGGGCAGCACCGGATGCAATCATGTCGATGCTACTCATGTCGGCACGGCGTGCAAGTGGGTGTTTCGACATAAGGACAAGAATAGGGGGAACGGCCAGAAGCTTCGTGATGCGAAAATTCTGAATATGTGCGAGCATCTTTGGGAAATCAAAAGAAGGCATGATATATACAGGAACTCGCTCACAAGGGAAGCTGGTGATGAAGTAGCCTTGACTAAAGGCATGATACATGGGGAGGAAACACAAGGCAGCAGCACGTTGACGGCGAGCTTCGTAGTCGGGATGGAGTTTATGGAAAAGAGTCACACCGCAGCTATTCGCAACATGATTGTAATGTGAGATCTCGACACCTTTCGGTATTCCAGTCTACTGTTATTAGCTTCGCGGCACTTATTCAGGATCAAGACAAAGTTGAAAGAATGACTTACAGTGCCTGAGCTGTAGTTGAGAGAGCAGACAGAGTCATTAGAATCATTTGGCTCAGTCCACTCGAATCTCTCGCCCTCTGGCCTGGATGCAATGAGCTCTGTCCAGTGTCGACTGCCTTCTCTAGGTTGTGTCTCAACAGGTGAATCTGGCCATGTCGAATCCAACAAAAATACTTGTGAAGCTTTCATACCAACCTGTGAGGCAGCAGCCAATGCCACTTCCATGCCACCCTCCGCGGCAACGACGAACGATGCCTCGCTATCTTGAAGTTGATGGGCCAACTCTCGAGTGGCATACCCAGGGTTAGCTCCTGTGAATATACCCCCGGCCATCCAAATGCCCATCACAATGGTCGGGAAGAATAAGCTGTTACTAGCGAAGAGGAGAACACGATCACCTGGCTTAAGACCATTGTTGATAAGACCGACGGCGATACGCTTCGCAAATAATCGAGCTTGGTTGTAGGTGAAATAACGTTGCTCAGGGTTGTCAGCATCGATGAAAGCCTTCTGATCTGGCAATGGCCCTGAAGGTGAGCCAAATATCCATTGTTGAATCGAGCAATTAGGAACCGACACCGAAAATCGCGATTCGATTGGCATGATGCGATGTTATCGACAAGTCGAGATATTGATGTTTTAAGAGAGATGGAGTTCAGAATAACCAGTCAGATAGAATTCAAGGTTGTCTTTGTTTGTAAGATGGAAAGAGGCCCAGCTCAGACGAGTTGCAATTGCCTACCAAGACTAGAAGTATCAAGCCAAGCCAAGCTAAGCTGAAAACCTCAGGAAGGAGGTGCGCCATCTACCTACCTTCTTCTGTAGTTCATTTAAGATCTGGCGCTTCCAAAGTGGCTCTAGAACTAAGGTATTAGCTGAAAGATCCTAGCTCTTAGTTAGAAACAAGGGTCTTTCACTCTGAGATCGAGACGATAGAGTTGAGCCAGGGGTCATCAACTCACGATGAAGGATGTCACCAGAAACAAATGAACTACAGATTCAATAATTACAACCGTGGCTGAATTATTGACGCGAATAGGCTTAATATTATATACACGAACAGTTTGTACATGCTGCAGTTCCTCAGCCTTTTTCAGAGAGTGATGAGGACGCTTAACTAAAATTAGCTACACTCATTCTTGGATTCCAGCCATCACAACGCCGGCTCCCTACTGTGTCCCCGCCATCTGAAACTTACGACGACAACAATCGATATCATCTCAATGGCCAGCAAATTATTGACTGGTTTTATGCGCCCAGCCCGGTGAGTTATCAACTACAGGACCAGTTGTCATCGGTAGTCCCGGGTTATGAGCCTCCAGAACCACAGCATAAAGGTGGTGATACCTCAGCACCCAATCCACCGTTGATGTCTCATCGCCAGAAGTAAGTCTCTAGCCGAGCTACACAATTGTGCTTCCCCAAATATCAAATGGGAGGCTCTGTACCAATGCGGGGTGGCAAAGTTACCTTGACTCGGGGTTTTCTTGTGGTTAAAGAAGGTTCAACAACAAAACCCTTTTAGGCTTATATTGCCCTGACCATGTACCCTTTCGTTTAACCTCTGCACGTGAAGAAGCGAGTGTAAAGCAACACTTGCGCATATAATCGAGTATGCTGCAACTCTTCGGTTGTCCCACCTGAAAGATCATGTATGAAGACAAATCTGGCAGTGGATGGCTTGAGTTTCGGTTGTTTGACGAGCATCATAGCGATCGGCGTGTTGGATCCTGCTTGTGCCATGAAAGAGAACGAATCCAATTGGATTTAGTTTCGACTTTAAGGCTCCAAAACGAATGCTGATCGTCGTTCAACAGCACTCACCTTACAGCAAGCTGGGTCATAGGCTATTGAGATTGAATCGTGATTCACAACATGCTCAGTGGTTAGGTATAACAAGAGGGATGTATGGAGATTGCGCACAAGGACAGAGGAGCATGTGGTACCACCAAATTCGCGAAACTTGTTTTCATAGCGTGTTATTTGTAAGTGTTGAAGAACAGAGGGTATGTGTTGGCAGGATAGGTTCGGTCAGCGAGGGGAGCTGCAGAACTTCTGTTAACCCAAGCCCATCAACCCCAATGGCCTTTGGTCTTTGCGAGAAAGCGATTCTCTACGGGTGTATTCGATTGAGTCACCAGTAAAAGATTAGCTTATTGTTTGCTCACGTCGGTGGCTGATTTGAGTTCTTATGTGGCTAAATCAACAATGACGATTTCAGGAGAATGTTCATCGTCGTAAGCTAACCATAAAAACATCGATGATTGAGCTTTTCTGAATTCAAGATGAGGCAGCTTGAGATAGGCAAAGTAAGGAGATGAGCTACAGGTCCACCTCCACTTACATGAAGGACGATACGTACCTCTCCATCCGGTCCACACCGGGACGGCTAAACCTTGGGTCAAACACACCAATCATCGACGTTGATTTTGCAAGCAGCTCCAACTCGAATTGCAATGCTCGCTACGACGGCGACATTTTGACAAGATCCGGAACCGACGACCTTAGAAGCCCTCCCGCCTTCGCGACGACACCCGCTCCGCTCGCTCAGGAAAAGCACCACCAAACTATTCACAATGGCGAGCAAGCTCACTCCCCTCATCCGCTCCGCCATCCGGCCGGTGTGCCGGGCTGCCCGCCCTCAGTCTCGCGCCGCCTTCTCTCTCACAGCCAGCCGACGAAGCGACACTCTCATGGTGGTAAGTAGGCCAATTGGCGCTGTCAATTGCGACCCTGGACCATAGATCATGGTAGATCTATTGGCGCGCAATTGCTAGCGATGAGAACCAACTTGTCTGACCTATGGCCGTATGACAGCATCGAAACACCGAGGACAACAACCCCGACATCCCTTTCAAGTTCAACGAGAAGAACCAGACCGTCATTGCCGAGATCCTCAAGCGATACCCTCCCCAGTACAAGAAGGCTGCTGTCATGCCTTTGCTAGACCTCGGCCAGCGCCAGCACGGCTTCACCAGCATCAGCGTCATGAACGAGGTCGCCCGTCTTCTTGAGATGCCTCCTATGCGAGTGTACGAGGTTGCCTCTTTCTACACCATGTACAACAGAACTCCCGTGGGCAAATATTTTGTTCAAATCTGCACTACGGTATGTTGTTTTCCCACATGAAGCACGCCTTTGTCGACTGCAATTGCTTCACGCTAGTCTGGCAATGACGATTAGACGTCATTGAAGATTACCGAATACTCTAAAAGCACAACCCACTAACAACGGCACCAATAGACACCTTGCCAACTTGGAGGCTGTGGATCTGATGTTATCGTCAAGGCTATTAAGGAGGAGCTCGGAATTGAGCAGGGCCAGACCACTGCTGACGGTCTCTTCACCATTCTCGAGGTCGAGTGCCTCGGTGCCTGCGTCAACGCTCCCATGATTCAGATCAACGACGACTACTATGAGGATCTCACCCCCGCCTCCGTAAAGGATCTCCTCAAGTCCCTTCGGGCCCAGGCTACTGCTTCCGACCCCTCTACTGTCAACGTCCCCAAGCCTGGTCCTCTCAGCAGCCGAGACACATGTGAGAACAGTGCTGGTCAAACAAGCCTTAACGCGGAGCCCTGGGGAACCGAGACCACAAGGGCGGACCTGTAGAATTATAACATCATTATCTCTCTTTTTTTAGTTCAATAGCAAGAAATGCAAAAAGTGTCCGGCGGGAGGAGGCTTCAACTGTACATAACATCATGTCAAATGCTTTCCCAGGTATAGAATGTGTGGATTCTCGTCAATGGCAATATGATATGCTGTGTGAAGTATTGTGTCCGCATAGGACTTTGTTTCTTCGTTCCGTTCGTTCATTTGATACAATCGCCAAAAACATGTTACGCCAAAAAGAAACACTACACCCAAACCAACTACCTGTTCAGTCCCTCATCATTTTCACCTAGGAATCGCCCACACGCAAGATCCAACCGTCCCCAAGACGCTCATTGTCCTCACCTAGACCTCCCCAGATCAAAATGCCGCTCTCCTCAAGTTCACCCATCGGGGCGCTTGCAAGCCAGCCTCTCGCCGCGGGCATCTCATCACTGTTATCATCGTCGTATGGCTCAAGATCAAGCTTTGTCCACTTGCCCTCACCTGTCTTGCGGCCAACAGCTTGCCACATGGCAGCGGTAACGCTGGCGGCCGTCATACCCAGAGGTGGAACTTGGAAGGCCCAGACATCATTCAAGAACTTGCCTGCACCTTCGTGGCCTTCTGAGCTTGGGTCACGCTCACCCATGGTCAGGACAAGATACTCATATCCAGCCCCTGAAGTGATTGCCTCCAAAGATGCGACACTTCGGGGTTCCGGCCAGATCTGAGCTGGCTCGGCGTGGATTTCAGTTGAGTCGGCATTCGGATCACTCTCAAGAATAGTTTGCCAACCACCACGTGCGCGAACAGCAACTTCACCCTTGGTGCCTCTATCGTCAAACGTTTCAACCTCGAGGTGGAGAAAGTCGAGTTGCCCTCCGAGTTCGCTTTGTCCATCAAAACCCCCGAAGCGAAACAGGCGGGTTTTGCTCACACAGATGGCACTGCCGCCTCGAGCAGGGCCTGGAGCAGCTGGAAGCTCAGTCCAAGTACGGTCATGGACGTTGAAGGCCCAAATATCATTGGCGCGCTCGCCACTGGCGAGGCATCCAGCATGAATGAAGAAGGTACCGTAGCCATCAGACTCTTCATCCACAGCATCTTCAGCAACATTACCAACAACAGGAGCTTGAGGAATGCCCGTCTTAGACGTGTCTCCGAGTGCCCACTGTCCCCAGGTCTCAGGTTCCTTGGGCCGCTTAGGAGCAAAGTCCCGGGGGCGGTCGATCGATGTGGCTGTGTGATAGCTTCGCGGAGCGGGTTGGGGCACAATTGCACCACCTGGAACGACAGGGGCAGGGTCAAGGTATGTCCATGTGTTGGAGCGGGTGTCAAAGACCCAAACACGGCCACCTTCGTTCAGGGGCCGCATGTCGGGACCTCCGCGACCACCGAAGAGAAAGATACGGGATCCGATGACGGCAGTAGCATGGCCAACTCGTGAAGCTGGGACATCACCCAATTCCGGTTTTTCTGGACCGGCAGGCTGCTTACCTTTGGACTTGCTCTCGACCTCTTCATCTGAAGATTCGTCTTCTTCCTCATCATCATCTTCTTCTTCTTCTTCGTCGTCCTCCGCAAGAGAAACTTCGTCGAGCTTTTTCTCGATCTCCTCTTCGTCTGGCTTCTCGTCGGATTTGACTGGCTCCGGGGCCTTTGGCTGAACGGGTTGCTGAACCTCAGGCTTCTTCGGCTGGGCATCTGGTTTGGCGGGGGATGCCTTGATCTTGAAGTAATCGGCCCCAGCCGAGGACCAAGGCAAAGTTACGACATGCATATCATTGTCGACGGGCTTTCGGGGCTCGATCTCTCCGCCAAAGAGGTAAGCGGTTCCGTGGACGATATTGAGAGAATGGGAAGAACGGGGAACGTCAGGGGCATCAATGCGCTCCCATGTTCCTTTCATAGAACTCTTCTTCTGGTGAGTTGCCGAGGGAACGGATGGAACGGAAGGCATAGGCATAGATGGGAGGTTTTGCTGGACATTGTGGAGGAGGTCGGTGGTACGACGCTTGAGTAGAGAGAAAGATTCCATGATGATGGATTTGGGCCTGAGGGCCGATAGGTGTGAGCAATATTGGTGTTTGGTTGAGGTTGTAGGTTTATGTGCACAATGACTGAATGAATGGGATGATGTAGGAGGAGAAAATGAAACATGCAAGCCCGGTCAGCGGCGGGGGGAGCTTACAGTATGAAGTGAGATGATGCTGGCGATAATGACGGGGATGACGTAGGCGCGTTTACGTCCATTTACAAGGGTCTTTATGGATAATTATAGATCTTGAGGATCATAATGAGGCACTTAGTATCGGCACCGAATCTATTATAAGTTCGACTCTTTAATTCCTTCATGCCAATCCAAATACTGGGCTCTTTTTGTCGATGTGCATGTGATGCAGGCCATGCTTTGCATTGGATCTGACGGGCTGAGCTTGCAGCGGACAAGACGGACGTTGAAGGGACCTGCGGGGTACAGTAATAAGGGACCTAACGCAGTTTACCTAGGTATAGCTTGGGCTAGTCTAGCGGCGGAAGCTGTAGAGCTTGGGCTCAGCCAAGACGTCGTGTAGAAACTGTTCTCGATGGTTATTATCGTCTCCTCTTCTCCTCTCTCAGGCCACTCTCTTATAGAGAATTGACGAGTATACTCACTCGATGACAATACCAAGTCGGATAGATCCTATTTCACAAAGGGAGGCATCAAAGCCTCGACTAACTACCAGAGAAAATACTACTTAGTGGCAGTGCGAGCTAACAAGCTAACAAGCTGACATACCGCATTCAAGCGGAGCTTCAGCTTCAGCTTTAGAGGCTCGACTCCTGTTGAATCTCGATTGTCCTAATCGTGAAAAAGGTAACTGAAGATCTGAAGGTGGATAAAAAAAAATGAACAAGCGATCGGAATAAACAGCAGTCGAGAAACAAAGCATTGTTTTGCCTCGTTATTGATTCAACTTCTAATTGACGCCCAGCGCATTTCAAGAAGCAAGGATTCTCAACCCCCCATGTCTCAATGCTCTGGGGCCATTGGCTGCCCCGAAACGGGCAGATTTCCTCTCAGGCTCTGGGCGATGAGATGCGGGTGAAATGAGCAGCTGAAGCGGCAGATCGCCAGCGGTTCGCCAGTATCAGCAGACTGGACGCCTTCAGCTTCCATTTCTCGACCCTCCAGGCCATATATACAGACGATTCCGACATGAACAACGCCTGTTTATCTATATAGTACCCGCAATCAGCCTCATAAGCCTCTCGTCTCATGCGCCGAGCCGCCAGTCTGCCTTCTGAGACGCTAACGCTCCGCACACATGGATGAGATATACCATAAGATCGCCGAGTTCAATTCACGGCGAATCGTCCAAACGCACGACGTCCTTTCGTTCAAGTATAGTGAGCTTTGGAGCAGGGATGATACTGGCATTGTCGACTACCATGAAGGGGTCACTACAATACCTGATGTCGCCTCCTGGCTGGCCATGGAGACGCGAACAGGAACGACAGGTCCAGAGTCGCTAATTCTGCGCCTGATATGGCCTAAGTTCATCCTCGACGATAACTGCGTTGAGCTTCCCGAAGATTCCAAGAATCAGATTCTAGAGAAGTTTGATCTTGAGCTTGCATATAATTATTTCTCGAGTTGTGTCGCGGGCGTCAACGCCTTTCCTGAGATTGTCAAGTCTGAAGCAACCCAGCAGGCCTACACTTTTTGCTATGCGCCTAAGCTTGCGTCTATATGGTCACATACTCGCTTCAGGCCACCTTCTTTGCGACCAGGGGCCACATATGGCATGATTCTGGCTGGCGATAAAGAGCAGCATTATTTGAAGAAGCTTCTCAAGAGCAAAAGCAAATGGAGCCTTAGCACAGCAAGCCATGCCATGTTTCCTGCATTTCTCTTTGCTTTCATGTTTCATGGAGAGATTGAGGTAACGCAGAACAACATGAAGCCTGGCATCCAGCAGATAGAAGCGCGGACAGGGTACTCAGACTTCAAGACTGAACGGAAACATATCGCGGCTGGTGAGCTAGGCACACTCAGCGCACAGATGAGCGGATTCGCAGTCCGCCTAGCGAGTACAGAAAGGAAGGATAAGACGTTACAGAAGCTTCTCGAGTTTGTCCAGCAACGACTGAGCCTTGGCCAAAGCTCGAACCCCGAAGCAGACGAGCTGATGAAGAACCATGTCGGCGTTCTCCAGAAACGGTTGATGATGCAGGCCATGGACAGGGAGTATACCTTGAAGAGAGTGCAAATCCAAATTGATGTGGTATGTCGGCCCTAAAGAGAGATGCGTCACAAGGATACTGACGTTTTGCCAGTTGAATAATCTCATATCAGAGAACTACAGCCTTTCCAACTATATCATCTCTATATCTACTCTTCGCGACGCTGCATCCATGAAGACACTGGCGTTTGTGACAATGTTCTTTTTACCAGGCAGTTTCATTTCGGCTCTCTTCTCGACCGATCTCTTCGATTGGGACAGTGCACAAGCTGATGGAGGAGATATCGGGATCAAAACCACACCGCAGTTTCGATTATACTGGGCCGTCACCATACCACTTACCCTCATCACGTTTATACTCTATTTTATGTGGGCTGAGTTCTCCAGCTTTGATCGGAGCCAAAGAAGAGAACGGAGAAGATGGGGCTTTCCCAGAACTGAGAGTATGAAAGCTCAAGATCAAACCCGGTCACCGATGCAAGTATTGAAAGACCAACGCGAACGTGTTAGTGAGGCGTATGCGATGGCAAAGAGGAGACAAACTGTCTTCGGACAAGGTGATAAAGATGAATCGATAGGTGCAAGGAATGAATAGGCCAAGTACTGATTATTGAGATACCACTTGTGTCTACTACCTTGGATTGTATGATAGCGACGTTTGGAATTGGTCAATGATTTGTATGCTAGAGAATATGATGGTGGAGGCGACAGTCTCAATCATGATGAGCATTGTTCTCGAATCATGGCATTGTTGAAATAGCACAATCTGTATGAAAGGAAGAGAGGAAATGGTATGTTGATCTAAAGTTCGAGATCTTTTTTTGCCCCGCGGTCGAGACCTAACCCATGCAACATTTTAACAATCAACAATGCAAATGGGCATGCAAATACAATGGCATTCTCTTGTCCAGACCTTCCCTTTTCCATTTCTTCGGCCCAGCCTTTGAATCTCGATCCCATCTACCTCCCGCGAGTCCCACATGACGGACGTAACAGCTCAATTGGCCATTTTAATGTGCCCAATCGTGATGAAGCCGGGGTATAACCTCCGACCACAAACATATCCGCCCGCATGATCGAGGCCTGGCCTCTAACACAAGACAGACAGACAGAAGTATGGTACAGTACACGCGAAAGAACCAACATCTAGCCTGATCCCTTCTTCCCCTCATTCCCTTTTCTTTCTTTCTTGCGCTCATTTTCTTATTTTCGACCGTTTATGTTTATCTGCGCACGTTGTTTTGAGGCGCCTTGACGGTTTTGCAAGCTTCATTGGAGGCTTGTGCTGCTACGATCGCCGATCTACGTCAGAATTGATTGAGAGTGACGGACTAGTCACATCAGCTCCAGCACAAAAATCAAAACAAAGCAGCACGATTTCCGAGGCCTTCGCAAGACGACAGGACACGGTGCATCGCAATAATGGCCTCACATTCAGCTTCAGGTACTGCTAACCCAGCACCGGGGACCGTCGTGCCTGCGCAGCTCGGGTTCCTCGCCATCTTCAACCCCACGCTTGGCAATACCGACGAAACCATTGAGGATCAGATCGTCTACTATGCCTCTGTTACAACACAAGCCGCGCATAACAAGCGCAGGCGCGCTCGTGGCCAACCAACCCAGAATATCTCTCCAGAAGAGCGAAACGAGCGTTTGCGACAGATTGGCCTTGCGCAGGGTATGGCTAGCTTCAGCCGCGGTTTTGCGAGTGGTTCAACAGTAGACACCATCGACACCGAGAAGTCAAGAGTCATACTCCATGAGCTCGAACCTGGCTGGTGGATTCTAGCAGTAAGAATACCATGAATTTGTTGTCTTCAACTCCATACTCACCGATGATACTAGAGCATCGACCTCACCAAACTACCTCTCCCTCCTCGACTCGCTACTAAGAAGAGCGAGGCCGCCGAAGAACGATATGAATACTCCAGTCGCGAGATGAAACCCGCGAGCCTGTTGTTGCGCGACCTGCTACGAGCCCATAGCATCTTCCTTATGCATCACGACTCCTCGTTGAGCGCGCTCTTCGTGCGTAACAAGAGAACTAAGTTCATCACTATATTGAGTCGATACTGGGATCTCTACCTTTCGACCTGGAATGTCATGATGCATGGGAACCCAGCTCGTGACATTTTTGGGGGCATCCCCATTGCGGCCTCTGGTGAGCTAGGCGTAGGCGTCGGCGAGGAAGAACGCGGTAGCGGCGAGCGAGCCGTATTGGAAGGACTGGTCGGGAGAATAGAAGGGCTCGTTGATCTTGTTGTTTCCAAATTCGGCGACTACAACCCCGAATCGCCTCCTCCAAGCGACCCCTACGGCGACCCTGAGCAATGGTTAGGAACAGGAAGAGAACCTGGTCCTGATGACGGTGCCATCTTTTTGGGCACCGGCGCTCTGTCCAGAAAATCAGTGAGAGACGTTACTCACTGGATGGAGGATCTATACACCTGGGGCAACCACGCTTATGGTATCATAGAGAGCCCAACATCGGTTCGGCGCGCAAAAAGGCGAAGGGCAGCGGATCGCCAGCAAGCGGCCCAAGATCAAACACGGGCACCAGCGAGTGAACTCACGAAATCCTCAGCGGGGGAACAGGCTGGGGAGAGTTCCGACAAAGACCAGCCCCAAATCCAAGTGACTGAAGATGGCAAACTGGAAAAGATGGTTAGCTATCTCAAGCTGGGTTATGGCACATACTGGTCTTTGCCTAGCGGCACTGGTAGTGGCGATTCTCCTACCAAACAGCCCGACAGTCCACAGCGGGATCCTGAACCTGCTCAAGACACAACCAAGCTGGCACGACCCAGCCTTGCGGAACGCGCGCCTTCGTATGAAGCTGCTGGCCACTACCTGATTGGTTTAAAGGGGGAGATCAATGAAGATTATAGCGGAACCGACAGTGCAAGTTCCGATGATGCTGGCGACGGGGCAAATAACTCTCGTACTGTCTTGCGAACTGTAAACATTGAGCTAGAGAGCGAGGCTCTGGATAGACCAGAGGCCATAACTGTGCGTGACTTTGAGCATCCAGCCAGTGCTCTCACGCAGTCGCAGGTGGTAGGGAATATGATACCTGGCTACGACTCCCACGATCTCAACAAGGCAAAGAAACTGCGCGTTGTTGTCTACGTTAACCGACCATTCATGTTCACCTTTCTGTTCAATCTACGAACCGACTCCCTTGCCATGGATTCGCTCTATCGCTCCCTTCATCATCAACTCGCTCCTCTACGTAAACCTCTACTCCTCTCAACAAGCTATCGTCCGGAGCGACCTGGAACCGATGCAGGTTCTGGTAGTAACCACTCTGGAAACAACATATATGATCTCGTCTGGGATCCCGTCTCATTGACGGTTCATTCATCAATACCAAACATACCAGAAGTTTATGATGATACGGAACCGTGGTCCCGTCCTGATGCTCTCAACACTCACCTTCACCTGGTCAATCTCTACATTGGTACTCGGTCCCGTTCAACTGCTCTTGAGCGTACCGAAAAGTCCAGCCGTGGATGGTGGATCGTCTGGACACGTCTGCTCGACCGTCAAGAAGATGCCGCCACGGGGAATCTCTCTACAATTCACGAAGGCGGAGCTGGCCCAAATACAGACCAGAACACCTCTCAAGATGAAGGAGAGAGGAAATATTCTGGACCCGATCCCCGACACCCGGATGTTGCCAAGGAAATCTTCCTCATCCGCCGCGCAAGCGATCACGTCGGCTTCCGTACAGATTCCGCGGAAGGTGCAGGTAAGCTCGCTCAAGGCATCGGCGTCGATACACGCCGCTACGTGGAGGAACTATTGAACCTGCTATGAAGGCTTCAGAATACACTGCATTCCACTAAATTCATGACTTACGACTTGGAGTTGCCATTGGAGGCCGTGCTCCATGTATCAAGCCCCCTTCTTGGATGAGGATGAGAACACGCAAATGATAAATACAGTACGATAGACGTACTGTATCCATGCATATATGCATGCTACGCATACGCAATACGCGCGGCTGGGACGGGAGTCTTGAGAGTCTGACAATGCCTATATTTATATCCGTATCGATAGTTCGTATTCAAAACGCCTCTGTAAAGCGTAGAATTATTAACTAGCCAACCGTGTCTATTTCTCCCCTTCCTTTCTCCTTTTCAAAGGGGATCGAAATCCTTTCGTGCGACGCTACCTGCTTTCCGACCCTTGATTACGTGAATTCTCACTGAGGGTTCATCAGTAATATCCTAGCTGAAGGGAGTGGTTTCGTTAGACTGCTTCAAGAAAGAGTACCCTCACTCACCCCTGGATACCAGCTGTTTATTGACTAACCGTGCTATGGCATCGACCACCGACAAGGAATTTGTTTTAGTGCAGCAGTTCGTCATTATGAACCCGAGCGATATTCATTAGCAGAGTCAAGCTCCCCATTTCTGTTGGTTGATCGTTAAATGTCCAAGTTTCAGCTTAAACGAGAATTCATTAGAGTTGATCGCTACTAGACCCTGTTAAAGACATGGGTTGGTTAGAGTACGAGGTCATCGTAGGCATGGAGTAGCGACCAAAAGACCAGGATCCCCAAATTAAAACCCGCTCGCTTCATCTGCCTTAAGATTAGATTCAAAATAAACAATGCTAGGCGACATGTCACAACAATTGAGGGGAAATCACATAACGTAATGTAATCAAAATTGCAGTCCCTGATTGAGGGTGCTGTATTGTTTGTCTATCCGAACGGCGTATCCAAAGTTTATGTACATAGAAGTCAACGACTGTCAACCGGAGCTGATTCGCCTAAGAAACCAAAAACACCCCAATCCAGAATCTCCAGGTCTAGGTCCAAGTGGTACCCAAGTGCCTTTTTCATGTCTTACGCCCCAGCGCCTTCGGGGGTGAAGAGATTCCCGCTTCATGAAAAGTACAAGTCGTAAGAAAAGGGTATCCTTCGTATTGTTTTCATGATTCAAGAGAACGTGTTTGTCGTGGCGCTTAGTTGAACCACCACTCGACCTCGGTGCGGCCAGAGTCGAGGCTGCCCCAGATCTCCTCGTAGACCTTTCGGCTGACATCGATGTCGTTGATAGCGCAACCCATACACTTATCGGCGACGGTAGCCTGGCAGGTCTTGCCGTTGGCCTTGATGGTGATGGTCTTGCCGCACATGGGGTTGCTGTTAGAAAGCTCGCCCATCAGGAGGTGGGAGAGAGCGACAATGTTGATAGAGTCATCCTTGCCAGTGTCGTCCTCACCGCAAGCACCTTGACCAATGTCGTAGTAGGTGAACTCGCCGTGCTTGGTGTCAGAACCGCCAGAGGAGCTACCGCCAGAGGCAGGCTTGGCGGCCTTCTCCTGCTGAACGGGAGCGACCTCAGTCTCGGGCTCAGGCTCCTTCTTGGGGGCCTTGACAACAGGCTTGGGGGCCTGAGTGGTGGGCTTAGGGGCAGGAGCCTGGGTGGTGGGCTCAACGGGAGCGACGTATTGAGAGGTAGGCTCAGCAGCAGCCTCGGCCTCAGTGGTGGGCTCAGGAGCAGGGGGAGGAGTGTAGACGCTGGTGACCAGAGTAGTGGTAGGGGCGGGAGGAGGAGCAGGCTTCTTCTCCTTCTTGGGGGCAACCTTCTTGGGAGCGGGCTGAGTTGTCTCGGGCTGAGGAGCAGTAGTAGGCTCGGCCTCAGGTCGGACCCAGACGGTGGTGGTAGCGTCGACCATCTTGGTAACGTACTCGATCTCAGTCACCCACTCAACCTCGGTGACAACATCGCGCTTGTCGTTCTGGTGGTGACGGCGGTGGTGGTTTCCGTGAGGGTTGGCATGGGGCTGGGCGACGGCCGCAGCGGCGAAGAAGGCAGAAGCAAGAGTGAAAGACTTCATGTTGATATATGGATAGTTTGTTGTTGTTGTGTTCGAGTTCTGTTATTCAACCAAGGAGTGGCTGTAGCTGTGATACGTCTGGTGTGTAGACGAAAGGGTATCTCAACGCAATGGATTGCTAGGCAAAGGAAGGATGGTTTAGATTCTGTTCCACAGGAATGAATCTATTCAAAAAAGAATTGAAGGAATGGACGTTGATCGTCGTGTGAGGGAATGTGTGCGTGAGAGAGAGAGAGAGTCCTGCTCAGTGCTCAGGTGGGAATGAGTGGTGTTTGAACTCGAAGAGATCGTAGGTGAAGAAACGAAACAAGGGGAGGAACCGACTCTTCCTTTAATACTACGCCTCGCCGTAAAAGACGGCGCCGGCTCATTATGCTAGCTCTTAAAAGACTTGGCTTTAGACTAGTACCTTACTCCTCCTAGTCAGGTACCGAAGACTGGAGGTGTGCCATCCATAACCAGCGCTGCACGCAGTACTCTGTATGTCCGCAAGCAACCCACTGGAACTTGTGAGTCAAGGGTACCGCAACTGTAGGCAAAAGAACCGCAGGCGACGGCGTACCGGATTCATCCCCGGTAGTGGGAGCTGAGAGAGTTCCGCTTTGGGGGGGGCCTGGCCACGCGTGGTTTTTTCCAAAAGAAATCCACCCACAAGCATAGCCCACCCACCCAATTCCAAGCCTGTCTTTCTCATGCCTGGCCTTGTTCCGAGGTGGGTGGTGGAGACGAAACGGGCCACAGCACGGACGTGGCAAGCTGCCATCTCTTTCGCTCCTCAGGAGGTTTTCACCGGGCCATTGGGATCTGCTGGAGCCAGCCATAAAACACTTCCCTGAACCATGCAAACGGTCTGCCCTAACAGCTACGTAAAAAAAAGCCAGAGCGCTACACAGCCTGAGAAGGAGGCCTGCGGAGAGGACAAGGAGAAGCAAAATCAACCCTGTCGCCCTTCAGGGGTGCCGTGGCACCATCAAGGGGCATTCATCGTATTGTGATGCAAAGTTGATCGCCAGCCTCCTCGTTCAGAACCTCAAAACCCGTCCTCAATCAGCTAGCTGCCTCATCTGAGAACGGCTTTGCGGGGAACAGCAACTCACGTATTGCGGGCCGCGTCATCTCAGTATAGTGCAGTTGGAGAGGTCGTCAACGGAATCATCAGAGTCATGTCGCCGAGCAATTTGATTTTTCAGATCCCTCACCACCTTTACAGAGCACGCACGCAGTCCAGTGGCCCGACTCAAGGCATGTTTTCTAACCCAGGGGGTTGTGATTGGTCAATCTGCAAGGGGCCGCCCTGTCGTCAGCTTCCGAGTTAGATCTTGTCAGGGCTAAGAGGCAGCCAATGACAGTCTATATGTGCCTGACGGTGGCGGGAGGTCTGCGGAGCGAGAAAACAAGGAACATCTGACACTGATGGAGGACCAAAGTTGGTGGAGGGGGAGACACAGTGAATCGATCTCTGAGTTGTCCTGTTCGCTGGCGCCATGTGCCTGGCCCGAAACGCAGAGGCTTGAGAGGCTTGAAAGCACTCAACGAGTCAACGTGCATCCGGGAGGTGTGGAGGACGCCATACGCCAAGTTGAAACAAGACCCATTTCTTCCCAGGTCCAGGGCAACGTTAATCTGGGTGCCACTTCATCCACTCATGAACAACCCAACGGCTTGCTGACATGGCTTGCAGCAGTAGGAGCAGTTTAGAAGCGTGAGAAAGTATCAGAAAATCCGGTGGTGTGAGGGAAATAAAAAGTCTTCTTTGCCGCCTTCTCTTGCTGGGTCGTTCGGCGTAATGTTGGCGCCAATGCATGCGTGACGTTCACACTTCTTGAGCCGGGCTTCAAGTCATTATTCCCTTTGCTTCGTTGTCTGTGTGAACATGTATGCGCTTTCACTGTGATGCGATGTGATGAAAATCTTACGGTGCTTTGAGAGTTAATCTAGCGCTTGTGGAAAAAGGCTCGCATCTTTCTCAAGAAATTTCAAACACACACCACGACTTGGTTTTCTTTGCCAAGCACAGACTTCATTGGTCCAGCTTGTACAGTGTCTCTTATTACAACAAAGACGATAGACAAGTCTCAGACACATGTCGCTCGCAGGATAGTCAGTAACGCAGGTGTGGGTACTCTGCATTTCTATTCTCTCTTGCACGAATTCCGAACCCTCGAATCGGTGGGAAAGTCAACAGTTTGAGGGCCCATATAGCTCCATCATAATGATACATACTTAGAGCAATACTTGAGGCGGACTATCATTGAATCGACTCAAGAACCCTCGAGAAACCCCTTGGCGATGTTACATTGAAGTCCTGTTGGTCAGACTTACTATGCAGTCCTGTCAGCGTCACTGTGTTTCCTGATGAAAGGATCCAGTCGGATCTCCGGGCCAGGACTCAACATGCATGGACAGTTTTCGGGCGCATGCCAACTAAGATGCTGTGTAGACAAAGCGTTTCCTTGACCTTTTTCATCATTTTGACAGTTGAGGTTGACTTTGGTTTTTGGTAGCTTTCGTTTGGCTTGTGGTTGGGCGGCTGGTGAAAGAAAAGAGGAAAAGGCCCTGGCGCTGGAAAACGGGCCTATCCTCGTCGAATATTTCTTCGACCTTGAACGCTTTCTTAGCCATTTTGACAAAGGTCATGTCCGCGCGTCTCCTCTTCTTGAAACAAAAGTACACGACGGCTGCGGGGTTAAGCTCTAATAGAGCCTTAAGCGTAGACATCAGGAGAGGGAAAGCAGGTTCGAAATAGACGCATTCGCCAGCCAATATCACGTCTGGCTTTTGCTCCAACACGGCAGCTGGCAAGTCTTCGCCCCTATATGAACAGACCAGTCAGCTTGGTGGCTCGCACTCATCTGACCAGAGGATTGGTAAGGCAGAGGAGGATGTTACACATGACAATACATTCGAATTCGCGTACCAGTTGAGCACCATCGCCTTGGCCTTGTCTTGTAGGTTGTTTAGCTCGATGTTGTGCTTCATCAGCTCATACATCTCCAGCTGGTCCGTCACTAACAACTGATTTTGAAGCTGACATTCTAAGGCGACGGCAAGACCGATGAGACCGCCGCCAGCTCCAAGTTCCAATCTATGACCAACGAGTCAGCAAGTCTACTCCGTCTTTGATTACACTCACACTGTCTATGCAGACCAAGACAAAGGACCCGGTCCAAGTCACATGCATGCGATAGCAGTGTCGAAGTTGAAGAAAGAGCGCGAAACTCACATCCGAGCGTCAGCAAGCCGGTCTTTGTGGTAACGCAACATATGCTTGCCGAGAAGCATTCCCGCGGGCCACGTTTGCCCACCACAACCAGATCGCACATCTTCGTGCACCTTGAGAGGACCGGAGAGAACGCCATCGAAATCGACAGTCGCAACACCACTGGCCTTGAAGGACGGCAATGGAGCAATGTCCTCGCTGATTGTGACTGGGTCCATCAAAGGGGACGACGGTGGACTGCTCATTGCGAAAGAGTTGTCGCTGCTCTGTCCCTCGATTTGAGTCCCTTGACTTTTGCAGAGGGTCAAAAAATAGACTGCACGGAGTAGTCGGATCTATCACGACTAGTAGCCCTCAAGGGATAGTGTTGAAAGTCGAAGGGATATCGATGCAGTGGAGCTTGAGAGGCACTGCCCTGCAGATAAATCGAGGAAGATGGTTCTGTTCTATTCAAATGAAGCAAGAGGAATAACTTTCTATGACTTTGTTGTTCCGCCCCTTCAGGTAGGCTACTCCCTCTTGCACCTGCTAACCTAGAATAAGATAGGCTTCTATCGAGTATCTGTGAAAAGCACAACTGCCCTGTGTCACCTGCAGACTTTTTTCCTTCTAATCAACCTATGGCATCTCTTCCTAGGGTACTCGACTGCTCCTCTTTTGCCTCTTCTACTTGGGCCGATTAGACTGCTGCTTTTTCCATTTGCATACGTGTGCGATCCAGACTCAAATAGACCCTTTTATTTTTGTTGGCCGTCGCCGTCGATCAAGGGTGCGCTACATCCTCCGCTTGAAGAGTCATCGAGACAGTTGAGCGATTGGCTCGTTAAAGGCTCTGCGGGACTGGCGATAACGACTAAACTATCCCAAAACCCATACTCCGTTTGGATAAGGGCTCCTCCACAAATAAATTCGCCGAGTTGCCCTTCAACAAGAGAAATCGGGGGTGATCCACTGCTGCCTCGCTCGAGTGAGTGTTGCTACTAAGAAAGCTGATAGATTCAAGGGTCAATTCATGTTACATCAGGTTGACGACTCCCAGGGAATGGCCCATGTGATAATATCAATACTCAATGGCCATGCTGAGTCTAATGATCAAGGGAGACGTTATATGATATCATAGCCAATATATGCTCTTTCAACAACACCATTGCTAATTATTGACTCTCCCTCTCCAGCCTTCCTTCCCTAGCTCGATGGAGCCAGTATCCTGTCAACCTTCAAGATTACCATGTCGAGTTTTTCATCATCATCATGCCGAGTGGCTACGATGTCTCACCAGTCTCTCTGGGCTGCCAGGCCTTCCATAGGAATGTGACTACAGCTGTATCAGCCTGGAGTACCGCTCTTTTGGTTATGCCCGCCACACGTCAATGTCTCTCCATCCCACGGGAAGTTCTAGTTAAGCTGAGACATCTTGCCTCCTCTTGAAATGGACGAATAGATTCAACACCGGTTCCCTTAATTGACTATCACCACCAATTTTTCTCCCGTGGTTCAACGAGGCTCAGTGGAGAAGCTATACAGGAATGAAGGGCTCAGTATTCCTCTAGCTCAAGTCTCCAGCTTGCCAGCCATCAACATGTCATTCACGATATGCCTTCGTACGGTCGTCTGTCTCCCGGCCTTCCTGATCCTCACTTCTCTTTCCTTCATCCTTTCGGCTCTATTCAGCGAGTTCCTATTCACCTGGATGGCGTTTCATGTTATTCTATTCGTACTTCAACACTGAACTGTGCATTGTCATGCTATGATGACTTCCTTCATACTCGCTGTTCTCCTCCTTACCATCTCAGGACTCACAAGTTCTCAGCCAACAATTGACTACCCGATTAACTCTCAGTTACCACCAGTAGCCCGGGTAGATGAACCCTTCTCTTACGTCTTCTCTCGTTACACATTTCGATCAGACTCCAAAATATCATACTCACTTGGGGATGCGCCAAAATGGATTTCCATCGACAGCAAAGATCGCCGTCTTTATGGCATCCCGACCAACGACACTGTTCCCAGTGGCGATGTGGTAGGCCAGACAATAGAGATCATTGCCAAGGATGATTCTGGCTCGACGTTGCTAAGTTCGACTCTGGTCGTGTCGAGGAACAAAGGCCCCTCCCTCAAAACACCACTTCTGGAGCAGATGGAAGATTTTGGCGACTATTCGCCGCCGTCATCACTAATCTCGTATCCTTCTACAGAGTTCAGATTCACTTTTGATGCCGCCACATTTGAATACCAGCCCAATATGATCAACTATTATGCGACTTCCGGCGATGGCAGTCCCTTACCTGCTTGGATGAGGTTCGATGCTGGTTCATTGACATTTAGTGGCAAGACACCTCCTTTCGAGTCACTTATCCAGCCTCCTCAAACTTTTGACTTCGAGCTTGTCGCTTCGGACATTGTTGGCTTCTCTGCCGTGTCAGTTGCCTTCTCTGTCATTGTGGGTAGACACAAACTCAGTGTTGACAACCCCAACATCACTCTGAACACGACCAGAGGGGAAAAGCTTGAATATAGCGGGCTAGCAGAGAGCATAAAGCTTGACAACAAACCTGTGAAGATTGACGAGATTGATGTTTCAACAGCCGGTATGCCGGACTGGCTGTCCCTGGACAAGAAAACATGGGATATCGAGGGAACACCAGGGAAAGGCGATCATTCAACCAACTTCACCATCACACTCCGCGACTCATACCAAGATACACTCAACATATACGCCACTGTCAATGTCTCCACTGCTCTATTTCGCTCAACTTTTGACGGTATCCAGGTCGAGGCTGGAAAAGATGTCGATCTTGATTTGCGGCCCTATTTCTGGGACCCTGATGACATTGACCTTCAGATTTCAACCAAACCGAAGAAGGATTGGCTAAAGCTTGATGACTTTAACATCACCGGGAAGATCCCTGTATCGGCTTCGGGAGATCTAAATATTTCTGTGACAGCTTCGTCAAAGACTTTAGACGACACAGAGACCGAGGTTCTAAATTTGAGCGTGATACCGTTCGAGTCCACATCCTCGTCGACAACTCAGTCTCGCACTTCATCAACATCTACGGGCACGTCTACTTCTGTCGCGCCCACCGGAACCTCTTCAGAGCCTGATGTACAGTTGTCTGATTCAGATGGGAATCTGACAACTGGTACCCTCCTCCTCGCGATTCTTCTGCCTCTTCTGGTTGTCATCTTTCTTTCGACGCTGCTCGTTTGCTGTCTCCTTCGCCGCCGCCGCAAACGACAAACATACCTCTCGTCCAAGTTTCGCCATAAGATCTCCGGACCTGTGCTCGAGAGCCTTCGTGTTAACGGGGGCTCGACAGCAATGCGAGAGGCCGACAAGGTCGAGATCATAGCAGCTGCAGGCAAACAACAACGCCGCCCGATAAGGACGCCCCATTCTGAGATGGATTCGGAAACGCTAGTCATGGCATCTCCAACATTGGGGTTCATGGCGACACCTCTTGTTCCTCCGAGATTTGTCGCTGAGGATTCCAACACCAGTGTATCTCGGTCCCTCGGTACACCCAACAGTGAGGACGAAAGAAGATCCTGGGTCACAGTTGGGACTGCAACTGCAGGGCGGCCAAGTCGTGACTCTTTGAGGAGCCAACGATCGAACTCAACATTATCACAGTCAACTAGTCAACTGATACCACCACCAGTGTTTTTATCAGATGCAAGACGAAGGTCTTTCATGGGGGGCAACGACGCAGCTGACTCCTCGCTCAATGGTCTCCCCAGTATCCAATCTCAAAAAGCATTATTCCAACAGGGCTCTGACTACTACACAAGCGGCAATGAAAGCTCATTAGCCTTTGCTTCCTCGCATCTTTCCAGTCCAAGGCTCTTGACCAGGGTTCCAACACGAGCGCCAGATGCTCGGCTCGGTTCTGACGCCTCAGTGGGTGATGGCGAGGGCCCTTCAATAGGAGCAACTCAGAGCCTGCCAGCATTGAGACGACCGGAGCTAGTACGTCTGTCCACCCAGGAACTGCTTGGAGAGGATGGTGGCCCCAGTAGCAGGCCATGGTATGATTTGGAGGCACCCAGAGGACTTTTCAGTGACCCTTCATTTGGTTCCGGGGAGAACTGGCGAGTTTACGAATCCCAGCGCGATGGAACAGGCGCGTCATATCACCAGCTTGTGGATGAGTCGCCTTTCCATCCACTTCGACCAAGCACGGCGATGAGTTCGAGCCGTGATGGAGCACAGCCTGGAGAGCGGGCAAGCTCGGAACTGATATCCCCAAGCCAATGGGGAGATGCTCAGAACAGCATCAGGGGATCCTTGGCGTCTTTACGGCAAGGCTTGGGGCATTCGATGAGCAAGTTGTCTCGCTTGAGTGTCGATCCGCTCAGTGTTCCTGGCAGCAGAAACTCGAAGCCAGCAGGAAACTCATCGGTGAACTGGAGAAGAGAAGACTCGGGCAAGTCAGAAGGTGGCAGCTATGCCTTTCTCTGAGTTGAAGTCCTGTATTGATGATGTATATGTTGGAGCATGAGATACCCTGGCGCTTTGTATTTGTTTTGGTATATCGATGCTTTCTTTTCTTTTCTTTTTCTTTTTTTCGTTTTCTCCCTTGGTGTGTTCCTTGGGAGAGGATAATTCAGGGGTTCTTCTCTCTATGGATGGGGTTTACGAAAATATGTTTGGTCTAGATTAGTAGCAGAAGTCCTCAAACGACAATCATAATCTCATTAGATTAATAACACATTCCAACTACCCTTGATTCTGGCAAGCGACACACGAAACAACACCAAGTTATCATGTACTGTAGGGACAGATGGGCGAAAACAGTCTTCAATGGTCAACGTTTTAGGGTAAGTTAAATGTTTATACAGATCTGTTATATACAAAGAGTCTTTCAGGTATTGCGTACCATCAGAGTTGACGGCTTGATGTCCAGATCTGCCCCTTCTTAAAAGTTGAGAGTTACCTGTATAATATGACATAAACCCTTCACAAAGACGGGCTCCTCGGTTTCCAATTTCTCTGAACCTCAAGTCTCGGGGATAGCATCATCCTCTAATAAAGAAGTGATCAGCCACAACCGCAGCCACAGCCCTACTGTCAATCAATACCTCAATCACGCACGGATGGGGATAAGAAACTGGGTTTTGTAATTTTTGGAGCCGGACCGGACCGTCATCAAGGGAAGGGCACGCGACCTGATCTGAGGCTTATGTGTAGCATCCGATCAAATCAGGTTCTGAACAGGTAATTCTCAACAGCCACTCAAAGCATGCAGGGTAGCACAGATGAATAACACGCGGCTAGAAGTGGCGAGGACGACATGGAAATTTTTTACGCGTGACAGTGAAAAAAAAACAGCGAACGAGAGGGGACTGTTTAGGCGCCAGCGGCTGACGGAACTCTTACTCGACACGACGTACTTATGCACAGTTTTTCCCCCCTCAACTAATTTTCATGCAGTGGGTGGTTTTAAAAAGGCTCAGCTTAATTTAGTGTATCAATGGGGTGATAGTTTGTATGGATGCGTACATCATAGCCACTGACGCGAGGTCATTGTATCACCTCGAGTTATTTCATACAAAGCGTGGCTGTCAGTGGCGGTCCCATTCCTGTGGGAACAGGGGTTAGCAGAAGAGCAGATTGATGATGTAGGGACAGGAACAGTTCAGTGTATTCGCCCCTGCCTTGGACTAGAATGGTGCTAAGACCAAAGTAGTTGAGCTCTTTCAGATGGGATGGAGGAGCGAGATATCATGGTTGAAAACACCTTGATTGGCACATGCTGGTTGATATCAAGCTGTACCCAAGGTCCCCTAAGGTATTATGCCTCAAGGAGCACAAGATTCAGCAATACGTGTCCGTGGTTGGATACTGCACTTGACAGTTCCCCCGAGAAAATGCATAAATCCATATTCATCCAATACCCGCGACACCCCGCCTCATTTGATTTTCAAAGCCCGCGCCTCAGGTCGAGCCCAGCTAAAGACGTCCACCAGGTAAAGGTACCGACCTAGGGTGCTACTGTTAGGCAGCCGCTCAACCTGGAGAGCTCCAAATTTGGTGATCACCACCACTGAAGCCTAGCGATCGTACAGCTAGCTACAGCACTAGCCCCCCCGCTATAGGTGCGACCCCCCGCCCGACATCACCTCACCTCAACAATCCACACATCCAGATCCATCTCTCGCACGTCGAAATCTCCCTCTTCCGCATCAACAGAAAGCGTGAATCCACCCTTGACCACGCTCCCGGCGCCGGCATCGTAGTCTACCCCATTCATCTTCTTTTCTGCCTTTTGCTTTTGCTATAGTTTCTTCTCCTCATACTACTCATACTCGTACCTCTTGTTCTTACCAAATAACTAAAATTCTCTTGTCGAGCGAGATCTTATCTCGTCATCCCCCCCCCTCTTCAAACGACCCTCTCCCCCCCGCCAACCCCTCGTCGGTCGATCTTCCTCATCTCTTCTCTCCTCTCTCTTCCGCTCGCCGTCCTGTCTCGTCCCAGCAACGCCTAGGCTTTCTTTCGATCGAACCGGCCATAACAATCTATAGTCATGGGTCAGACTCTATCGGAGCCCGTTGTCGAAAAGGTGCGTCTTGTGCCTTTGAATTTTATGTGCTCGTCTCGATCATCTGCGCGGCTCTGTTCGTTTTTTTTTGTTTTGCATTTGGCCATTGGGATTTAGTACTCGGACCTGGCGCGAGAGGGGCAATCTTGCTCAGTCATGAGCCCCTCACCCAGCACCAGCGGCGCTGGAGCCCACGCAATACCAATTTCACCAGCCGCGCCTATATCCTCAGCCTTGTCGGGAACATGCATCGACCACCGGAGGCTTTGGGCTTATAATTTGGCTCTTGCGATTATTATTTTTCCACGCCTATGCTCACATACTGATATCCGCTTCCCCGATGTTTCCGCCTGCTGCATTATCGTCAGACCAAGTCCCGCTAACGCTTCGTTTCTACCCCATAGACTTCGGAGAAGGGTGAGGATGAGCGCCTCATCTACGGTGTTTCGGCCATGCAAGGCTGGCGCATTAGTATGGAGGATGCTCACACCGCAGTACTCGACCTCGACTCAGCCAAGTCTCACTCCAGCAAGCTGTCCTTCTTCGGTGTTTTCGACGGACACGGTGGTGACAAGGTGGCACTGTTTACCGGCCAAAACATTCACAACATTATCTTCAAGCAGGACACTTTCAAGTCTGGTGACTATGCTCAGGGTCTGAAGGACGGTTTCCTCGCGACCGATCGCGCTATTCTCAACGGTATGCGCCAGCTTTTGGTCTTTTCCGTTTCCCGCCATGCCCGATAATGGACAAATCGTCGCCTGGCCTCTGGAATAACAACTGCTAACGTGTCATGTTTCGCCAACATCAGACCCCAAGTACGAAGAAGAAGTTTCCGGTTGCACAGCCTGTGTCAGCTTGATCGCTGGCAACAAGCTCTATGTTGTGAGTTCGCCCCTCACCTTTGTTTCCTCACTATGGCTTTCCCCTTCAAATCCCATTGGAGGAGGACATGAGACATCTCTATAAGAAGCTGACCCGTAAATTCAGGCCAACGCTGGTGATTCGAGAGGTGTTCTTGGTATCAAGGGTCGTGCCAAGCCTTTATCTCAGGACCACAAGCCCCAACTCGAGAGTCAGTCACATCACTCACGCAACACGAGCGACAATACTGACATCCCCACTAGACGAGAAGAACCGAATCACAGCTGCCGGTGGCTTTGTCGACTTCGGCCGAGTGAACGGAAACCTCGCCCTCTCGCGTGCTATTGGTGATTTTGAATTCAAGAAGAGTGCTGAGTTGTCCCCCGAGAACCAAATTGTTACAGCCTACCCCGATGTTGAGCAACATGATCTTACAGACGAGGATGAATTCTTAGTCATTGCTTGTGATGGTAAGCTACGTCGGCTCGAGTGATGAGGGAATAACAGTACTCACTAGCATAGGTATCTGGGATTGCCAATCCTCTCAAGCCGTGGTTGAGTTCGTCCGACGAGGCATCGCTGCCAAGCAAGAGCTCGACAAGATTTGCGAGAACATGATGGACAACTGTCTTGCCTCCAACTCCGAGACCGGTGGCGTTGGCTGCGACAACATGACCATGGTCATCATCGGCTTCCTCAACGGAAAGACCAAGGAAGAGTGGTACGAGGAGATCGCCCGCCGGGTCGCCAACGGAGATGGCCCATGCGCTCCTCCTGAGTACGGTAAGGATGATGCCCGTTCTGCGATTTAAGTTGGACGTCTAGACACAGACTGACGTGAAATTGGTAGCCGAATTCCGAGGACCTGGAGTCCACCACAACTTTGAGGATAGCGACAGTGGCTATGAGATGGATCCTGAAAACAAGGGACGAAGCTTTGGAGTTGGTGGGTACCGAGGCCGGATCATTTTCCTCGGCGATGGCACTGAGGTTCTTACGGATTCAGATGATACAGAGATGTTTGACAACGCCGACGAAGACAAAGACCTCGCCAGCCAGGTCACCAAAAACCCGTCATCCGCCGAGAAGGACACCGCTCCTGTAACCGCCCCTGGCGCCGCCGCCGCCGAAAACGCTTCCGCCGATACGAAACCCGCCGATGCAACCGTTACGAAGCCTACCGACAAGGACGCTGCGGAGGAGGTGAAGAAGGAGGCCAGTGCCCAGGAAATCAAGAAGGAAGAATAGGTTGTTGTCTGAAATTACGGGGCAACGGGTTTGAATTCAACCTAGGTGTCGCTCCTCCCTTGCACCTCCGGTTATGTTTCTCGGATCCCAACTTTCTGGGAAGTTTAAAGGGCAAGTGGTAGATGGTGGTCACGAGAGGAGGTTGTGATATTCTCATGTTAAGTCTTGCATCTCAACTTGTCGGTGTATTGGTGTCAAACCTGGATCTGGATCGTGTGCTCTTCATCGACTTGCCGAGGCGCATCACGAGAAGAGCGAGACTCGGGAAGGATATCATGTTCTGGGCTGAGGCGGATACAAGGAAAGAAAGAGAGAAAGAAGAGCGAGAGAAACCTTTTTTTGATGTTTACGCACGCATGGGATTCCCATTTTCTTCACGTCGCCATGAGATCATCAGTCTCATTCCAATCTTCCGTTGCGAAAGCCAGCTTTTCCCCCCCACAATGCTGGGATGATATGCTCGAGTATGGTTGGATTGCTTTTAGAGGGATTAAGAGGCAGTATAGCATATACAGGACACTAACTGACGGCCCATTGTTGTTTTTTGAACGGTAGGCTCGGTTTATTCAGACGTGAGTTGGAAAACATCTATATCCATACCTCTCCAGGAGCTTTCATTGTAATCCTATAGACTTTGGCACTTATGTAATGTGGGTGAACATATGCACTGATCTCGGGGGCAAGACAGACCGTAAATTAGTGCGAGCAGTGAAGATTCGTGGTGTTCTCATAACTTCGTTTTTATTTATCGATGTTCTGGTTTCCGTCTCGCCCATCCTCTTCTAAAATGTGCTTTTGCTAGTGTACATGGTATGTCCGTGGTTTTCTATCATAATATGCCCCTTGAAAGTACGGGTAAAATGGGTAGGCATCCCAGAAGGAATTGTAATATACAGGGTGGAGTGATGCAAGGTGCTGAAAATATGATATTGTTATATGGGGGTTGTATGTGGCGCTTCTCATAGAAGTTCAGCAAGACTTAAATCTAGTCTCTTCTTCGAGCTTCTTCGAGCTTCTTCTCGAGCTCCTTCAGAGCAGCTTCAGGGGAAGGAGTGGAATCTGGTCCTTCAGGAGGACCATCTTGACCAACGCCAGGCGATTTTGGGTTCGTCTTGGGCCCTGCCGACAAAAGCTTTGGAGTATCATCATCAACATCAGGCCAACTGTCAGGCTCTTCTTCTTGTACTATGCTCGGATGGTTTGAATCTGCCAGAGACTCATCCCAACCCTCAATCATATGCGCCGGATCGAAACGACCCTTGAGTCGCACGTTGATTTTCCCAGGTTGACCGTCAGCTCTGCGAAGCTTGACGATGAGATCCTGCACCTGAACGGGTTTACCAGCGCTGATCTGAGAGTGCATGGGCAGGTCATTAGAGCGATATGAAAGTCCGAGCGCATATTCGAGGGGTTTAAGGGGAACATAGCCCGCCCACTTGTCAAGGATGACACGCTCGACTCGGGACATGACTACCCAAAGACGAGGAATCTTGTTGGCTAGAATATCAGGGATTGCCTGTCTAGGGAAAATGCCTGGCTGATGCTCAAGCTTTTTCCAAAAGGGGTCTTTGTGCGTGCGAAGGAGGACTTGGCTCAGCAAGTTTCTCGATCCCTTCTGGAGCTGACGATGGAGGACGCCGTAGAAGTAGACAGTTCCGAGGGCATGTGGTGAGCGTGTTTTGACCGCAAGTGACAGGAGAGCACCATAAGTCTCCTGGTCAGGCTCGCAGCCGGCGTCCTTAAAGAGTGACATAGCCCAGAGAGCAGTATCCCAATCTCTAGACTTGGCCGCGTGGCTGAGGAAAATGTTGATAGTCTTGAGCTCAACTCTGTGGCCTGACTCGGTATGAATACTGACCAGTTTCTTGCAATCTTCGATTCGAGGATCTTCTGGACGGTGGAAGCGAAGTAGTTCAGTGGCAATACTATTGAGACCATCAATCGCTAGCCAGCCCTCACCATAGCGTTCCTTCTGCTCGTCCAGGAAGCATCTCAGAGGTATTCCAGCTTTGAAAGCAGCATATGCATCGAGAGAGGCCATTACATCGGCGATCCCGCGACGCGTGGCCTGGTGATTGAACATCCCCAATTGGTACATGGCCACAATGACCTGCCTCCTTTCGTCCTCACCCCTGACCAGTCGAAGGAAAAGCAGCCATGTTCGAATGTTAGGGTGATGATAGCGCGCCTGCATCCTTCGGAGAAACCTATAAAAGAAGCCAATATCACGCTTGTGAGTGTAGCCTTCAAGCATGATGTTGTATATATCAGTGTCCATGGGAATGCCTAATTCCTCTCCCAATTGTACGAGATGGTTGGCAGAGGCACGATGTCCACCTCGGAAGGCCATCATGGAAATGGCCATTTTCAAGACAGGGACAGTAATGAATGGTTTTGCAGCAGGGTCCTCAAAGGCATCAACGATGAGCTTAATCCTGATGCCATCCGTATCGATATATCTCCCATTCACACGCCTTTGGCCGTAGAACCTGATTGCTAGATGAGGAGGCACCTTTCCATAGCACAGCGTTGAGATATAGTGTTCAAAGTTGTCATGTGTCCATAAGGGCGGTCGCGGGATCTGCTCGTATGGCACATGGAGAGAGTGAGGCTGGTACTCTTTGTGCACCCAGATATTGTCGTTATGGTCATCAGGGAGCGAGGCGCCTCCGTTTGGCGCATTTTCAATGGTTGGCCACAGCTGCCTCGTCTTGTAATCCGACGCCGCCACTTCTCCCAGCTCATAGATTTCAGCGTCTTCGCAATACCTCACAATCTCGTCGGCCACCTTGACCAATATCTTGCTCTGTCCACGAAGCACAATGGCAGAAGGATTACGATCCACCACTGCCCGCAGTTTCTGGAGCACGCCCGTCGCAGAGTCGACATATTCGAGATTCTGGTTGTTGACTTCGATATCCCACGTTTTGGGTAGGACGATCCTTACAGCCGACATGTTGGCCCTCTCGCTCCATTGCGGTGTCATGCGCTTCATGAGCCCAAAACACTCTATCCATTGCGGAACTGTCTTATCGAAGTGGCTCCAGACCACACCCAAGCCGGCCTGTCGTCGTGCGTCCCGCCTATGCTCCTGTACGCTTGCTTTGTTCGCCTGTTCGTTTGGATATTGAAGTGGTTTTCCGATCACAGGTTTAAAGAGCTTCATAGTATCTTTGTCTTCGACCAGTCGAGGCGCATCGATCCTGAACGCATCTTTAAAGGCTCGATTGCGGGATTCGTGAGTATCGTCTGTAACTAAGTTGGCAATGACCTGCTCAGGCTGTTGTTCGCTCACTTCGAGAGACTTCTCAGGAAGGGCTACAAGAGCTGTTTCTGGGGGTTCAGTTGAGTTTGTCCCATCAGAATATGCTGTCGTTGACTCGAGCCGGATAGCGTAGGGATTGGATATCCTGGAGGGCAATGGGGCCCTTGATTTTGGGAAAGGTCCTGAGAAGGCAGAGCATCGCGACCGAGCCCGCCATATTGACTTGATCGCCAGGGACATTTGTTATAATTCACGCATCGTCGAAGGCGTTTTAGTTCGAGAGGCCCCCCGTTGAGAGCTGGGTCCTTGGCTACTAGATACCTTGGTATAGTAGTCTCAAAATATGGCGGAAAAAAGATTGGCGCGGGCGGGCGTTATCTGTTATCGCGATAACGGACCCGCGATGTCGGCCATTGCATCACGTGGGCACCCGAATGTCATATCTCGACTTGACTCGTCGTGTATAAGGCCATGTCAATGTGATAAACCAAAACGAATCATGTATGTAGTAAACTTATAAAGGTATTACAATAGTGACCAAGTAGCTTGTAGTTACCAGCATCAAATCGCCAGCTGCACCAATGCAACAACGCCTTGTCTGCTTCCCATCAGATGCCTATGTTTCTTTGCTCATCACAAGGTTGAAACTTGACAACCGTTTTCACTCACGTCTCCGATGCCTCCTTTTTACCGTTAACCATGGCCTTTTCCCGCATTGGATGAGCGCCGCCGCTCTGGTCGACACCTTCCCAACTTTCATCCCACCCTTTATCTTCTTTGACTGCCTCTTTCGCCTCGCCGCTCTCGGCCATTTGCTTGACATCGCTCCAGTAGGCTAGCTTCCGAACCTCTTCATCAGCATGATGGACGGCATCCTTTAATGCCTGGTTTCGCTCTCGTAATTCAGAAGTGTTCGTCTTCTTCATCTGGGTTGTCGTCTCGTCATGAATCTCCATCAATCTGCTGAGCAATATGCGACGTGATTGTTGGAAAACAAACAAAGACATTATCTCATGCATCTCGTGCTGAAGGTTTTGGAGGTCCGTTGCATGTTCCATGTAGTTGTTGACAGCGTCAAGCTTCTCTCGGTCTATCCTGGCTTGTCGAAGAGCGCGCATGAGGTCGTCCACGTTATCAATATCGGCAGGTTTCTCGTCCGCGTCCGCGGCCGACATCTGGCTCATACTCGAGCGACTGAGACGACTGCTAATGACACTCGCACGAGACTTTGGTGATTTGTGAGGAGCTGGCCGTATCGTGAAGTAATCCGTGTTGAGCATGTGCGGATCGGCAGACACTTCCTCCGGTCTCTTTCGCACCCTCTTGCGAATCCAGGCACGTCTTCGAACAAACGAGTTCCACCACTTGCCGCTATGCCAGGAAAACTTTTTTGAAAAGTGGAAGGAATATTCCCAGCCATGTTCGTCAACACCTTTTTGATAGTTAATTCGCCATTCGGGCCACGCCCATTCCCATGTAGGGTCGGGAACTTGTGCATTGTGGATGTTGCTTGGCGAAGCTTTATGGTACCCGTTGGCTGAAGCAAAAACGTCAATGTCTACTCGATAAAGGTGACTCGTGTTTCTGGGTTTGACGACTTACTCCAAGCAGGTGGATCAAGACCTCCAAGAGCTTGCGAAGAAAACAAAGGAATGCCGCAGAGAAACCCACCCCTTTCATTCTCGTAAAGGATGTCTATCGCTGTCTCGCGTTCGACATGAGGCTTCCTTGGCTTCACATTTGGATGATCTCCGTGAAAGCCGTCGGGGGTTGGCTCTGCTGATACGTCAGACTAATTTGAGATCCGATATCGCGGGCCATACTGACCTTGGACTTCAATGGATGGTCTTGTTTGTGGGGGCGTTGAAGGTTGGCCGTTCTCAATGCGGTTCGATGATGGATGGGTCTGGCTTTCACCCTCAGTATGGGAATCGTCATGCTCATTGGTGTGAGCATTGTTGGGCGTATTGCTCGATGGCTTCTTTTGGCCGCCATCTTGCTCGTCACGATTCTCTTGCTGTTCCTCCTCGTGTTCCTCCTCCAGGTCCAACAATCTTGAGGTTGTTGAGTATCTCGTTATATTATGAGGTTCGGGTGTAACTGACCCTGTCGGTGTCGCGGCGGCATCGTGGTCGACTAGGGCAATTTCATGATCGTAATCTGTAGGCCTGAGTCCCGCGGGACGACGCGAGCTCTTGACCCTCAGCATTGCAGCTGTGCCGCCCGGGGCTGATTGCCCGGTCACAGATAGGAGAGAGCTTGATTAGGTTGTCAATGATGGCGGAGATGAATTACGTATGGTGTTTGAAACGAATGATGGCACGTGGGAGGCTATTCAGCCGCGTCTCCAGACAACAATGGAGACAGCTGACACTAGATGATCAGAGTGTCACTTAGAATAAGGTAACGCTGTGATTAGAGTAAAAGATGAAAAAGTGAAGTGTCAAAAAAAAGCAGACTAGGAGAGACATTATGGCGTTGTGAGCTCGGAGGAGGCGCTACTACTGACTGTTAGGGGCTCCAACCTGCTTTAGGAGACTGTGGCGGGGCGTTCAGCTGAGGCAGCTTCCGTGTTGATAATGATGCTCTATTATTGTAGCAAATATCTAATGGAAAGTTTCATGAGCTAATAATACAATTCTTTCAGTTTAGGGGCCAAAAAAAGAAAGAAAGAAAAAAAAAAGCAAGTGGCAGCAAGCATAGACGCGAAGCTAATGGTCAAAATAAATGTAAAGTTTATACTCAATTGGAAAAATATATACAGACAAGTAAGCCATGTCGTTCATGATCGATCACCGTCACAGCTTCAGCCAGGTCCAAGAAGAATAAACTACTGAAGTTCGATGACGTAATGCCGGTTTACGGCGGGTCGGGTACTTGCATCTTTCAGTGGGGCCGTTCCCTGGAGGAAATCCATGAGGTGCAGCTCCGTCGGCGGTTCATCACTTTAGCGTAGAATGTTCGATCAACAAAAAAGTCTAGATTCAATTCTGTCACTAGAAGTGAATCATATTACGACATCAAGAATTAGATGCAAACCGAAGGACACCTTGCTGCCAGTACAAACGATTGGAGTATGCGCCTGAGAATCTTGTGCCACACAGAGAGATGTGATTACACCTTCAGTGAAGATTAATAAATCTACCTCCACGACCAGAATTACTAGTGTCATGGTATCTCTACCACAGCACCATAGGTAATGCTTTGTCCGTCAAGCATCCGTACCTAGTCTACTCACCCATTGAAGCTCATAGGTAGCAGTGTCAGTCCACCAAGTTTGTAGTACGTATCCGCGTTCAGTTCAGCCATCACTCATCACCTCATGATCCGAGCAATTGGTCTCCCCGCCCTCGTTACGTCATGTACTTGCAACCATCCTTTCCAGGTTCGCATATGAGCACATGGAAATTTGATTGACGAAGAAGAGGGGCACTACCAAGTAATTTTGACTTGCAAGCGAATCTTCCTACCTATGAGGTATGAGGTAGTTCCGAGGTAACCACCTAACCTAGAAAAGAGCTTACTTTCCTTTGCCTTGACAATAATAAATACCCGGCCATCATCTCCTCATCCATCATTGCATCCTGTCACTCCATACTCGACCCTCTCTACAAACACATCACAACAACACACGCCTTCGCAAATAACAACTACAAATCAACCAAAATGTCCAAGTCTCGCACTCCTCTCATTCTTGGCGGCGCTGCTGTCTCTGGTATCGGATACTACCTCTACGCCGCTGGCGGCAACCCACGAGCTGCTGAGAAGAAGGCCGAGAGTATGCGCTCTCAACCCCAATGCCAATAATTCTACTAACATCTCAATAGGTGACGCCCATAGCGTTGCTGCCGATATCAAGAGCCACCTTCCCGGCCGTTCCCCTAATGCTGAGGGTGAGCTGAAGGGAGCTGGTGCTGCTGCCGGTGCCAAGATTGACAGTGTTGTACGTTTATTCCCCAAAACACTACAATTATGTTCTAGTACGTCGCAATCATGTCCTAACCCAATCGCAGGCTGCCGAAGCCGACCGTCAGGCTGGTGTCATCAAGAGCAATGTCGAGTCTGTCGCCAAGGACGCAAAGGCCGAGGCCATGAGAGTAGTCGACAAGTTCGACCACCGTGTCGAGGCGGAAGCCGCAAAGGCCAAGGGCGGTATCTCGAGCTGGTTCGGTGGCGGCAAATAAGCGAATTCTCAACAATCAAGAATCAAGATGAAGCAACTGTATTACTTATTTAATCAAAGTCGGAGCCTGGGGTATCACTTTTGGGATTGAGCGGGCGAATGGTCATGGCCCAGCAGCATGAGACTGGCCGTGAGATAGCTCTGGGTCTCTGCATGCAATGTAATTTGATAGTATAAGAGCAATGAATCACGGTCAACAAGAAGAAGACGTACACGTTTTGGTGACATGCGGTGTTTAAAGACTATCCACCGCTTCGAATATTGTCTAAGCTCATTAGTTTCATATAACCAAGTCCAGAACTCCAATCCATTTATCAATATAATCCCTGGTGATCACCAGGTGCCAGTCTCTCTAATATCAGACAACCCTATTGCTCCAATTCCTCAGCCACCAACTTAAGTATTTCCTCACAACTCTTTCTCGCATTTGTGGGCTTCTTGGCAATCGCCTGCCACACTTCGCCGTGTCGAGGTTCATTCAGCACGCACTTCGTCACCACATCTGCCCGCTTCTCCTCCGTACCATGTTGGCACAAGAACCGGTAGTACCAAGCCCAAGAATCGCCGTAGTCGCTGTCCAGCACAAGAGCCTTCTCGAACCAGTTTTGCGCCTTCTCCAGCTTACGATCGCCCCAAAAGATGCGCGCCACAGCCACAAACAGGATGGGGTCACTGTCCACCTTCTTGATAGCTTCGAGACTGCGGGCCTTGCGCTGTGTTCTAGGTTCCAGATGCCATATCTGTTCTGCCCAGAGGAGACCACTCTTGGGGACTTCTTGTTGCGCCTTTGCCATCATTGACTTGGCCTGGGCTGTGTTACCTGCTCGACGTTCTAGTCGTACTGACTCGCACCACAACTGCGCATTCTTTGGCACAGCGAGTCGAGCACGGTCAAGCACCGATCGAGCCTTCACGGTAAGACCGGCCTGCTCCTCAAGCCTGGCATACAGAAGCCACAAGGGAACAGACTTGGGTACTGCCTTGACTCCTGTGGCATAAGCCTCTCTCGCTTGGCCAGTTTTGCCGAGGTCCTCATAGATCTGTCCCTTGAGCATCCAAAGCTTGGCTGCTGCAGGGAACAACTGAAGGGCCTGAAGGACAAGATCTAGAGCAGCCTCGATGTTGCCCAACACTCGTTCAAACACAACACTCTTCATCCATACACGATCTGTGGGAGCCTTCTCACGGGCAATCTCCAGAAGCTTCCGGGCTTGTTCGCCATTGCCATTTTCTGACTCTAGCTTAACAGCGGAAAGCCAAATATCCTCGTTGTTGGGGTTTTGGTTGAAGGCACGTTTGAGAACGAGACGAGCATTATCCACCTCGCCAGCCTGCCACTTCTCCTTGGCCAGCATCATCCATAGGTCCTCGCTCTTGGGGCACGCCTCCACAGCCTTCTCCAGCACTTGCCAGAGCGACTCTCGGGTTCCATGGTTCCTTTCCAAGTCTGCTGCTGCCATCCACATCGTTCTACTGTTGACGAATATCCGTAGTGCGTAGGCGTAGATGGCCCTGGCTGTCTCGTATTTGCCTCGGTTGATACTTGCCCTCGCATCTTCCATCCATGTGTCTTTGCGATCATCATCCTCGTCCAAACTCCAACCTAGAGTCTCCCGAATGATGTTCTGACAGGTAATAATGGCACCTTCCTCTTCGCATCGTTCTGCCTCTGCAATCCACTCCTCGCGCTTGGGCATCGCAGACTCCTTCGCCAGGACCTGGACACCACGCTTGATAACATTGACCTTGGTACCCTGTCCGAGCTGTTCCTGTAACCGTGCAGCCGCGATCCAAATTTCGTGTGACGTAGGACAGGCCTTTCGAGCCTTGTTGAGGACCTTCTGGGCGTTCTCTGGCGTCTCCAATCGTGCCAAGGCCAACCAGAGATCCACAGAGAGGGGAATCAGTTCGGTGGCCTTGGCTAGGAGCAGCTTGGCATCATCGGAGTTTTCCTCCAAGTTCACTGCCTCCTTCCATAAAGCCTCCGATTCAGGGATGTGATCAAGCGCTTGTCGGATAACTCGCTTCTTGTTGCTTGGAATTGTCTCTAGCCTCATCGCCTCGACCCAGAGTCTAACTGATGTGTTGTTGGCCTCAATAGCTCTTCGTGCAATAATCTTTGCATTTGGAGAATCGCTGTTAAGTCGAATGTTCTCAAGCCAAGCATCTTCACTTTTAGGACACTGTGTACAACCCTTGTCGATCGTCTTTCGTGCCGTTACACTCTTGCCTGCCAACTCCTCGAGTCGCGCCGCCGCGATCCAACCCAAAGCGTTTGTGGGATTCGTCTTGACAACAGACTGCAAAAGCTCGCGAACACGGTTGATATCTCCAACTTGAGCTTGCGCTTCACTCATCTGCATCTTGTTGAGGCTAGTAAGATAGCCTTGAGGGTCGATACTAGTTGATGTACCTGGCGCAGCAGAATCGCTCCCAGCTTGCTCCAATCTGGACTTGAGCACCTTGTCGCGAGCCGCGCCGATCTTAGCAAAGTTGGTCATTGTACCATCTGCAGCATCGCTGCCACCAGCGTTGGACGAAGTGCCCTCATCCATAACTGTTGTTCCCATCTCGCTCGAGTCGCGCGCTGCCGCAATGACGCTGTCGGGAACAGCATAGAATCGTTGTCGCAACGCTTGCTTGCTACGCCGGTTCTTGCCTGTCAAGTCGCCAACTTCGGGTAGATTTGCCCATTCATCGTCAGTAACAGTCGCCAGAGCTCGCTTCAGGTCGGAAAACTGCTGTTGGATTTTCGGGTTGTTTCGTTCGTATTCGTCCTTCTCGGCCTGCTCTCGTGCTTCGCGCTGCTTTTTTCTTCGGTCCATTCTCTCATCCACCCATTCCCAAATCTTATCAGCCTCCTCATCATCTTTGTCGTATACACCGCCAGCGAAGAGCCCAACTTCGTTGTCAGGATCTTGATATCGTTCTTCGTCACCTCCCTCGTCTTCATCTTTTTCTTTATCCTTGCCCTTCTTATCCGGCGCAAGACCTAGCTGAGCGGCACGCTTCGCAAGAGCCTCCTTGATCTGATCCTCGCTGGGTCCATCTCGAGCAGGGCCAAGATCGGATCGTGTCGTAAAACCTGTTGCGCCTCGTCCGAGACCAGCGACATAGTTCTCAGGGGCAGCCTGATTGAGGAAATCGCGTCGCCCCGACATGCTGACGGCGAGTCCTTTGTCTTGCTATTAAATGAGTGAGTGTGTCGATTGAATCCAATCCCGAGGTTTGAAGAGGGAAGATCAAGGTCGCGCAGAGCTCAGATGAGAATGGAAGCAGTCCAAAACATAAATGCGGGTCAAAATTGAAGAGCTCTAGGCTCCACAGTCCGCCACTTTCCGTTGAAATCTGACACCCTCTACGAACGACTCTGCCAAACGTTCATTGGCAGAAACAATTTTATAGATGTCCCAGGAAATGCCACTATAAAAAATACCATGAGGCTTCACATCTGCAAACACCTACGATAAGACGTCACCATTACTAAATTCCGTCAGGACCATGATACTGTGTCGAGTAGGGAAGCGCCTTAATCTCCCATGTCCATGAGGTAAACTGAGAAACGGCCCAAAAGTGATTGCGTTTGGCGTTCCCACAATGAGAAGCTCATCTTTCATATAAATTTTACAAGGATATCTTTCTTTCATGATAGTAACAGGCTTTCTGTTGAATTCTGCATTCAACGATATAATCGCTCTCTTCTACCGTCCTAACTACGAAGCATTTCATATGTGCTCCAATCCACATCTTCCTCTTCAAGTCGGCCTGACTTTCTTTTCTCTTCTTGTGTGTTTCATAAGCCGTTAAAATTACAACGTATAGTTGCCGCTTTTCCTTCTATGGGTTTTGTGAAACGAAATCAAAGCAATAACTCCATCCCTAACCATTCTCGAAGACTACTCCCAGCAAGCAAATGTGTACCGTACCACACGGCACAACTTGTACATGCTCACCAGGTCAGGCTTAGAGTGAAAACAACCCAAGAAACACCGGACAGGAAGCATAGGTGTTAAACCTGTCTATAAACCAATAAACAAAACAATGAAACAAAATCTTGAAGCTCCATGTCCCTATGATGTTCAGCCATAATGTGGATGGAGGTTTACATCCAACGCCGCTGCTCCCTAATGTGACATGCTATGCACGCTCAAAATACACAAGACAAACGGTGACTTGACAAAAGAAAGGCTAGAAGGGCTTCTGCCTCTCTCGGGGCAGCCTCCCATCTAGTTTGAAGGTTCAACCTTGGTACTGTTCGAAGGATCGTTTGAAGAATTTGGACTGACGGCCTTCCTCCCTGATACAGTGGCGCTGCGGATACGGGCGCTCATCGGAAGAGTATATTTAACCACGCCCTTAACGATCAGGTCAAATTCGTTCTGGTAAATTCGCTCCCAACGTCGTGAGCCCCCCACTGTATTGTTCAGAGGGTATTCGAGTTGCATCTCTCCAGTTGAAGAAGAGGTGCCTTGATGGAAAAGAGAGCCCTCGAAAGTAAGAGGACTATCGAATTCTGTGATCCGTCCCAGAAGAACGTTGGGTCTTAGGTCATCATCTGGGTCGGGATCATCCAGCGGAGGGTCGTTTTCGGGGTCATCTGACACGCGTAGATCATCTGGGCCGTGAGGGAAAGGTCGCGCCCACCAGTCCGAATCTGTTCCTGTATATTCAGATTTCGCGAAAACTTCTAGGTTTGCGTGGTCTATTGTGACGACGACGATGTTAGGATTATGTGCTTTGACGGTCAAATCGAACATCAATACTTGGTCGCTGGTCACCACGTTGTGGATAGCAGTGATTTCGATTCCAGTCATCGGCTGCGAAGTAGCAAACATGAAGCCGATAGCGCCAGTAATGACAAGCATGAACATCATGGTAAGTACTAAACATGCCGCAAACCGGTTCAAGTATGACGACCGTCTTGCAAAAGTTTGTGACTCGGCCTGTCGTAGGTTGTGCGGCCCACGCCGGCTTCGACCTGAACGACCTGAGCGGACCGAGCCGAGAAGAGGTGTACGCTCATCATCTGCTCCTGTCGTATCATCCATATCGTAACTGGACGACATCTGCATCGCAGAACGTTTATGTCCAAAATGGCGCGGAGCGTTGGAGTGAGCGTTGCGCGGGCTCGGTGGCCCTGAGGAATTGCGAGAATTAGGTCCAGCGAGCTTCGACCTCGCAGCATTCGGAAATGGGGACTCATTATCGAATAGCGAGGCATGGCCGTTACCAGGCTGTCTACCCCAGCGACCAATGTGGTGATGGTGTCTCGTCGTACCTCGTGTTGACCCACTGCCACCACTGCGGTTAGAGCTTTTGCCATCCTCAGTTTCGACTGCTAAGCTCTCATTTCCGTTGCTAGTAAAAGTGTTGACGAATTTCATCGTCTTCTTGGGTCCATGAGCAGGTCCTCCAGTCTCCATAATACCATAAATGGATCGCAGATTCTGGCGATCAGCCTGGCTAGCCATAGATGTAGCACTGGGAGTCCTTGAATGAAATCGGCGTCCAGCCCGATCATTGCCATCCGGAGGGTTAGAGTCGTAAACAAAGGTCTCTTCAGAATCCGAGGTGTTTGCTTCGTCAACAGCGCTAGCAATCGTTGCCTCGAAAACATCAGCTTTGGAGGATGCTGGATAGATATTAGCAACATCCCTCAATGTCAGTGTCACTAGTTCAGGCTCACCATTCCCTGCGTTTACTGGGGGCTGTTTGCGTGTAACCTTCTTCTTATCCTTTTTCGGTTTTATTGTCTCCGTGCTCTGTTTCGTCTTCAGAGTTCCATTTGTTCCTTCACTTTTCTGGGCGGTTGTGAGCGCAACCTGTGGCACGCTTGGAACAGTTTCGGTCTCTACTGTCATGGTCTGTATAGATCCATCCTGCTTCGACTTCATTTGCTTATTCGACATGGCACTAGACTGTCGAGTAATTATGGGTGGAGGAACGGATGTCGGTCTTCTTGTCTCCGCCTTGTTGTTGCTGGTGTCGCTTCCACTCTCTTGACCGACCAAGCTGTTCTTTGCTCGTAGAGCCCGTCCATCGGGAAGTGCGGTATCAGAATAGTTGTCGGTGCTTGATAACTTTTCCTTCAACTTTTCCACTAAAGCCGACCCGCTTGGAGGATTGGGAGAGTTTGGTAAACTGACTTCTTGAACCGTTTCCAACGCTACGCGAGCTGGAGTTCGCATACCAGATGGATACTGCGACTCCTCCATCTCGCTCTCTGATATTGTTTGTTGCTCCATAGGCTGCGGCGACGGCGTAGGTCGTTGAACACTAATGGAAGGAAGATCCTGCTCGCTGCGACGTGCAGGAATTGCTGGTCTGTTACTAAACTGGGGGGGAGGCGATCGCAGGCGGGGCGATACGGGCCATCGCGGGCTGTCTTTGAGGTCTGCGTTGAAGCCTGGCTTTTGTGGGGTGGGTGCTTGGATCTGTTGTTGTTGTTGTTCTTGGGAAGGTGTAAGTGTTGGAGTGTTGGTCGAGGACAATGAGCGCGATGGGGCAGCGGAGGACAAGCTTGGTCGTGTCGTGCGTGAAGGACTATTATCGGTTTGGCTGTTTTTACGAGATCGATTACCAGGCAAGCGGTTTGCTGAAGCAGTCCTTCGAGGGCGTCGCGTGGGGGAAGAATCTCTTGAGGCCAAGGGCGAAGGGCCTACAGAATTGTTGGCAGAGGATTGTTTAGAGTTCTGACTTCCTGTTGTTGCGCTTGAGGATGTTGCAGATGGGTCGGTCACGTTACGAGACGTACGACCGACGCCAGATGTGCCGTCTAAGACGGCAGATGACTTGTCCATGATGACGGTGGCCTGTGGGAATGGTGGAGTGAATGCCTAGCGAGCATACCACCGGGACGGGCCTTAGCAGGGACAATGAATTGCAAAGCAGATTTCAGAATAGATCATTGTGGTTGGCTCGTCATTGAAACAGAATGGGCGTATGGCCGAGATCGAGGGCCGCGAGAATGTCCAGGAGGGAAAGCCTGCAAAGAGAAGCTAACCCAACCTATTCCGGACGGCTGCTGGCACCTGTCTGTTGAGTATATGGCAGACGACACAAGCGGACGGGCGGGATATGGCTGGGCAGACAAACGGTGAGGGCGGATGCAGGTTGACTAGACAGGTAGGAAGAGTATCGAACTAAACGAGGGCGAAACAGTCGGCATGTACAGGATAGAGAAAACGGTGCAATGACAAGATGTAGTGAAACCGTTTATTGTCGTAAAAGAAGTGGTGGTGGTGTTGGTGGTGGTGTTGAGGTCGAGAGTAAGTAGTAGTGAGCGAGCGAGCGAGCGAGCAAGTGAGTGAGTACAGTATGATGGTAGTGGTTGGCGGGAGTGACGGTGGGTGTAGGCGAGAAGATGGTGGTGGACGTAGTCTTGGCCGTAATGTGATGGATGTGGATGTGAGAGAAAAGGTGACGCTGGTGTTGTACCCGGCCGTACCTATATCCGCACTCCCGTCAGGTCCTGGTTAAAAATCCGATTACTGACGCAGCCGGGTACGTAGATCAAAGTACCTTTTTTCCTGTCCTTTTTTTTTCGCTCACTCAGAGAGTCTTCCGGAAGAGCAACGCCCCCCAAAGTAAGAGACATGGGCTGGCTCCCGGGATGGGGCCTGGAAAAGAACCAGAAAGGAATCACGTAGGGGCAAGTTCTGGCTGGGGTAAATCAATTGGATTGGTCAGTTGCAGTTAGCGTTGAAGCATGACACAATCTGTCGGGTCGCCTTGGTACGAAAGCCCTGGAGACACAGAGAGTCAATGTCTTGTTGGGTTGGACGAGTCTAGATTGAAGGGAGGATAGCGCGGGTGTTAAAGCTGACACTGATTTATTTCCAACATCAGGCTATAATTTAGGGCAGAGAATAGAGCAACAGGAAAAGAAAAGACGAAAAAGAAAGCAGACCTCACGAGCTATTCAGAGTTTTCAACCACGATGATGTCGCAATTCTTTGCAGTTCATTGGATCCCGACAAGGATGTCTTTTTCCGCCTCTCCTCGCTGAGTCTGAGTGGGTGTGGTTTGGGGTTGTAAGTGAGTGACGGATTGTGCCGCCTTCGACATTGATATGATGAAAATGCTTGTTTTCTACCACTGTTATATGCACATTGAAGATAATATTACGTCTTTCTGTATCATAATAACTAGCCGCAGGGCTGAATGACTAACGCAGTTGAAGGATACTCAACAAACCTTCCAACGTTGTAGCCAACTCACTGGCTGATGGCTGTTTCAGCAACTACTTGGTTATCAGAACTGGTTCCTGAAAGTCAATTATAATTCAAAAAGGTCAACGCCATGATAAATGCTCATGTGACTCGAATAAGGCGATGGATGTTGACAGCTTTCCCTGATAGACATGTTAAGCCTAACAAGCTCAAGCTAGCCAAGGCCATTCATCAAGTGATGCTCAACAATGGCGATGATGACGATGGGAGTCGGAATAAAGTAGCCACTTTGTAACTCTAATTGTTGCCCCTAGTGAATAGCTTCCTTTGTCTGGGTATCAAATTCACACTGAGCCTCTCTATATCTCAACCCAACAACATCTCAAGCCTCAAAATGCTTCTTCAACCGCAAAGCCCCGTCCCTTTTAAATTCGCACTCGCAATAGCCCCTGCAACCGGTTCCTGGCACCAGGCGCGACACCAAGGATCCAATCGTAAGCAGAGCGGAGAGCCCTTGTTTGGCGGAAGTCATCCCTGTAGCCGGTACCTGATTGCTCCCACACCAAAAATGCCTTCTCTGCCCGCTCTCAGATCGTCGCGAGAGGACTTCCATTTCGCTTCTTTGTGTAGGTAGTGGACTTGGGCGAGTAGCTAACTTATTGCAGTTACAAGGCTCCATTCTCTTCATAGATCATCAGGTTTGTTACACCGAGACTCAGAGAATAGAAGAGTCTTGCCAATTTCCAATCATCGGCGTTTTTGGTCTGAATCTAAGCTTCGCAACAACGCCAAGTCTCAAGTCTCGGATATTCTCAGACAATGTCACTATCATCAGGGCAACACAGAAGCATCGGCAGGGTCCGCTGATTATAAAGACGAGCAGCAGTGGCTCTCCAGAAGGGACCTGGACCTTACAAAGACGGTCAGAAGTGAAAATTTCAACCTTTCTAGCCCTATTCCTCCACTGCACGATAGTCTGCTCCGTACTGCTGGGTACTATGCGATGCAGTGTTTGTGACACCCCAGTGAGGGCTTGTCTTGTTGACTGCAGCTAGCATAGCTAGAGCTTCCAGAGCCACGTTGACAACGGTTCTTAGTGGGCCAGTGGTGGGATACAATGGGATGCAATGCGTGGTGTTGCCGCACGGCTCATCAGCATGATCATGTGGACACTTCAAGCCTGCATCATCTTCTCTTTTTGACATTCACTCATTCGCATTGGATTGACACGAATCTGAATCTGCCTTGAACATGCCCCAATCTTCAGCCTGCACGTCATGGACTTGGTCCGTCGTAGGACAAGCCCCCAATGACAATAGCCGGTCATCCCCTGACACACTGTCCCAGCAGGCCGTTCTGTTCTGACCGGGGCAAATCCGCTAGCAAAAAGAAAGCCCCATTTGACCAGCCAAACCAGGCGGAAACAACCATCAACGTCCCCCGGAGACCGCAGAACGCTTCTAGAGGCCCTCGTTGTGCTCAAACCTCAGGCACGACGGCAGTCCTAGCCCTAGTACACTGACACTACAATACCTCACCGACTCTTGAATACCAGTTTCAGGTATACTCTGGGTATCGCGGTTCAAACCCCGTGACTGCTCTGACCGCAAATTTTGATGATACTGCTTGCCTATCTCGGCTACCCGGGGACCGGAAAGAATTGTCCGGGACTGTCAGATGCTGAAGGTTTGTACTTTGTTGTGGGTGAAAGATCCTGGCCGAGGCGGAGGGACGGAGTTAACACAGTTATCCCGTACGTATGTAAATATATGCCGCTGATGCTGTCAGCCATATTTCCCCAGAAGATGAATATGCAAGATAGATGGCCATCGCCAACGTTGCTACATATTGTCACAAGGCATGTATGTAGGTACCTATGTGGTTGCACGATGCCAAGTTCCCGTTCTCTGCTAGGGCCGTGTTGCTGGCCTCATCATGACAACAATGCCTCGGCTCTTGTCTTGAAAATGGTCTGAGACTTGTCGATATGGAAGAGACAAAATCATATGTGTTGTTGGGATCTGCTAAATCTGCACTGCAAAGTCTTGTCTCTCTCTGCATTGTTAATCATGCCCCATCAAACTCATCTTACTCGAACTACCCTGGATCCTGTCGATGAACCTCGGTCTCAGACATGGACCAGCATCATCTGAAAGCCATGCACATAACGCACGCGTCGGCATCCTCTCGTCATGCATAGAGGAGTAATAGTAACTTGGGAGGGGTACCATCCGTTCGCCCTTCCGACACGCGGATGAAGACCTTGGCTGTCTGTATCTCGGATCTGAGATTCGGCTTCCGTTCACCATAGAGTAGAAGTCTATGCTCTGACCTACGTCAACTACCTCCTGCCTAAAACCAAAATCGAACAAGAAACAGTAGAGGTAAGTATTTAGCCCCTTTCAAGTCACAGCCACTATTCTCAACTCTTCAGCCTCTCACAGTCTGACACGAGTATCATCCTTCTCCACCAAGGTTGCAAGTGTGCCACATGCTTGAACAGCAGATGCTCAAGTTCAGGGTAAGACTCAAGCCACAAATTTCAATGTCTTGGTCAGAACAAGCTCAATTACGGTAGTCAAGATCGATATAGCCAAGCTAGAAGTCACACAGGGAGTGAATGGCATGTGTATTTCCTGCCTAGCTTCCCCTTGAGAATCAAACGAAGAGGGGAATACATACACCTTTCTAATTATCTTATGACGAGTTTCATTAACAATGTCGGCCCAGGGCCTGACCTTGTATGCACTGATATGTTTATAATTTCATTTATCTTAACCCTGTAACTATTTATAAGTAGGAGATCGAGTCTCTCTCTCTCTTACACTCACTGAACTGCCTCGTATCAACCCCCCAAACCCTGCCACAGAATCTCCAACCCTGGCTTGTGTAACATGAGAGTAGCCAAGTTCATGCAGACAGACAAGACAAGTTTCGAGATGCTACAATAAGAAAAGCGGGATCTCGATTCAGCCTTGATAGGCATCAACTGGTGCTAACCAGTCTCCAAATAGAATGCTTAGCCACCTCAACCGTCTTGGCTTCGATTCCTTCAACGGATTTCGTGAGAATAGAATCAAGATCAGAGTCAGCTGCCAATCTGAACCCTTGTTGGTGGTGGACAAATAACAACCACAAATCATCATCAACATAACGCATCATGATAATCACAGTCACAATCCCGATCGCGCCCTCTGAATCACAAAACAATACGTACCCTCCACATGCGCTATTTCTTGGATTCTTTGTCCTGCTTGTTTTGTATCACCTCCCGTCCTCCCCCCATTCCCAGGGCTGACATGTCATGAACACGGCCTATCGCCTCCTCGGGTTCCTGCGCAGATGATCATCCCGCGTCGCGCCGTCTGAGCTGTCAACGGGATGTTCCTTGTGCCACGGACCACTTGTCCCGTCTTATCACAACCACCCTAAATCCCCTGGGACTACAGTATGTATGCTGTGTTGTCCAGTCGTGGTATATGCGCGCGCTTTCGAATGGCTGCCTTATGCATCATGGCTCTTGACTGAAATCGCGCAACTTGTACATGCTTGTACACTTATCTGCTCGTTTAAGTAGCATCGTAGAGTTGCCATGGGAGGAACTATCGATTCTGTACAGGATGCATGTAGGGTCTGATAGGAAACGTCATCTCACTAAACTTGACAATTCAGCAGCCGGTCAACTTGCGGTTGGTCAGGTTTGATATGTAGTATTCCATTGCATATGAGGCCAGCGATGGTTAGGAAGAGGGGGAAAAGCTTTGTGACTCAATGACCTTCAAGATCTGATACCGCCTGTAATTTACGGCATCAAATATGACATTCCCATTCAGGCTGTGTCGCTGTATATTTATCCATACCTATAGTACGCTTAAAATGCCAGCCCTAGAAAAGACACAACGCTATTCCACGTTATCCAAGATTAACAAAGAAGCCCCTGGATTCGCGAAACCAATATCGTCAACTATATTCATGATTGTAACCTCGCTATACGAGTGCTTTCCGTAAGTCTATATCTAGAAACATCATGCCTCCATTCTTAGTTCGTCGTCAACAGTCATGTGCTCCCATACTAGCTTGGAATTGTCCATCACCTATCCCAAGCACAAACAGGACAATCCTTAAAACACCACCCATTGCTTGCGAGACGGCGTCGATACAGCCAACGATAATCCATGAACCCAACGCCGCTATATCTAATGACGTAAATCGTACATGACCAGTCATCAGTCCCTAAGGATGCCCTATGAACATACATATCCAAGCGTCACGTCTCATTAATTCTGTGTCACTGCGTAGCATCTTCTCTCCAGTCTCAGGCCCTTCCTACAGCCCTATCCCGCTCTACTCGGGAATTGGGTTGCCGGACGGTACCTGCTGCTCCTCCTTCTTGGCCCCCCAGGTGAATGGCGAGTACCAGCTGGATCGCTTATTCTCCTTAACAGCCTCCTGGTTCTCCTGGACCAGTCGAAGCGGCCTCGGCTTGCCTCCCGCGAACGACGTTGTGTGCCTATCATTATGGGATCGGGGTGGTGATTGCGAGGGCGGCGTCGACATGGATAACTCTCCAGACTCTCCGCTCAAGCTGGACGTCTCACTCCGCATCCCAGGAAAGTTGCCGGAGGTGGCCACCGAGGCTCCGCTAGGCACCCGGGCGGCCGCGTTAGGGTTGCCCGAGTTGTTCGGCGGGGAGAAGAAGGTTTGGGAATGCCGTGGAGTCCCAAGTGGTGGAGAGACGGGGCCGTCTGGCCCCCGATACATCTGGCTGACCAGGCTGGCAGCCCCAGTATATTGGTCGCTCTGAGGCCGTGGACTCCGTCTTGTACTGGTTGAACGTGATAACCCGATCGGTATACTAGGTGCCTTGTCAGGGTCGGTGTGGTTTGAGCTAGTAGAGGGTTGCATGACGGAGATTGGCCTAGGCCTCGGTTTGGTAGGCCCGACCGCCATGGATTTGGCTCGCTGGAGGATTGTTGCCCCAGGCTGTTGCTTGTCGGCAGGGGCTGGAGGAAGCTCCTTGTTGGTATCTGGGAGGCTTTTCAAATCGCTCGACTGGTCGAGGATGGACTCGAAGTCCTGATGTTGAAGAAGGCGCTCAATAATCTTGTTAATATATAGTGTGAGCGCCTTGTTCTGCTCCTTCATGGACTTCAGCTCGGCCTCAAGACGGCGGTCACCATCGGAGACAGATTCTCCCTCAGTAGCTTCAGACAACTCATCAGCAAGACTAGAACCAGCCGCCTTGCCCTCGAGTGCAGCCAGGGCGTCCTGGTTGGAGTTGCTGCCCATGTAGCTGAAGTCGTTCTGTCCAAAGTCACCCTTGAGTGTACGCTCCTGTAGAAGCAGCTGGTAGCTCTCGTTGTCCTCCATAAGTCGAGCGTTCGCCATACGAGCCTCCATGAGAAGTCGTTCTACCTCGTGTAGGCGACCGCCACCCTGGTTCTCTGACTCGACCAGCTTAATCTGAGCCTCAGCGAGTTCCAGTCGTAGAGACTCAATGAGCTTGTCTTTCTGAAGAATGAGTTTTGAGCTATTCCGCGAGTCGCTGCGCTGTATAGAGGATGGAGGTGCGAAGCTGCCGTTTTCGAGCGATGGCGATGAACCGGCAGAATCTGGAAAACCAGTGAGCGGGGAAGATGGCAGAGAGAATGAATATGTGGACATACGTTGTCTCGAAGGGCGACTCTCTTCCGCCGTGTTGTTTCGCTGGGCAAGGCTGTCCTTGAGCCGCTGGATCATGGCCTGCATCTCCTCTTCTCGGCTGGCCATTTCTTCCTTCTCTTTAAGAATCGAACTGCGTTCCGCTTCGTAAATGGACTCCATCTCACGCATCTGACGAGTCATCTCCCTCTTCTCGTTACTCAGAGTCTCAATCTGCTCTTCGTATTCATGTGCTTTCTCCTCCAACTTTGCCGACTCCTTGACCGCCTCATCGAGTTTGGACTGGAGAACCTCGACCTGACGCTTGTATTGAAGGGAAGACTTCTCTTCATTCTCTAGGCGCTTCTGAAGATCTTCAACGGCAGCAGCAGCTTCGGCTCGAGCGTCTGATTCAGCAGCACTCAGAGTATCCCTTCTGGCAATAGCAGCACGGGCTGACACAGGCGCAGTTGTTCGTAGCGATCGAGTGCGGGTATGGCCATTGCTGGTAGGAGTAGTAGATCGAGAGTTGGAACGTGAGGGAGAAGGACTTGTTGAAGAATTAGATTCGGTATGAGAAACTCGGCCAACACCACCCGCCGGAGGCTTCTTTGTAGCAGCGGACATGTTTATTTGTTTTGTTTTGTTTGGTTGGGCTGTGTTGGGTCGTATGCTTTTAGCGATGTAGCGTAAGAAGAGTTGGCGGTGTCTCAAGGGAGCGAGAGCAACACCAGGTTGTTCGAGGTCGAGTATAGATATTGTACGGCTTAAACCTGCGGTAGTGTCGTGTCTTCTGCTTGCGGCCGATTGTGTTGCACGTTCGCCCGGTGATCTGGAACGTACTCAAGATAATAAACCCAACAAGAAGGGTCGAAGCTGAAATAGGAGTGTGTCTTGTCTGTCCAATACAGTAACGGACAGTCCGTCTGCGCCTCAGAAGGGACGTTGCCAGGTACGGGGTAGGGGCCTGCACGTTAGTGTGTGGCGTCGGCGTCCAGAAGGTCGATATTTCTGGGGCATCCAAGCAGCCAACTGTTGAAACAGGCTACGCCAGGCCAGGAAATACTGTGCTATACTGTATAACTGTATTGATAGTGATGAGTCGAAGAAACGACTCCAGTTTGGGGTTTGTTGCAGAAGAGTGAATGCCGTGCAGATGTTGAAGGACGAAGCTGCAAAACTTGCCAGCTAAGGACAAAGGATTCGATGGGTGTTGGCTGACCTGATATGCAGGGACTCATACTCTATTGCCAACAGCCTCCCTCCATTATGGTTTACCTATGGAGCATTAGGAAGGTTTCGGTGTACACAAGTACAGTCATTAATCTTAATTATTTACTCATACTGTAGCAGCCAATCTATATCCGTAACACTGCTGGCACGGTAGCGTCGTAAGAGGTAATGTGTGGCTGTTGAATGTTATTTTGTCGTGTCAATGAGTGGAACAGCTCCTTATATGGGCCCTTTTATTAATGAATGTCACGGATCTTCCCCAGAAGGTGTTGGGGACATTTGCTTGTGCCTGGAGGTTTTCCCGCAAACAACAGGGCCATACTTGATCCATGCGTACTGTGCATGGCCTCTGGTAAAGTGCCTTTAATGATGCGCCTGGAAATTAGGAAGAATTGTAATGGGAGATTGGCAATTGAGATTTGGATAAACTGCCCGTCAATGTATCACTTGAGTGGCTGAGGAATGAGCAACAGGAAGCAACTCATGAAAGCCGCGTCAGAGCATATCTTTTAAAATTGATCATGTTATATGTATGCCACGTAGCGGTTGACTCACAGCCAGCTAACCCAAGTTTTCGAAATTCTGATCGCAACACAGGTTAGCGTGGTCACAGCACGTTCAAGGCCTGAACCTTATGGTTTACAATTAAGTCAGTGGCTCTTGAAGTTGGTAAGTCATGCGTTCCAAGTAGCGGGTTGCTCATCGACAACCCGTGCATTCCTACCCTCGAAGGGTTAATGCCTCTAGAACAGGGATAATACAAAATATAAGATGTTGACTTAAGAACTAGGAAACCTTGTTCAAGTATGGATAATGAGCAACAAAATGCTATATACAGGTGAAGGGGAATGCTTCCGTATTGCGTGCTTGACAATGGAGTGATTGAGTTCATACATTACATTAGAGCTCTGTTGTCGCAACACCGAACACGGCATTAACAAAACCAATTGCATGACAACCAATGTTACAATCACAGGGACAAGACATATATTGGCGGGGAACAATGTTCATGAGCTTTATTTTTTATTGGCTTGAACTGGTAATCAATACCAAGTCCAACGAAGCCCAAGACGCATAGGTCAAGGGGAGAACTGCCAGCTTTCTTGCATCGCATGCTCTCACTAAGAGTTGTCGCTTTTTCATCACTCAGATTGGTATATCCTCATATGCCCTGGACCCATTTTACCCCAAACGCCATAAAATGCATTCTCTATCAGCGAGACACTTAAGCCTGCTGGTCGCTGAGAATGTCGGAGTCACCAGCGTCGAGGATGGCCATGGTGGAGCAACGGAAGAGCTTACCGCAGGCGGTACCGAGCTCAATCTGTAGGTGGACATGTAAGCCTATGAACCCTCCAAAGTCGGATGACTTCTTCTCTGGGTAGGCCACAAGAACTCAAGTTCTTGGGGCCAAAGAAATGTTGTCAAGCAAGCCAACATTTCCGAGAAGCATCATGTTGCAGTTTCCGGCAACATGACGATATTTGTAAAGAGACCTAGCGATTTGGGACTTACGTTGTTGCCAGAGAAGTGGTGGATGGGGGCCTTGGACAGCATGCTGTAGTACTCGAGCTCAGACTTGCGGAGAGGAGGAGTGTTGCCAGCAATGATGATGAGCTTGGCCTTGCCGGATCGGAGGCTCTTGAGGGTAGACTTGTAGCCAAGAGTGACTGCAAAATCGGTCAGTCAAAAGTTCGTCCTTGATTACTTCTCAGGACTCTGCGCATACCCTTTCCGGACTTCATAACAAGCGCCAACTTGGAGTTGATGCTGTTGGCATCCTTCTTGCTCTTCTTCTGGGGGGCCATTGTGATTGTTGGGCGACGGGTTGGCGGTGACTTGACGTTCGTTGATGGAAGCTGAAAGTGTGAAGAAAAAGTTGCATGGGTTTTTGAAAGGCAAGTGCGTGGAGTGGGCTAACCCCGATACGCTCCTGCCGTTGCAGAGCCCTAAGCCGACATTTACCCGCTGACCTCATCCGCTGACAAATGAGCAGACATTGCGAGAAAGGCTGTTTGGGACATTCTTTGTGTGCTGCTCTGCTTTCTCCTACACCAACACCATCAACCGGATATCCATCAAACTCCGACAAAATGGCGCGCCGTCCTGCTCGTTGCTACCGGTACTGCAAGAACAAGGTGAGTTTTTCTTTATTCGAATCATCTCCAGAAATATCGTGATTTTGACCTCGCTGCTTCATTTCCGCGACGAAATACCCAGTGCTGCGCTTCTGCGGGGTGGCCTCTCTGATTATGAATCACAAACTTCTGAAGATAATATCATACTGACTCCCCCTCCAGCCGTACCCCAAGTCTCGGTTCAACCGTGGTGTCCCCGACCCCAAGATCCGAATCTTCGATCTTGGCCGAAAGCGCGCCAATGTTGACGACTTCCCTCTCTGCATTCACCTCGTTTCCAACGAGTATGAGCAGCTGAGCTCCGAGGCCCTCGAGGCCGCCCGTATTTGCGCCAACAAGTACCTCGTCAAGAACACCGGTAAGGAGGGTTTCCACCTCCGAGTCCGCGCCCACCCCTTCCACGTTGTCCGTATCAACAAGATGTTGTCTTGTGCCGGTGCCGATAGACTGCAGACCGGTATGCGTGGTGCCTGGGGTAAGCCCAACGGCACTGTCGCCCGTGTCAACATTGGCCAGATTCTCATGAGCGTCCGCACTCGTGATGCTAGTATGTGTAATCCGTTTTGCCACTTTGAAGCCATCTTACTAATCAACTACCAGACCGTGCCATTGCCCTCGAGGCCCTCCGACGATCCCAGTACAAGTTCCCTGGCCGACAAAAGATCATTGTCTCCAAGAACTGGGGCTTCACCCCTCTCCGACGTGAGGAGTACCTCGACAAGAAGGCTGCTGGCCGCGTCAAGGTCGACGGTGCTTATGTCCAGTTCCTTTCCAACCACGGTTCTCTGGAGCGCAACATCCGCCGCTTCCCCGATGCCTTCAAGTCTGAGGCTTAAAGAAATGATGGACAGGATGGAATCTGGGTTTTCTGGCGTCAAAATGGCTTGTCAAATAAGGACCTCTCGAGACTTTACTAGTTGAAAGGTGCCGGTTAGGCAAATTGAAATCTTGCATTCAGAACTCTGTTTCTCCTCATCGTGCACCGCATCATTAATGATATCACTCAAAGATTTCTGACTTTGACTAGAGTGGTAGGTCTTATCTAAGCACGGGATATGTTTTCTGAGATCTGTAACCCTGTGAAATGTGCCTCTCAATTTCTAAGCCATGCGTTGCTTGGCTTATCGTTGTCAGACAATTGCTCATCGATCAGCTCAAGCCTGGCATTCTCATTTTTGGCCTGGTGATTGGCGGGCCATGCTGTCCGCATATCCACTCATACTCCCTGCCGAACATGGTGGTGTACTCCCGCTCACCTTCGGGGGAATTTTGATGCAGGAGGAATACTACCATTTCTGGATGCTTATATCTCATTTCAAGATACTTGGGATTGTGCATATAGAAGATTGTACTTGAAGAGTGTTGGAAGAGACATTCAATGTCTTGTTGGGGCAGTTTCGCAATACGGCTACGCTTGTATTCGGACCACATGACTTCACTTGGGTGATTTGTGACGCCATGAAGGTCACAGGTAGCGCACGTCTTTTTTCCTCACTCTGACAGAAGACATCAGGGGTTATCGTTGGACGAGATGGAGCCCCGTTGGTTAGGCCGAGGAAACATGAATCGTAAGGTTGTATGAGGTGAGGATTCCTTTACTCATCGCTCGGGAACCTCTTTGTTCTTTCTTTGTGAAAAACATCCTGGTTCAGTCATAGCGAGATACTTGATAGTCGGTGTCTATTGTGTGGCGCTGTTACTTAGGTCGGTTTTAGTAGCATCCATTAACACAGTCAGATGCAGAATGAGATGAGAAAGTGGCTGGCTAAAGCTGGCATTGGACAAATGGAATGGAGGGCCTGGGGGATCATGAAGGCACCTCACCTGCGGTTGTGTCACCTTGGGCGGGACAGCGGGCAGACTAGCTCATAGGTACCTCAGATCTGTCTTTGATGGGGGCAGCAACTTATCACCCTGCATCTGATCTTGGCTGTGGATATGTGCCGGGCCCTTTTTCCTTCTCGAAGAATGTAACGATGGTTTAACCGTACGACTTCTTATTAGGCATATCAACTTACGGCTGCGGTTGAAATATCGGTCAGCACGGCATGAAGTGATAAGCAGGCCCGAAATGCCATCATGTTTGTTCGGGCTTCGTTACAAAATTGCTACGCCTGTCCACGTCAGAAGAGCCAGAGCTAGAATCAGGGTTGTACGTCTTAATGCGGTCTTGGGTTTGTCTTATCCATCCGCGTCTCGCGACTCATGCGGGTGGACTCTGTTGAGTGGAACGCATAGTTTTAAGACGCCTTTACTCTTAACATATCGATACCTAGCATTATGCAGTGGTACTTTCTACCCGTCTTTCCGGGTACTGTACATGTTTGCTTCTCTCTGTCTTGTTGAGTTAAAAGGCAGCTGAGCTTCACTGGCTATGGCGGATGGATGGACAAGTGAACACGCGAGCGTCTTCCCCCCCACCCGCCGATCAACCCCCGACTACAGCGTCTAGATGACGCCTACGAGCGTAGCATCACTCTAAGGTACGGATACTGGCCTAGCTTCCTTTGGTGCAGTTCGCTTTGCTCTGAGGTGCTTGACTGGCCCCTCCAAAGGTTCCATCTGTAATCCTCCCGCCTCTCTTCTCCCTATCTCTTAGTGATACTACAAACCCTTTCTTTCCCCCAACATCCTTGTTTTTCGAACCTTCTTGTCTTTTACTTCATACCTTCACCTTTTTCACTCCTTGGCCTGCTCGAGGTCGTCAACTGCGAGCGTCCAAGTCATCTATTACTTGCTTTGTTCCACTCTGCCGCATATTGCCTCCGCCAGCCCACCGACATAGGCGGATACAGTTATCTAGGGGGTCCACTTCCATCATCAACGCATCTTATCTTGTCCGCCATTTCCTTATCGGCGCCAACCTCGCAGCTTCACGACAATTACAACGAGCGCAACAATCATGGCTTTTCATCAGCCGACTCGACAGTCGGTCCAGCGCGTCGTACGGGCTCCTGTTGATGAGCAAGAGATCCCCCGAAGAGAGGTGCCAATTACCCAAGAACGTGAACCAGAACAGTCGCAGACATGGGTGCTCTTCGCGCCCACTGATGTGACAACAACATCATATCTCACCGAAACGGACCACTCATTGAAAACTCCTGGAAGATCACGAGTGGGAGATCTGGGCAGCTTGAACTCGGCTGCGAAATCGGAGGCTGAGTCACGCCAATCTGCCTCAGCATTTGGTCTTGATGAAGAGGATGATGCCGAGCTAGATAGTCTAGATGGCCACTTGCCCGGCTTTCGTTCAATATCTGCAGTGCAGTATCAGCCACAGGACGAACAGCAGGGATCTGGGCCAGTGTTTCCCGGCCACGATGGTCTGGGCTCCTTCCACCTTGACCAGCCCACCTTGGGGGCCGAAGCACAAGATCACATCTACCAATTCGAACGATTCAATCCCAGACGGCAGTATCAACGGAGAGAGAGTTTTGATCTGCGGCAGCTCGATGTTGAGCATGATCAGGTTCATGAAGCAGAGAAGCGCCAAAGAATCGAAGCTTGGCGACTGGAACACAGTCGAGTACTGCTAGGTGAGATCCAGCGCGAGACAAGGAGGAGACGATTTTCGCAAGCATCTATTCAGAAACGCCCATCCTCCAATGTGCCTTCTGTACCGTCGGCCCTTGCCTATGATGGAGAATCAGACAACATGACATGGCACGATGAGGATGCTATTGGAACATCATCAGATTCAGAAGGGTTCTTTTCTAAAGTCACCAGAAGATTCTTGCGAGATGTAGTTGGAATGGACGAACGATCGATTTCAGTGTTCCTGGGAGAAACGGTACCTGAGGATGATGAAGATCTATCGTCAACACCCCGCGCCTCTCAAACCTTGGCATGGGAGTCGCGACAGTTTGCCTCTAGAGAGGAGTGGCAGTTGGACATGCTGGAGAGGATGTCAAGGGAGCTTGGTTCACTCGTCAGCCATATTTCGCACCATCCTGGTGCATTCTCAACCTATACCCGAGTCCAGCAGATGCCACTTCCCTACGCTGGCCTTCCAATCATCCCAGAGTCAAACTCATCTCATTCCGCCACAGACAACATTCGACCAACAGAACACGAACACGCGTCATTCCCACAATTCAAACCAACAATTCAGACATCACCACAACCCATCAACATTCATGGCAGATCTGAACCATCGGCCGAAGCAACACAAACGTCACGACAAGACACTCCTATGAGCAACACTTTCACTCAGGAGGAATGGGAGAAGGATCTTGATATGAAACTGGTGTTCAGATATCTACGGTCTCGTTTCATGCCACGAAGCAGCAATCCTGCCCCATCAACACCAGCTCATCTGGCTACGTCGAATAGTCAAGACACAGCCGCAAAGCTGGCGCGCGTCCGTCAACACCACCCGCTGGTTTCACGCATGCGACCTCCCGCCGAACGCCGAACGTTCAAAGCTATAACGCCCGGAAGTCCAGTGGCAATTCGGCATCCGAGTAGTTGCGCGAGTCAGAGCACCAGACGATCCGCCCGCCGTAGTAGTGTCTCATCTCGACATTACTGGGACATAGGTGGATCTCTGGGTACAGGCTCTGTAATCGCGTCTAACGGTCCGATGGGTAGCTGGGGCGAAGTGTGATGATAATTATGATGTATGTGAAGATGAAAGTGTGACGGATGTTGACGCATGAGCTACGACGGGCGCATTATAACGGTCGCATCAGGAGTATTATGAGCATTTGCCCAGTTACAGCTTAACTACTTGATGTAAGTTTTAAACGATGGAAATCACCGCTATTGAAAATTATTCAAAGATGATGGTTGGAGTTTTTCTGGGACATGATAGAGTTTTATTTTTATGATTTTACGGACTTGTCCTTGGGTAGGTCCCCAATACTCACTTCAAACAAAGAAACTATTCCTTCATTCTCTATAGACAAATTGCTGTCGATCGTCCTAATACTAATTCACTGTGATTTTATTTTCTTTGTCACTAAATGTTCTGGTGTTGCACAGCCAGCCATTATCCAAGGCGAAGGGCCCAGTTATCGCCTCACTGAATGAGTCGAGATCAGAACGCAATGGGACATAACAATCACGTCAATCTTGGAAAGAAAAAGTAACATCAGAAGAGGCTGAGAGCCAATTGCATTTTCAGCCTCGTGTAACATTTGCCTCAATGAGCCATCTTTAATTCTTTGCACGGGTTGTATTATTCTTGGTGAACAAAGCTCCAGCCTGTACCTGAGTCCAGAGGGGTTCTTTGTACTTGGTGTAAGTCCTGAACTGCGTATCGTTCACACGTGGTAACGGGCCTAGGATGGTTCTTCAATCAAAAGTTCTGACAATTATGACTCCTTCTCTTCAAGACATACTAGATCTTGATGCCTTATTACTGAGTTCCTCCTTTCAAGAGAACATTGTCCAACCGTTCATTTGACTCAACTTAGACCAACGGGGAGAAGAGGGAGGCGCCGTTCGCTCCCGTAGCAAGGCGGGACTCGTCGAGTGCGGAAGCACCCTATTGGTTAGAAAATCCTTATCTCGAAGCGCTTCCTTGTGCTTTTGTACCTTTTAGTGAGCGTGCACTGGCGTGAGCACTTAATTAGGCGGGGTAGAAAGAGAGGCAGCTCTGAAAGTGACTTGGCGAGGAGCGCGCTCTGAGACAAGTGGTGCCGCTTTAACAAGTTTCGCGTCTTCCCTTGCATTTTAACGAAGAAGACGTTTGAGACAGATATGAAGCTTCGTGTTCTTCAACGGTTGACGTTGTTAAAACCTAAAAGGGGATCTTGCCGGCAAAGATGAATTAATTCTCTTACTATGGAACTTGAAATCATTATTTTGCTCATAATTTGAGCGATTGAGTTGTCCTGGATGTACTGTATTTCTGCTATATTTTGCAGTGTAAAGGCAGCTATGATGACTTGCCTTTTATGGCAATAGTGCATCAACTGGATTCGCGCGTGTGTCCACTGTTGAGGCGTGTCTTGCTGTGGGGGAATATGATTCCCTATCCCCGTCCCCGTGAACCACTCGAAAAGCAGTCGCCTTGTTCGCCCTGTTCCCTCCTCCATAGGCAGGCAGACATTCCGAGTCCCCTCCGTCTTGTGCCTCGTGCTCTTGCGACTTTCCTTCTCGCCCGCTCTTCTCCCGTTCGCCTGCGATTTCTCGTCGTCTCCTGAGCTTCCATGGTATAAATTGCGCCGTTCCCTCCATCAGCGCTCGCTCGTTTGCTTTCCCTTCTCTGTTCGCGCTTTGGTCAGTCTCATCCATGCCTTGGAATTCTGTTCCATTTCCTCGCCCGGGTTTTATGGATTGCGCCTGGATATTTTTCAACCTCGACGACCTGGACAGCTCTTCTAATTGATCTTATAGTGCGATGAACTGAAATTAGGCGGCCGTTTTGCCTGCGACCCTGTCCAGTTGGGCCTGGTTGCGGCCCTTGACACATCATCACGGCTGTCATCGACCAATTGCCATACTATATATATCTCTTGTATAGCGTTCCCTCCCAGACTTGGACCTCAATCCTCGAAGGCTCCCGAGCCTATCTACCCATTCGCTTTCGATCCCGACCTCGCGACATGAGCGCGTGTAGCTTCCAATGGCAACGACCCCGTTCGACCCGTCTCACTTCACCCCAAATGCCTTCGATATATACACAGATGCTGTCGCGATCAAGGCGCCGACTCCCAGCTTGCCAGGAGGAGCTTGCGGTTTCGTGGACCTAAATCCTGGTGCCAATGGAGCCCGATGTGGATGCCGGAGGTTCTGGAGTCGTTGTCCAACTGGCAACCTTGTACCGGACCAATCCCAATGGTGTATGTGCAATCACCACGCCTGCTATCATGAGGAGGGATCTCGTGATGTCCAGCAGCCCGAGGTGGGTATACCAGGCCAAGAGAATGAAAGACCCAGGACCGGAAGAGAACCATTAAGCCCAGTAGTGGACATTGCCATCAAGACGCCCCCTGTGATACCCGGAATGGATTTCTCGAGTTTTAATGCAGGAGCCTTTTCTTTCATCCAAAGGACACCAGACCAGAGATTGTCGGACCAGAGAATATCCGCGGATACCGGCCAATTTTCAAGGATTCCTGCCAGCCAAAACCTCGGTGCTTCTGCCTCAATCCCGGATACCTTGAGCTGGGGTGGCCTTCTTCAGTCACAGTCTTGCCCTTCTGCTATTCCACCAATACCGGCCCAGTGTTTGATTGCCTCTCAAACCGCATCGACAACCTCATCCGCCCAAGCCAAATATCTCCGGCCGTTTGCAGGAAAGGGACTTCACACACTTAATGGACTTACAGCAGAGAAACCTCCTTCAACTCAGGCCAATACCCAGGATGTTCCACCAACTTCTGTGCCTCAGAACCAGGCGCCACCAGCCGACTCTTTTACGTGGACTTCCCAGGACTACAAACCACCCGACACTCCCCGCGCAAGCACACCAACCCAGTCCGAACACCGAGCTACAGCTTTCAATGCAGCTGTTTCGCGTCGCGCTTTCAAGAACCTATCTGATATTGTCAGCGGCCACGACCAGCGTTTAGATCGGCTGGAGACGGTCTCATTCACAGCAGCGGGACATGAGGAATGCCACGAAAAGCATGATCACGCCGACATTCGCATGACTGATTTAGAAAGTCGCGTTGAGGAAGTGGAAAAACTTGTTAATGATAACAAGAGCGTTCTTAACGACAGCAATAGCGTTACATCTCGCCGTGGCGATGACGCCAGTGTGATATCGGTATCGACCAGCACCACGAGTCGGCCAACCCACTCACAGGAGCTTTGGAGTCAGGTCCAATCTCTACAAGCACAGGTGGTGCAATTACAGTCGCTGATGCCATCCCCGAATCATCCATTTGAGATCGAGGTGGTCTTTCTGCCTTTCCCCCTCAAAAAGGTATGGCAGGAGGCACAGCAGTTCAAGAACGAGCCACAAATCTCCAACGATGACTGGACGCAATTACCCATGACACACAGCACTGCAACTCTACGGTCTGAGATGTCGCTTTACCCTGACTGGATGGTCTCAGATCAAGATACGAAATGGCTTCTGCCTAAAGCTTGCGCAGACAAAGGCGTTATTGATCGACGATTGCGCAGCCGTGGTCTAATCAAGACGATATCTGTCAAGGGCTCAGACGCTCGTAGCGTTACCATGGCTATGAACGCAGCCTTCGGTCACCTCTTTCGCGAGATGAACATTTTCTCTCGTCCACAAACGACAGATCCTCGCTCATCTTCTTTTTTGGGACTTCAATCCACTTGGGTCCCCCTTCGCAAAATCCATAAGGATTCACGATTACGTTTCCTCAGTCCTGCTGAGATGATGACTCCAGCTGTGTGGGATGTTCAGTTCCTGAGCCAAGTCATGATGAGAGCTTCTGAGCCTAGGCTGTTCGTAACTCATCCTGATGCCTACCTTCAGGACTTTCAGGCCTACGAAATGGGCTGGACGTGGCAGATGCTCAGGGAAATGAGTCCGGTCGCCCCTGATCCATCAGCCTCACTAGACGAAGGCAAACCCTACGAAGAGTGCTGGTCCTGGGTTGAGCAGCTTGATGAGCCACCAAGTGCAAGCAACTCCATGAGCGTGCGACATGACAAGGCACCAACCTCTTCATCACCATCACAGACCTTTTATCCAGCTTTGCAGTCAATTAAATCTGCAAGCCCGTCAATGGCACGTGCTCAGTCACCGTTGCTCAGCAGACGGGGCTCTCGCCCACCTCACATTAGAACTTCTTCAATGCCCATGTCTGCCCCAATACAAGCCTCGCCTGCGCTCAGCAGACGCCGCGTTGCGTCATACGGACAGAGCCGTCGCTCGTCTCCAGCTCTGCATGCCAACTCCCAGTCGGCAATCATGAAGCGTCGCCGCACAAGATCACCTAGCCATCGTTTCACACCCAGATGGACTGCTTCACCGAGTCCAATGCCTCTTGGAATTCATGATCGTCAACCAGCGCGTGGCACTACTCCCTTTGCCTATGCTACGCCGTACAGCAATGCCCCTCTCCAGGAACGACCTATTCGCGCAGGAAGTGCTGCTCCTGTTCCCGCCCAGGATGACTTCGACGATGACTCTGACTTTAACATCGAGATTTATGAGAGCGGATCCGAAGACATGGAAGACGCTGAAAGCGTGAACGACATGGAGATCGTCACACATAACCAAGCTCTCATAGAACAAGTTTCGCAGGGCTGGCAGCTTCCAGAAGATGAGCCGTGGCCTGGGATCGAGGACCAGCGCGAGGCCTCAGATGGCGAAAACGTTGATCCTCACCAGACTGATCCTGGCAGCAACGTCAGCAGCCAGCCTTCTGAGTATCCCAGTACACAAAATGCGTGGCCAGATAACAACGCGGCTGAGTTTCACATTCACGAAGATGATGATAACAGATCATGAGGTTTTCGAAGTACGTTATATATGATTGCTGCCAAACAACAGGAAGGCAGCCCTATTTTCAATTCTCTGTACACATGTCCATCTCCACCAATGGTTGGCATTTCCATTATCTTGTGTGTTTATAATTATATGCTTGGCGTTTTACAGGAAGGTTCTGGTTTATGAGGCGTTCCTGCAATCAAGGTTGGGGGGTGAATGGCGCTAGAGGGGCAACAAGGGCGTACGATTCTATGGGCTGGATGAGTCAATGCTATTCAGATGAAGTTGGGTGTCCTCTGATTCTGGATATTGGAAGATTGTGCCTTGATAGCGGGAAAAAGTTTGTAAATCTGGGAAGGATCTTTTGTATCACGATATCAGCTCACATCCTCCTCTTTGTCTGAGCTTGTTGAAGGATATACCAAACAAGCGATGTATATTGTTCTATTTGAACACATGGTCCTTATGCTCTGCCTTGTGATGAGAGACGAGAAAGGGAAATGATTTCAACAGGTAAACCCACTCAGTTACCAACTGCGCTACGAGGTATATTTCAAGTCACCAATGTGAAGTGACCAATGTGATGCGTCTCGTAGCTATATATCCCCATTTGAACTGTCAGTAAGCCATTTAGCTCAGAATTAAAATCTCCATGGCCCGCTTCGAATATGGATCATGCTGGGGTGAAAGATCGAGTTACCACAAGAGGAAATAATTAGAGAGGTCAAGTCAGCTTTACCTTTGATATTCAACTCTCCAAAGCGTCGTTCCACCACCCCACGTTGTGTGCTATGGACTGTTTGATCTCTTGTCTTGTCCCACTGACGTGTTAGCGCGGTTAAGCCGAAAATGGCAGCAATTGGGCAGAATAATGAGTTACAAGATTTAACGTTAGCGTTGACCAAGTACAAGAACAGTACAACATGGTTAAACGGCCAATGCGTTATATCGTGACTCTATTTCACCCTTGTTTGTTTGTTTGTTTGTTTGTTTGTTTGTTTGTGTATTTTTCGTCTGGGTGGCTGTAACGAAGCCAAATCTCCTACTGGAGCAAAAGACGTGCTGAGCTAGCTAGGTACAGGATACCCCGCTTCCTTCACCATCCAGCATACCAAGGCACAAAAGGCGCTGTATTTTCTCGAGCCCGTCACCCGTCAGCGGGTTCGGGGGCATACTGTCGACTTTTTCCACCGACCAGAATTCTCTCACGCATCGCTACATCTGCTGACGCAGTCCACAATCTCCAGTAACCAAGTTGTAGCTCGTAGTCGTATGTCGTGGCGGCAGGGAAAAACCTTGGGAAGGAATCAGAGGCCGGCGGTGCGGCTTGCCTTCAAAGGGGAAAAACCCATCGCAATCGGCGTCGTTGATCGGGAGGATGTCGCTACCGATGCCACGGGCACCGTCCTCCGATATCTAAGGCGTTCTGGTTCTGAGGTGCCGCCATTAGATCCGACAAAGGTGTTGTCAGAGAAGGCGAACTCTCCAAATTCCTTCTCTGAAAACTGCTGTTAGGGAGCCGATAGCGTCCCCGCAGTTTTTGTGTGGTCGCGTGGCCTGCAGAAAATCCCGCTCCTAGCACCGCACTAACAGTGCGTGCCAAGAAAGAATTTTTACAGGAGAGAGTTGTCTATTTCACCCTTTACAGTGAGACAAAGTTGTCTAGGGTACCCAGTAATGCCTCAGCAACCTTGAAATCACCGCCTAATAATCGTCTGGGGCCCCAATCGATCGACGCCCAAAAAATGACGGTGCCATCACCAGTTTCTGTTTCTGTGTGGGCGGCGTCAAATTTTTTACCCGCTAAAGCCATGGCTGTGTCCCCACTAATACTTACGACCGGGAGCTCTTGCATTCGCAGGCGCGGACGCGGGTACCTGTACAACCGTGTACACCAGTTGCTCCAGAAGCAATGGATGCACCTTTTTAAAAAGTCAAGACTCCCGCCTTTTTCTTCACCTCCACGAAACATCACCACTTCCACCTTCGGCTCGTCGCTTGCATTTACGTCACGTCGAACTTTCCCTTCTTTCTACTCTTCCAACAGCAAAATGTCTTCTGAGGAGATCACCCACCCTACCATCAAGGGTATGTTTTTCTTGCTGTTCATGTCATGTTTTTTTACTGCCCCGCGTTACCCTGCCCCTCTCTCATGATGATCATCATGCACATATCTGGTCACTCAATTCTTAACGGTTTCTGCGGGAAGATGAAGCCTATGACCTGATGATTGGTTCTCCTAAGAGTTCGAGTTCAAGGTCTTGAGCTTATCGCTACACAATGGCGATAGCCTCAGCTCTTCAATCTACGCTTCCCCTCCATACAACAAGATCTTTGCATACACTCCAATTCCCTCAGAGTTTTCAATTCTTGTCGGCAAAAGCTAACATTCTCTTCAGATGGCTGGTTCCGAGAGATCTCGGACATGTGGCCCGGTAGGCACATACAATCCTTTCAGATAACGGCTTTCAATTCTTACCCTACCAAATAGGCCATGCCATGACCCTCCGCGTCGAGAAGGTCCTCGTCCACGAGAAGAGCAAGTACCAGGATGTCCTCATCTTCAAGTCCACCGACTTCGGCAACGTTCTGGTCCTCGACAACGTTATCCAGTGCACCGAGCGTGACGAGTTCTCCTACCAGGAGATGATCGCCCACCTCGCCCTCAACTCCCACCCCAACCCCAAGAAGGTTCTTGTCATTGGTGGTGGTGACGGTGGTGTTCTCCGTGAGATCGTCAAGCACGACTGTGTTGAGGAGGCCACCCTCTGCGACATCGACGAGGCTGTTGTCCGCCTCTCCAAGGAGCACCTCCCCTCCATGGCCTGCGGTTTCGACCACCCCAAGTCCAAGACCCACATTGGCGATGGCTTCAAGTTCCTCAACGACTACAAGAACGAGTTCGACGTCATCATCACCGACTCCTCCGATCCCGATGGTCCCGCCGAGGCTCTCTTCCAGAAGAGCTACTTCCAGCTCCTCCACGACGCTCTCCGCGAGGGCGGTGTCATTACTACTCAAGGTTGTATGTTCCCTATTTTCTTGAGGAGAGTAACTGGCGTCCCTAGGAACGGCAGAATCGGGGAACCCTCCCAGATCAAAGTTGATCGCTGTGGCTGGGATCTCCCTCGATGGGTACATTTTGGTGCCGCTTCCCTCCTAGGGGCTCCCAGAAGCTAGTGCTGCTTTCCCAGCTCTGCTTCCGGTAGTCCCGCGATAGCATGCATTTCGTTTGTTGATTAACGTGTGCCGCGTTCGTCCGTTCAGTTCTGCTGTTCCTGATCCGCCATGTTATTGTTGTATTGCATAGTAGTTTCTTCTGGGACTACACTGACTCGTTAACTTGCTTACAGCCGAGAGCCCCTGGCTTCACCTCCCCCTCATCACCCGCCTCAAGAAGGATTGCCAGGCTATCTTCCCCGTCGCCGAGTACGCCTACACCACCATCCCTACCTACCCCTCCGGTCAGATTGGCTTCATGGTCTGCTCCAAGGACCCCAAGGCCGATGTCAAGACCCCTCTCCGATCCTGGACCAAGGAGGAGGAGGACGCCAAGTGCCGATACTACTCTGCTGAGATTCACAAGGCCAGCTTCGTCCTTCCCAAGTTCGCCCAGAAGGCTCTTGAGTAAGGCCGTGTACCATGTCGAGGATCTTTGAGTAGGATGGCTGGCTACTTTTATGAGTTTACGCAGGATAGGGATCAACGGAGATAAAAAAGAAATGACCAAGGTGGTCACACATAGATTAACACGGACGCAAAGGTATATATGTGTTCCAAAAAGGAAAAGACTCTGGCGTTTTACTGCAAATTGAGTCATGAAATAAAGGATTTTGGTCCCTCGCTCAATATATCCTACGTCATTGTCCCGTGATGCATTTCGATCTTAGCTGTTATATGCCGCTCAAAGGGGTAGCAGTCTCGAGACTCTCAAGGCTCCTCAAACTGAACCTTTCCCTCGCTTACATCAGGGTATACATCAAACCTTCGTTGAGTGTTCAATGGGATGTTCTTCCTCGCTTCGGTAATCTTCTCAGGGTCGAGTTCCCAGTCGACAGTGGTCTCCTTCTCGTCTGCTTCAACCTGAACCTGCGCCATTGGGTCGGCGACAAGACTGTGGCCGTAAGCAGGATAGCCCGTTTCAGCGCGTGCGGGACTGCAGAGAGCTACATAGAGCTGGTTATCGGCAGCTCGAGCTCTACCGAGCAATTGCCAGTGAAGAGGGCCGGTTGTGGTGTTGAAAGCGCCAGGATAGATAAGGGCAAAGGCACCCTTTCGAGCTGCAATGGTGGCTAGTTCAGGGAAGCGAACGTCGTAGCAGATAGCAACAGCAATCTTGCCGTACTCAGGAAGATCAACAAGTGTCACCTTGTTACCAGGGCTGAGAATATCTGACTCGCGGAATGTGATTTTGCCAGGGATGTCGATATCAAAAAGATGCACCTTACGATGTGTACCCAACAAGGCACCGTCGGGCCCAAAGATGAGAGTTGTGTTATAATACTTCTTCGTATCCGGGCTGTATTCTGGAATTGACCCACCAACGAGGTAGACTTTGTTATCAGCGGCCATTGCTGAGAGGGCGTGATAAGAGGGCGCAGCATCGTTAGACGGCGGACTAGGTTGTAGAGTCTCTGCATATTGAGGGAAGTGATCTGTTCCATAAGGCGAGTTGAAGCATTCTGGCAGAACAACAATCTTTGCTCCCAAAGAAGCTGCTCGGGCTACGTGTGAGGCTGCACTATCGAGGTTGGCCTTCTTGTCAGAGCCAGAAGCGAGTTGAATGAGAGACAGCTTGACACGCTGCTTAAGAACTGGTTCAGTGATAGACGACATCTTGCGGATGATGGAGGGGTTGCTTCGTTGGAATAGTGAGAGCGGTGATACTGAGGTCGTTAAAGATCGAGATGCAAGCGCGAGTCGGCTAAGGACAGTTCGCATCGTTTAAGAGTAAAACCAGCAAGTTATGAAGATGGCGAAAGATATGGAAATAGTGATGAGGGTTGGTGCCGGCATCGGGGTACGAGTGATGTGATCCAATGGAAGTGGGGGTGGGGTTCATTACGAAATAGTAAAGCTCTCGGTATGACGCGGGGCAAGAGGAGGAGATGCTATTCGTCAAATGCTGTATTAATGAATGAGTTGACCAAGAGACAACCATTGAATAGCCTACAGTTACCGCGATAATTTGAGAGATTATTTAGGGGAACCGCAGTGTTATTAAGATAAGGAGATACACATGAGATACACAGAACCTCATACGAATCACTCAACAGTTGACGACCCAGGCAAATCGGTTGTATCTCAGGCGCTCTAGGCTTGATGTCGAGTATACGAGTTAAGAAACAGATCGGCACAGCTACAAATGTCATATTTCGAGAGAATTTTATTTCTTAAGGAGTGAGATTAGCTGCCATTGTTGCTCCTGTAGCAGCACAGCTTCATCCTTCAAACCAAAGATCAGAGTAAATCAAGTCAAGCCTCGAAACGAGTGACACCAGACAAATGACGGCCATAACCAAAATCGCCCCATAGCTAGATTTCCACTCCAATAAAAGCAAATCACATGGTATCTCAAACAATTGAGTGTGCACACTTGTATGTAGCCTGATACGGCTGTCCCCTCTCATACATGTCCTGAAAGACATTTCTTAGCAAGACTGACCATGGTCTGCCATGAGGTAAAGTGATCAAGAACGACGACCATAGACACTGAAGCCACTTGAGCCTCCGTGAGAACGGCCATGCTGGCCACCTCTGGACGGAGGAGGTGGTGGAGGGGTGGTGCCTCCTTGAACCTGGGGAGGGGAGGATCCTGTAGCGAGATAGCTGTAGGAAACTCTACGAAGTTTGGTTCCATGGCAGGCCTGGCATAACCCACTGCTTCAGAGTCAGTAAAGCTGAGATACAACGGAGATGGTAGTGAACATACGACCCACGCTGGAAGGATCCAGCACATAGATCACAGGTAATCCAAGTCATGCCTTCATCATCAAAGACGTAGGAGGTTAGAGAAGAAGCCATGGTAAGTGATGTCAGGAGTTGTTGCCGTTTGTGGTGTTTGAGTTTGGTAGTCAGTTGAGTTTCTTATTTTTCCAAATCTTTCATTGTAGCATCAGGAAGGCCTATCTATATATATATAGTCTCAACCTAGAGAGCATCAGCTTCGGCCATAGTATGTATCAGACAGCCAATGTGACAGAGGCTATGTTCATCGTTCAAACCGGCCACCAACACACCGCCTCACAAACACCACGAAGGCGAGAATTGACATGGAGCGTCATATCATGTCTGTCAGAGTTGGTAGCCGTTGTCAAGATGCCGGCTGCAACCGGGTCTTGTGATGGCGATCGGGTCAAGGATGCTTGGTTGCCTTAATCGGGCTCAAATCCCTAGACAATCTGTTTCGTGCCCGGACTCAACGGCACTCATCTGAGCCGGGATGCAAATTCACATATCTGGGGTCCTGGGTTTGGGCCTCATTTCCAAACGCACATCCCTACACCAGCTCCTGTCGGCCCCGAACTACAGCACAAACTTGGCCGAATAGCTGCGCTTTGTGGCTTTTGCACTTCATGCAACTCTCCTTCGGTCTGTACCAAGAGCGCCTCCTGGACCGCGTCGTCGGTGCTTATATGGAGGTAAAATGCCTCGAAATGTTGACCGGTTGCGGAGGCGTCCGGCAAATCACAATCCATCCTGACCAACTCTGACGGCTTGCTGCATGATCGCAAGGTTGTGCCTCATACCCCGAGCTTTTGCGACGAACCAGGTTAAGCGGACTCTGTGACTTCGGCTGAACTCATGCAGCTTCGCGGGTATTGAAAGACGCCATTTCTAAAATAGCTGTGCTATTGCGTGCATGCCTAAGTAGTTGCAGCAGCCATGATATTACATGCCCAACACCCTTAACAGATGCTGGAAATTCTGGAAAGCGCTCATCTGGTGGGTGTCACATATTGACTCTGAGGGACAGACCGACCGCGTCTCGTGAAGTGTCAGCTAGTAGCCTTGCTTGAGAGGGGGCGTAGAAGGCGATATATTCGCATCACCCGAAATCTTGCTATCACGTCGGTGTATAGTTTAAGTATACGAAACCGAGATCCTGAGAGGATCCTAGTCTTGGCCATCATGTTGTGCCCATCCTGACTCTTATCCGGTGCAACCTCCCGATGAGCGTCGGGCCTCTCCAAATGGCATAGTTCACCAGTTGACCGACTTTCCTGATGGCAGCCGCGTTTATCGTTATTTGCTGCATCAAGTGAGCCCAAAGGTTGTCCCAGAGACAGAACCAAGTACACGAAGCCACGACATCGTTGTCAACATGCCACTCTTGTACGCCCATCAATAACCTGACCAGTCAAAAGACATATGTTATCCATCGGTCAAGCCAAGACTGGAAATAAGGAAGGAAACAGTAAGCTTGCTGTGATATTTCGATACGCAAAGTCATGCACCTCTTCGTTAGCTCTGCCTTTGTGTTACCCCCGACTACTTCAAACCTTCTCTGTTGAGCCTTCGAGTGTCTGCCCACCAACGCTTTGTAATCGGGAAAGTCATGGCCAACAGAAGTCTCAACCAATCTTGGCTGTTTTATCGATCAATACCGTCTCTTGCCTTGGCTCGGCTTAAGATCTTGCAAGGACGAGACTATTCACAGTCTGACCACCCAATCCATCCCGTGTCGTTTCCAATGGGTGATACCGGGTACACCATCCATCGCTAAGGAAAAGAATAGTCAAAGATAACGAGGTCGGAGATGTTGATCCCGGGGTTGTTGCACGGATGGCCTTGCAGACACCTTTGCCGATTTAACAGGATACTTCTTATCCTGAGCCTCAAACCATGCACATTCACCTGGGGATGCTTATTCGTGTTTGATGACGTCTGAGCTCATCAAAAGACCGTCAGATGACCTCGACGCGGGAGACTTTTCGATCACCAATCAGAGAAGGTACGTAGTGGCTCGAACAGTAGTTTTTCTTATCTCTGATAGTATCTATCATTGTATCTCAGCCCCAAGATCGGTGATGTATCGATTCAAAGAACATGAAAGTCAGCTGAACCATACCAGTACTCGGCGCTCGCTGTTATTGAAGGGGGTGGAGCCGTCAGGGCCTATCAGCCAGACTCCGTTCCGTTTTGGAAGTCTGCAGTCAGTCCCAACTGACCTGATGATTCAAGCATGATGACAGTGAAGAGAAAGAAATTCCTCCTGTTTTGAGGGTCACGTAGGACATGCTGTGTATGTCTCAAAACTTCCGAAGGGCTTGATGTCAACAGGCCGTATTGAACCTCCAACGGCGCCACACGGCAGTTGGACCTGCATCTGTGATGTTATCGTGAAATGATCTGATAATTCATTCAAAGTCGGTTTGAAATTGACGCATGCAAAGGCTGCCATTCTTTGCCTTTGACGTTGTGCAATAACTCCCAGTTGGTGCACTCAGACATACAGCTCAGTGACAGAATGAGATCGTGATTCCGTGGACATACACTTGCTGCCCAATAGACGGTTACTGCATTTGCAGCTGCTCTACCATCAGACTCTCGTCATTTCCTCCAACATAACGTCCATTTTCCTGTAGCTGAGTGTTACAACGGCCCGACCACGCGAGAATGACAAGTTGACGTGACCAAAAATGGTTGGGTCAGTCATACCATCTGCTCTGCCAGGAGCTGTTGTTGATGCAAATGCCCTATGAGGTGGGCAGGCGGGTGTTGTTGAACGAGCTGCAGAGACGGGTGATGGCATGGGCGAAACCACGATGAGCCTGTGCGACCGGTTACACAAACAATGCCCGTCGCGCAAATCACGCCCTTTTCAGACAATGTGGGTCTCGTAGTAACTTGGCGAGGTTCTGCTAGAAATTTCTGGCCTTTTTGGACTTTTGGTTGAACTTGGTCTGCATGATCGTTGTGGTAATGCACTTGCAAGTGTCCACATTGTGGCATAATGGTTCACAAACGCTACCACTGATCAAGTTGAAAGCACGGAGAGAATCATGTCGTGGCAATATTTCGTGTATTTTTTTTAATGCTTGAGAATCAACTTTGCTGTTGATATTCATGTCAGAGAGTCAGTTGTTCAAATTATGGAAGGACGATGCGACGTTGCGCTACATGAGGAAGTCCTAGTACCGTTTAAGTGCATAGCTTGGTTGTTGCATATCGTTTCCATGCGCGTCGTTCTTCGCGGTGGAGAGGAGGCTTTGGAGTAGGGAATTAGAGCTTGGGAACTTGATAAATGCTTTGTTTCTCGACCTTCCTTGACAAAAAGTCCTGGGACAACTATCAAGACCATGAGCTGAGCTTACGCGACTGATTTTCCGCCTTCGAAATGTCTGTTATTCTCTGCACAGGTAAATGCGACTCCTCTATCAACATATCCTCCAATACAAGCTAACCCACCTTACAGCTGGCTATGACCACACTATCAGGTGCGATACGATGCGCTTCTCGACGGGTAATCGCAAATGGCTGACATGTAGCTTCTAGATTCTGGGAGGCCTTGTCGGGTATCTGTTCACGCACGATTCAACACCCTGACTCCCAGGTGAACCGTCTCTGCATCTCTCCCGACAAGCGATACCTTGCCGCCGCTGGCCATCATACCGTCAAGCTGTACGATATCAAGTCTACGAATCCGAACCCGTTGTTGACATTTGAGGGCCACACTGGAAACATCACAGGCGTTGCGTTTCACTGCGAGGGGAAATGGATGGTAACTAGCTCCGAGGACGGGACCGTCAAGATCTGGGAGACACGGACCGGATCGATTCAACGAAGCTACAACCATGGCTGTCCGGCCAACGACGTGGTGATTCACCCCAACCAGGGTGAGATCATCAGCTGCGATAGGTCTGGAAGTGTCAGGGTGTGGGATTTGGCTGAGAACAACTGTTCCCATGAGCTCATCCCAGAGGAGGACGTCTCAGTCTCCAGCGTTACTGTCGCTAGTGATGGGTCCTTGCTATGCGCTGCGAACAATGCTGTAAGTAACAATCAGAGGTGCTGGAAATTAATCTCTAACCATTTCGCTAGGGCAACGTATTCGTATGGAATCTTATTCAGAGCTTTGATCGCACACAATTAGTGCCGGTAACGCACTTCAATGCCCACAAGGAATACATCACCCGTATTCTTCTATCCCCAGACGTCAAGAAACTCGCCACTTGTAGTGCAGACCACACAGCCAAGATCTGGGAGGTGAAGAACATCGAACCAAGCACAGATCTGGAACCCAAGCCGTATCCCCTAGAAGCCACTCTTACCGGGCACCAGCGCTGGGTCTGGGATTGTGCTTTCAGCGCCGACTCTGCGTACCTAGTCACTGCTTGCTCCGATCACTATGCGCGATTGTGGGAATTGCATAGCCAGCAGATTATCCGACAATACAACGGACATCACAGAGGGGCTGTCTGCGTTGCCTTGAACGATTATTCGGAAACACGATAAAGGGGTTATATGGAGCACGGTATAGCACTAGATTCATGCCAGGTTGGCGGGAGAATGGCGTTGGTAAGATGTTTTCAATACGGTTCGGATATTACTGTTTGAGGATTGAAGCTACGATACGGACATGTGCCCTAGATAGTGAAAGGCATCCATTTGTCAACAGAAATCGCATTGTAAGCCCCTGGGGAATGACATCAAGTAAGTGGCACTGAAGAGGCAATAGTGCAAGTCAAATCCAAATATGAAAGCATTAAACAGATCTTATATGGTTTGACTTTGCTACACAATCTATTCACAAAGGGGGCCAATCTGTTGACAATTTCAATTGTTCATATGTAAGTGATGCCGCTGGTAAATTCCAAGGCCTTCCAAACATTCGTGTAGGTATCAAGGTCGCTTGCTAGGCATGGGCAGCCTCGGAGTTTTTAGAAATCCTCCTTGTCAAGACGCTCCTTGGCATTCTTCTTGGCCTCATCGGAGACGTTGGGGTTGTTCAGGGTACTATTGCTATCAGCCGGTAGTCAAGTCTATGAGACGTTGGAACTTACGCCTTGAGACCGCCAGCAACATTGCCAGGGTTCTTGTCCTTGTTGTCCTCAGCACCAGTAACTGTAAGATGTTAGAATAGGACTTATAATGGGAGGCGTGGAGCTTACCCTCACCACCGTTGAACTCGTTCTCGAGAACCTGACGTGAGTGCTCCTTGGCCTCCTCGGAGGTGTTGGGGTTGTTGATAGTAGCCTTGTGGCCGCCGGCAACCTGAGCATCGGTCATTTTGAAGGAAGTATGTGGTGAAACTGGTAAAGAATAGGAGGTCTTGGTGATAGCTGTTGCTTGAGAGTGGTCGATGTGTTGATGATGAGAATTGTTGGCTTGGTTGTGGACAACAGGACATTCTTATAGCTGTTTCTCAGCCCTTGTTTGGCCTCTCATCGCCGATCCCAGACTGAAAATCAACCTGAAAACATCAAATATCATTTCATTGATGCAACTGATGAGCCGGCAGATCGCCCAGCCTCCTCTTATTGCGACGTTTCTGTCGGCAAGCTGCTTTCTCACAAGGAAGCTTGCATATTGACCTGGTACCCGACGGGATTGTTTGCTTTTGGTGAGGAATAATGCGGATACGGCTTGTTGTGTGGTGACGTGTAGGCTGCCCCTGAGCAAGGATTTCATCACAGGCAAATGCTCGATCATGATGTTGAAGCGTGATTAATGACATTCTGATATGTGTGCGATATCAGAGATCGCAATTGGAAACATCCTGGGGAAAGCTTGTAGGTATATTATTGGGTCGATCGATAGTAAAGCCTGATCTTGTTGCAACCAAATCTCAGTCTTTAGTGGTGCCCTTGCAGATCATCCACGATCATGCAAGACGAAGTGTATAGTCTAAATCAATACCATTGGAATGACTAAATTCGAAAAGGGCAAGTCGTTAGTTGAGATCAACAACAATACTACAACTCTAACCACTATAACGTTCCTGGACAAAACTGTATTGAGTTACAGGTCGTGACGCATCAATTCATATTTGTGAGGCCCTCATCGCTAATTACAACAAATATTCCCTAGAATCACGGCTACTGGCTTAAGTGAGGACTCCAAAGCAAAGATGAAAAGACGGTCTGTGCCAGTTGATGAATCATGGACGCGGATCATGACATCAGAACGTGTTGCAAATATAGGACCGATCACGACGAATGCGCGAGGTCCCGTGAAACACTGGAGAAGGAGAGAGAGATACGAGGAAGTGTGAGAGAAATGAGAGAAAGGGGTTGAATATTCCTTGGTTGAATTGGCTCCAAACTTGTGTGACGGTGGTTGGATCAACTGATGGATATTGACGGGCCACTGAGCCTATGCCAAACTTGAACTCTCAAAGCATTGGCGAGGGACAATCTCGAATAGAAACATGTCTAAGGTTAATGAATCCAATCGCAACCTGACAATGTTCTGTAAGCAAGATCAACTTAAGTGATATATCAATTCTGTCATTTGTCTTGTGGTTGGTCAAGGGTAGGTTGATCATTAGAAACTTTGCATGATCGGCAAGCTGAGACGTTGGGTATGATTCGGACAATTCCGAAGTAAATATATCCAAGAGTGTCTGTATGAATAAAGTTTTTAACCGGCGCTGGCCGAGTTATTTGCGTATGCGGTCAAATTGAAGCCGACATACAGATTGACGATCACTTAATCCTGTGTTCTGTGTCGTTGAGCTTGATAATAGTCCCGAGATCGAAAAGCCAATCACAGAGCGTACCAGCTTTTTAGGGCGATCCGAAACTTAGACGAAACCACTGTAAAGACACTAACTGGCTCTAGCATATAGCTGATCCGTCCTCGTGGGACAGCGAGACATGTTATGTCGATCCATCTGGATATGACAAGTGGCTCATCGGCGTGTCCGCGGTAAAGGGAGCGAATCAAACTCAATGGACCTCCATTGAGCGGCTCTTGGCCGTGCGTCTATTGAAGTTCCTCATCGCCGGAACTAGGTCTCTCCCTACAGGGCCTATGTTGATCACAAGGAGGTAGGGAGGCCAACCACGGGCCTCATGTCCAACATGCTGATGACGTCGCATCAGAACTTTAAGTCCCCATGTCCAGCTGAACAGGGATCATCGCCAAGAAGCCCCGAGTGACCGGGACGACATGTGGGTTACTCCTAGCAAGCGGTGACAGCATCTTACGCCAAAAAGAATAAGCGATGTGTCTGTGTGAGAAAAAGATGTTCATGATGGATGGTCGGGTCGCTTGTCAGCGCGGGAATGCGGCTAAAAGCACTGACCATGCGGGGAGCCAGAAAGCGCCACACTAGCTGGCCCAAGCCCCCTGGATCCCATCAACAGCCCCCTGTAAGGATAGCGTCCTTAGTGGACAGAATTTCCCTAGGGCGAGGCTGAGTTCACGACCCGCCAGCCACGTTGACCCCTTAGCCTCCAGTAATATTTTTAGAAAGCACTTCTCCTGCGAGATTCTGCCCTTGGCTCAATCTCAACCTCCACACAACCATCACGACCCGACGACTAATAGGCCTTGTGGATTAATATCAGCCCTTACTTGACGAACGCACGAGCCTCATGTTCCCTGGTCTACGTTCACACCACTCTTTGATCCCTTGATATTGAAAATCTAGAACGCAGGGAAGGTTGTGTTGCATCGTCACCATCATGGCATCTGCAGAAGAGAAGCCACCAGTCTTCAATTACATTCTCAGCTTCGTTCTTGTCGGCCTCGCGTGGGGCTTCACAACCCCTTTCATCCGTCGTGCCGCTCAATCACATAATCCACCGACGCATCCAGTGCTCGAGAGCCCATCAGTTCAATCTAGCTGGCTGAAGTCAAAGTTATACGGAGCTTTCTTTGCGGTCATTGACCTTTTGAAGAATCCTCGTTACGCAATCCCGTTGGTTCTCAATCTTACGGGAAGTATCTGGTTCTTCTTGCTTATTGGACAGGCTGGTAAGTTATACTTTCTAAACTCACCTGTCAAAGGTTGTCAGGGGGTGTCGATCGCGGATAGTCTAGTGAATCTTTGCCACGCCGAGTTGTTAGTTACTAATGACGAAAATCAGAATTGAGCTTGACTGTGCCTATCGTAAACACACTGGCGTTCCTCTTTACCGTTCTGGGTGATTGGTACGTTGATGGTAAAGTGATCAGTAAAGGTGAGTTTGTGTTCATTCATGGCTATCTGTGTATTGACCAATTTAGATACTGCGGTTGGGATGGCTCTTATGTTGGTTGGAATTGGCTTGTGTGTTCAGAGCAAGCGTTGATAGACTAGATTATATGTAATTGGACGTCAATGATTTTGTATTCAACAAATACCTTGTTCGGATTGGTTACCAAACAATGGAAGCAACATGCATGGGAGACTCCACTTCTGAAAGACTTATTTGGTGAAACATGAACCACAATCATGGGTGAGGCATGTAAGTGATGAAGTGAATATAAAGTCATTAGAGAATGCAGGAGAAGAGGTAGAGTAAATAGTTATGTTATTGTTCTGCTCCAGGCAGTTAATGGAGCCCAGCCCCGTTCTCCTAACTAAGGTCCTGCAAGACCCAGGAGATCCTCTCCATGTATCTCAAAGTGTGCCCAAGCAACACAAATCTGTATCGTTTACATCCAGTAAAACAAACCATGACTCATCAAGTCATGAAAAAAATATAACAAACATGTTTATCCTTTGCAAAATCACAACCCCAAACCTCAACTCTCCCCCTTAAATATCCGGTCGTCAAGGGTATTCGTTAAAGAATCGTATGCGTCAAAGAAGTAATAGGAAGAAAGTTTTCATGATTAGCATAGACGTCGTTCGCTTGCTTTTGGTTCTCTTCGTTTCGTCTCTCGTTCATCACAACCGTTGGTCCTGGGGGTATCTTAGATCGTACGTAGTAGCTTCGTCGTTTCTGTTTCCCTGGCGTATTGTTCACCGGCGTGCTCGGAGCCAGCGGAGCACGCTTCGGAGACTGGGATCTTCTGCCGTCCAGCGGCCCATTCCTTCATCCGAGGTCTTGAGCTCGGCGTAGATTACTTCGTCGGCGATGGCTGAGAGCTCCTGTAGCAAGAGTTAGTCTGAGATGGCTTAGAGCATTGAAGGCTACCGGGAATAATAGCCTGTAAAGGTTATCGTACCGCTCGCAGTTGTCGATCGCATGCTCGAAGTTGAGACTGGTTGCTCGAGTTTGGTACGCCGCCCTGCAGCACCTGTTTTCTGTATTCAACCCATCGTTGAGCCGCCGCTTGTCGAAGGTAAATCTTCTGTCCCTCGTGTCGTCTTGCGTACGCGTCCAAGAGAACTCTTCAAGGTGTTAGTAATCTTGCCCCGATTTACTGTCTAGCCAACTTGAAGACCTACTGTTTAAGCTCGGCCTTCATCTGCTCTTGCTCTCCACCAGGGGGAGTTGGCACGCTGGTGTCCGCACCACATTCCAGAATGTGTTGTCCATCCAGCGCACATTGTCGAAGGGCAGCCCATCCTTCGGTGTAATAGTCTGCAGTATCCTCAGGGTCGACAGGAGCAGCAGCTATGTAGTATTGCAGTGTTCGGAAATCAGAGAGAACTTCAGCAACTCGCATTGTGCGGAACTCGTTTACTGTAGGAGATAACAAGTTCACGTGTCAGTGTCTCTGAGTCTTTGAGGGGGTCTGTGGTGGTGCAAAGATGCCAATTGACCACCGTGGGTAGTTGCCAAGCTGGCCAGTTATAGCTTACATCCGTCCATTATTTCTTAGTATTTGGTTAGAATTGCTTTCGAAAGGTCAAGGTGATCAGTCTAGCTGTGACACGAAGACAACGAGGCCAAAACGGAAGAAGAGGTAGGAAATAGAGTCGTAATGTATTCGAATCAAGCAAAATCGATTTGAATCGTAAAATAGTCGGTGATGAAAAAGTTGACGAAAATGGTAGGTAAGGAAATATTATAAGAGCTTTGTCATGTCGATCACTTGGTAACAGTTGAGAGAAGCCGGTTCTTCAATGCTTGCTTGATTGATTGACTGAACAATCGAAACAAGCAGCAGAACCGGGCATCCTTTTTGTATTGTATTATCGTGATGGTTGTCGAAGGCCTCCCAGATACTCCATCGAGAAACTAGAAACAGACACAGACAACAAGAAGAGTTCCAAGAAGCTCTTGCTCCAGAAAAGTCTCCGTCTAGTCTAACTTCAGTCTACAGCTCGACCTAAGCTTGCCAAAGGCATGCCATGCTCCACCAACGGGCAGCGAACGGCTACTAGGTCCAAGGGGGGATACCACCCGACATCAAGCACCCCCTCTCTCTTCCTAGTCGAAGAGCCCCTACGACACACATGAGAGGCTCGGCAATTAAAGCCAGCCTTCTGAGACAGAATCTTGGGCCACCAGTGAGAGGGTCAAGATGTGCCTCCACTCAGAACGACCCTTTGCAAGCGCATGTCCAAGTGCAAGCTCAAAAACATCGACGACCCCGGACCAGCTGGTGGCAAACCATCATGTTATCGAATGGAACCCAAGCACAAGGCCAAAGCCTTACCCTCAGCCCTACTCCTTACCCTGTCCTGCCCCTGGATATATGCAGAGTACTGCAGGGCCCGGAGAGTAAAGAGCCCCATGTAGGTAGTGTGTATGTGTGTGGCACGTCATGAGCATGGCATGGCATGGCATGGTGTTGAGGGTGAGGATGAAATCAATGGGTGTGTGTCCAGCCACACCCGGTTTTTCTCTCCCGATAGGGTCGAGCATCCGTGATATTCTAGTTGAGAGGCGTCAAAGAGGCGTTTCTCTTTCTCCTCGGCTCGTCTTGTAGTTTAAGCACGATGCCGTATTCTGTCTTTAGACAGAGCGGCGTGGGTCAAGACTCAAGCCATTGCGAATTTCACATATCTTCAGTTTTCCGACGGACTAAAACATCCTAAAAAGTATCTTTGTCCGAGCAAACAAAGTAAAAATACACCGGGTATGTTAACGTTATACGCTAGGAAACGTGCAGTCACTTTTCCTGCAGGGGTGTGGTTGTCAGAAACAAGTCTCCGCAGAGAGATGCTAAGCTTGAGATACCTGCCCCTGCGTATAGAGCAAAGAGACGGTCAAAGTATTTGATAGAGAGAAAAATAAATGTGTAGGTTGTTGAATAGCGCAGGTGGATGTGGTGGGTTGGCGCCGGCTCAGCTACCTGGCTTCCCATGAGCCACTCACTAGTTGTTCCCGAATAGGAAACGCCCTGTAGCTCTGTCGGGGCAGCGAGACCAATAGGCGCGCGGATGAAGCTTTCACAACTGTCCGGGGCGAGCTGATGGCTGTAAAGGGTCAAGCCTATCTACACGAGGCCGTCTGAAAAGTGAATGTAACCCTACAAGGCATGGGCACGACACGACACAAGACAAAATCAAAAGGCTGAGTCAATAGCGGTGATTCCGATATGAGGAGTTATCGAAATAATGATTCATGTTGTTCACACGAGCGATTGACGACTCTTGTCACCGACTTCCAGCTTTGATACAGAATGTAATGTTAGATTAGGTGGTTGACATGGGGGTTAAGGTAGTCTATGTCAAGTCAGATCTGGAAACCCAGCCCAGGGCATGCTGCATCTATCACAACTAGCTTGCTTACTTGGCTTGTCAATTCCAGCTCGTCCAGGTTCATTTCAACAAGGCAGATCGCAGATATTGCAAAACATTGGGCTTTTCTCCAAACCATGAGGCACAGAATCGTCAGTTGACCGCATCTTCACTCATTATCAAGCATCCACAATCCAAGGAACTGGTTCTGGTCCACGCTGTGGCGTCATGCCCTCTATTCTTTGCATGACGCCGTTTGAGGCCGCTCACATTCTGTCCCCAACCAACATCATTCCTCATGTTCTTCAACCGTTATTGACTTCGCCAAACTAAAACTTTAGTCTACGAACTCTCTACCGTTCGCCTTCTCAACGTTCGCCTCCCATTCCATACCATCCTCAACACGAACTCCTCCGTCTCGGTTACTTTCCATCGCTCCCGCTCCCGCTCCCGCGCCTTGGTTCTGTAAACAACTTACATCAGAACTTGATCCTGTTTTTGGATTGGTCGTGGCTTGTCTTCTTTCAGCGCCCCTGAGAGGCTCAAATCGGCGCTTGCTATAGGTAGCCAGCCATCAACTCCAAGGAGCTTCCCAGTAAACCAGGGGCCCCTGTAAAGACGTAGTAGTAGATCCGATCGACCGGATGGATGGCTTTCACTTTCAGATCATATTTCACAAGCCTTGTCAACAAGCTTGTGCATGCCAGGAGAAATATTCATTACCAACCGCTTGTTTTCTCCAATTCTGTGCATTGACATATTTGATCCCATATGATTATCACTTCCAAGGATGTGATGAAAGTACTAGCATATTTCGGGATAGCTCTGTCCGCATATTCATTCAAACTTGGAAATCATGCGTGCAGTCACTCGTCAAGAAGCCTCTTTTGTAATTCACGTTCTAGATTCTCGTATGACTTAGAGATCAATTCCAATTGAGCTTGTTTTGGAGAACGTAAATGACATAGGTATGCGCATTGACCAAAATTAGAACAAACCACGCTAGAACAAACTTGCACCAAATCGAACTGGCTTCGTTGCGAGGCTTGCGTCTTTGTTCATGTCTGAAATAGATCCACTATTGAGAAATATTGGTTTTCTCAACACCCAAACCTGCACTACACCCATGACCCACTAACTGGCATATCTTAGTCCCATCGTAGGCTCTTAGTAACTTGGCGCGAGGCACACTCGTCCTCAATTGGGTCATCAGGCGCGACTGTTGTCATTTGCTCAATTGAAAAGTCTCATCAGTTTCTATTGCACATGGTAAGGACGGCTAGTGACACACTGACGAGGACCCACGCCCACGACGGCATCCAAGTCTCTGATCTTGATAATCCATCCCCCTGCATTGGTATTGCATGGCCCACGTTCCTGGGAACAGAATGTCGTCTCTGCAGCCCACGAATCAGGCCTCTGATTCCTCGCGACAAAGTGCACCGACCTCCTACTATGGCCAGCCGACTATGTTTCATCCCATGTTCCATATCATTCTCTCCACTCGCTCAGTCCTTCTCTGCGATAGCTTGTAACCGGTCGTCAATCTCGTCCTCGGTCAATGTTCGGAATCCCGAGTATGTTCCCTCTTCACCGTCAGGTCGAGGTCCACCCACGATACCGATCTCGATCTCTCCCTTCTTGAAATCCATGCTCAGAACTGTGCTCAGTGTTGTGATGGCCAGCTCAACAACCTCCTCCCAAGATCCCTCCGCATGCTCCTTGTTGCGGAGCTTCTTCTCAAGGTGGTTCAGCGCCTCCTGTTGCTTCGGGCCTGCCGCAGTTCCCTTGTAGCCGATGTAGTATCCAGCAGGGTCGCACTTGAACAGCTGGGGGCCATATTCCGAGTCGAGCGAAATCAGAGTGGTCGCAACGCCGTAAGGTCGCATGTAAGCCTGGGGGTAAGGTCAGTATATGATTGGTCGCAATTTTGAGGATGAGAATATGCTTACTCGTTGAGTGTAGACTTGGCTGATGTTGGCAAGACGCTTGGCTAGTGCATCAGCTGGCATCTCATACCCATACTTGTATCGAAATTCTGCTGCTTCGCCCTGAGCCCTTTGAGCGAAAGCCCGAGCATCTGCGATGGATCCTGTGATGACGCAGCCGACTGAGGGAGAGAGCTGGAAGATATGGGTGACAGAGGCGGGGTCCATAAGCTTGTCCTATTGTCTTCATCAGTGCTGATCATGAGATTGTCCAACATTATCAACATACGGGAACCTTCTTCTGAGACAGAACAACAGCACAGTCCTTGCCTCTCACACCGACGGACATAATGTTGGCAGCCGTAATCGCCTTGAAGGCGTACTCTGCATTCATGTCAGTCCTGAATCATGTATCCATCAACGTCATTGGTCAAAGAAGTCGTAGGGTTCGGTGCTCTTGACGCTCGGGATTCGCATACCAACTTGGTACAGCCGACCATTATCAGCGAAGATGGTAATGTGTCGATCGTATGCGCCGGCTGTTTAATTGTATGTTAGCAAGGATGCCATAGACCGGATTGATGCAGCAGCATAGCATACCCGACATTGTGGAGGATTTGTGTTATTTAACGGTTCGGGATCGGGTAGAATTAGCGGATGAAGCTCAAGAAGAACTCGTTAAGTTCTGAATGAGGCGAGTTTGAGATGTTGATTGACGTTGCGGAGGTTGAGGGGAGCTATTGTGGGTTGAGATAATCGACGCGTTAGCAGGAGCTTGCCTAGAGCACAGTGAGGCAACGGAGCTCAATGGGAAGGCTGAGTTGATGCCTCGCTGGCATTATGTAATCCTCAGGCAGAATGTGGTAGGTGGCAGGGTGACAGAAAAGACAGACACTACGATACTTTCTCATAAGAGAAGCCTGGGATTCGTTCATCGGTTAAAAGCTATTTTGCGAGTTCAAACTACATAAAAGGCTGTATAAAACCAGAAAAGTCTAGCACCTTATACCCCAGAGAGGTCTGAGATGATAAAGTCCCCAGTCAGTCTCTCAAACTCTTTCCATATAATATTGTCGTCCAAGCTCTCCACATTCCTTATCTTATCGCAATCCTAGATCCACTCATGATAATCCTCAGAAAAAAAAGTTGCTTGACAACCCAGGAGATCCGGCCCGCAACAACACGACATTGCATATCGGCCTTGCACTTGCACTACGCTAAAAGGAACCTGCAGAACTGACAACTCAGAGCCCCCCTTTAGACTTTGTGCTGTTGTTATTGGCCCTTTGGAAGTCAACAGAGAATCCACCGCTCACACAGCAGCTAGAAGAAAATTCGTGGACCCTGGCAACTACAGCAAATCTGAGGAAGTTGAAGAAAACACAAATCTCAGAATCTCAACTTTTGAGAGTCGAAGTCCGTTCCTGTTCTTGTTACTGTTTCTCGGTCCTCCCCTTCAAACCAACTGTACAAATATCATCTCACAATGTCTGGTCAAACTCCCGCCTGGAAGAAATTGGGCTTGAAGCTCAAGCAACCTTCTGATGCATCTGAGCCCAGCCTTGGGCACCCAACCAGCAGTACAAGCACAAGCACCCAGTCAAGTACAAAGAGAAAATTCGACGCCCCGCTGCCTTCCAATTCCTCTCAGGTTGCTAAGCGACCACGTCAGGATGAAGCCACAACAAGTTGGAATGCAACAGGACAGTTAAAGAGGCAGAAGTCAGTCACCTTTGCCGATACACCACCCAACAACCACTTTGTCAGGACACCATCAAGGCCCGTTAAACAGAGCAAGGCCAAGAGCAAAGGCCCCGCAAAGAAACCCAAACCCCAGGTTCCTACTGATCTCAAGCCTGCGCTTGAATACTTGAGGCTCTGGAAGACAGCTCGTGATAGCTGGAAGTTCAACAAAAACCACCAATCAAACCTAATCAAGCACGTTTTCGATGCCGATGGAATCCCCGCCTCTGACATTGAAACCCTCTACGACTACATCCAAGACTTGAAGGGCTTTGTGAGGATGCGACTGCTGGAGAATGCTCGCGAGGTTAGGGACCAGGACCAATCGGATGGAGCAAAGGTGTTCCCTGAGGGAACCAAAGACCTTGAGGCTACTCAACAACGATATGAGGAGGTCCTTGCTAGAATCCTTGAAAATCACCCAGTGGGAACTAAGAGAAAGGGCTTCACTGAGGTCGATTACCTCTCGGACTCAGAAGAGGAGGATGTCATCATTCGCCGACTTGTGAAGCGCATGAGAGCTGAGCTTGTCATTGATGAACTTTCCGATGGCGAAGACACTGAGGCCAGCATCGCATCATCACAGACCATCACTGCAAGCGATAATAACGTCACATCAACCACAGATGCAGAGAAGACTGTGAAGATCGCCGACGGCGTTCCCGGAAAACGTCGACGAAAGCTCCGTGTGAATGTCGAAGACAGCGATTCCAGCAGTTCCGAGTCGGACTCGGACTCTGATTCCGATAGTGACTCCGACACCAGCAGCAGCGGGAGCTCGTCATCGTCCGAGGACGAATCTGAGAATGAGGCCCCGGCACGACCTTATCGACAGCCCGGTGAGGAAGATTCGAGCGATTCCTCGTCTTCCTCGGATGAGTCAAGCTCTGGCGACAGTTCGAGTGAGGATGATTCGGACTCTGAGTGAGGATTATGATACCCGTCTTTGATGACACAGGATTAGGACGAAGGTGGAGCCGGATAGACTGTAAAACCATGTTCGCAAACTAATTTTATCGACATAACTACGCATCATGTTTTAATGTATGTCTTGGCATATTTATCTGTGGACGTAAAAAGAGGCTCTAATGAGCGTTGCAATGGTATATGTTATTTAGAGATCATCGTATTCCTTTAAGCATACAACTTGGTGAACCCTTCGTTTGGTGGTTGAAGCCAATTCTTATCATCATAGTCCCTGTCTTGTCCTTCAATGATATGGAACGTGTAAATAATTCGTCCCTTTTGACTGGTGTTCTTCTCGCTCTTATGCAACAGGTTGCCGTGAATAAGGACTAGATCACCAGCCTTGACTTCTCCAGGGACATACTCATGTTGTCCGTCTGGCGCTGCTTGTCCGTAGCCTACTGCTGCAGGGAATTTTGGCCCATCATTGTCTACCATCTCTGTACCCACATTGCCTGCCTTGCGAACGAGTCTTTTCTCAACTGGTGCCCAGAGATGTGAACCAGGCAGGAAACTTAGACATCCATTTTCAAGCGTGGCATCTTCAAGTGCGTACCAGAAACCGACCGCCGATGGAGGGTCGGTGTACAAGAAAGTGCTATCCTGGCGGATGTTAGTCAGTCATAAAACAGCATCAGGTTGACATACTTGGTGGGGAGGCACGGCGCCTCCTATTTCTGGTTGCTTGCAGATAACCATGCTCTGCAGGCACCGAGGGTCTTTGAAGCCAAGGCTACGTGCCACAGCAGGTGGGCTGACCTTGCTTGTATCGTGGTCCAGAAGACGAGCAAATGGAGGCGATAGAGCGTGCAAGTAATGGCCAATCTTGTTAACAGCACGAGCTTTGGGCTTGGTGAGTTTTCCATCGTCGTCAAAGGCGTCTTCCTCGAAGAAGAACCGGACCTTATCGCCTGAAGTCAGAAAGTAGTCGTCACCAACATGGTCACGTTTCTCGCCGGTTGAGAAACGTGTGAGAGGGTGATCATCTAGCGAGAAATTTTCGAGAAGATTGTGAGTTTCGTCGAGTAGAGATTTGACAGTTGCGCTGGAGAGGGCGCCAGGGAGAATAAGGTAGCCATCGCGGTTGAAGGTGTCCAGCTGATCTGGTGAGAGACCTGGGGTATCAGTAGTCATGGTGTTTCTATTTCAAGGAGTTAAGTAGTGCTTGGGTATTAAGTTGAGGTGGTTTATCTTTATCTGAGCCGAGGTTGTGTGGGATAAGTTCATGTTGATAAAGAGTCGAAGGTGGGGAGCTACATATACCCCGCCTGCATCACCACATGCCTCATACGGTTATACTAACTACGACACACACGGCAGTTGTATCACTAAGAGGAAGATTGTAAGCTGACTTGTTTGTGGGCTCTCACAGTTCGGATTTTGACTATCAACAGACACAGCTGCTTGTGATGATTATACGACATGGTTTCTAGTCACATGCAATCGGCGAAATTATCTATCGATTTACTAAATCTATTTCAAGGTAGCTACAGCAGAGCCCCTCGTATTAGTCTAGATCAGCATCTTGAAATGTACCAGACATCTAACACCAGTGACTCTTTACTCAAAACCAAAACACCTGCCCATGAGAACATCAGACGAGAAAATATGCGACCAACAAATCCAAGCATTAGTTATTGTAGACTTCCTAAGCATCGAGAGGATCCGACAAAAAATCGTATCCTTCCTCGGGAGGAAGAAGGTATGCAGAGAAAGCAATACCAGTGGCAGTCAGAAGACAAATAACTGCCGCGGTGGTGCTGAGGTAGAACGACGTATCGAGCGACCACCCAGGAATATTGAACTGATCATCATGATCATAAAGATACGCCTAGCATAGATTAGTTTGTATCCAAATACTTCCGTAGCAGACCAACTCACCACGATAGAAATGGCCACGAATTGCATAACAGAAATCAACGTCAACATGCCAGCGGCAAAAGGCCATCCAGTCTCGCGCTTGTATTTCCCACCGCACATGATGACAACAAAAGTCACCAAACCGCCCAAACATAAGAGAGTAGCAAATGATGCTAGAAATCCAACGGTCCTCCACATGGAGCAGAAGTATCGTTCACCTCCTTGACAGAGATCCTTGGGAGGGAATGGTCGACAGTATGGATCATCCAACGTTGAACAGCTCTTGTGTAAACCGATATGTCTCTCGACTATCTCGCCGGTGGCCGAAGTAACGGAGTATGTTACCCAGTTGGGGAGCCATATCGGGATTACTATCATGACCGTCGCTATTGTTTGTCAACTTGAGATGAACTAGAACCGGGCGCATACGTCATTGCAGGCGCGTGCTGTGGACAGAAAGTCGGAAAACCTACCAGCTACAAAGGCCGCCAGGGCCGAAGTGTATACCGAGACTCGCGTCATGGTGTATATTGCAGTTTATTGTCGAGTTTGAATGAATTAGATTGAGGTTGTGTGGTAGGCAGAAGAAGAAATGTCGATGCCTTGTGGTGGCCTGCCTTGAAAACAGCCCAGTTCATGTGCCAGGATAAGTGCTACAGCTTATGAGTGGTTGATGCCAAGTTTCATTAATGGGTTTGGCGGGGATCAAATTGTGGCTTAGTTTGCGATGCAACCAAAGATAAGCGACCAATAGAATTTCACGATCCATGTGTTACGAATTATTGAGAAGAACTGAACGATGTCTCATGGGAGAAACAAGCCTCAAGAGGTTAATGCGATGGCTTTAAGCCTTAAGCGCGAACTTATTCCCATAAACACCAAAAATTATCCTCTTCTTTAAGTAGAAAATGACAACACTCAAATCATCACCAAGTAAGCATGTGACAAATGACTTTGAAGACGCTGTATTGATAGAGATGTCAGGCAAAATAAACTCATCAAACATCGCCGCTTGAAAGAATGCGACAGAAAATCACATTAACACAATCATCCATTCGTCTATTCCGACAATATCGTCGAAGACCGGCCAAGAACATATGCCCTTCTGGAAACCCTCCATGTAATAATCCCCCAGGTATAAAGTCTGTATCAAAACACCCGCAAAACACCCAAACCTCAAAATTCCCAATGCAATGCAGTTGTCTTATTTCTTAGGGGACTTCTTAGCAACTGGTCCCTGGTCGCTAAAGTCGGCGTCACTTAGACACTCAGCAACGACAGGGTTGTCAAAAATGTGCTTTTGTAGGTGTCCTCCAAACAGAAGCCTCATCATGTCGATTCTGGAAGAGAGTGACCACGAATCGATCACGGCGACGTAGTTACCGAGGCGAAGTTTGTAACGGTATCCAAATTCAATAACACCATCCTCATTGGGCTTGGAGGTTGGGCGCTTATCGCCCTTCTGAGGTGTATAGCCAGCTGACGAATATCCTGGTCCGACACCCTTCTCGAGTGAGGTGATAGCACTCATCAAGCTATCTCGAAGATCTCGGCGATCCTTCTTTGAGACTGATTTGGAGCTCTGCTTGGCGAGCTCTGACATGCGACCTGTGAGCTTCTCTGGGTTGACGGGAAGATCCCAGGATTCTCCTGTCTCTTCCTCATGGTTGCGCGCCGCCTCAAAAATGAGTGCAATGCAGGCAGCGGCCTGAGCTTGAACACCAACATCAACGCTGTCAAGCTGTTCGTAAAATCCATCCAAAGCCATGGTGGCGGCATATGAAAAGTCGTCCACATGGCTAGCAACAAAGGTCCAACCTCGAAGAGCAGCCGCAACGATGAATCCATTGTCATAGGAATCAATATTGTCTCCGTCAGATTCAACAATAGCGTATAGATAGTCGAGCAGCTCAAGGGCCTCCGTCTCACCACCGCCGCCATAAAGCACAGTAAAGCACAATGCGTAGATGCCAAAAGCCTTGCATTCCTCATCATCGTCGTCGGCAATTATCTGCTTGAGAGTTCCTTCGGCATGTTCGTAAACGTTGGCGTCCTCTGAGGAACTAAGAGTCAGAAGATATGCCTGAAGGTAAAGTAGCCGCTCTCTGGCGTCCATGCCGCGGTTAGCGCCACGAATGAAAAGCTCTGCGAGTTCGTTGGCCGACTCATCAAGCCACTCGTGGGTGGCAGGGGCAAATCGATGTCGCAAAACCTTGATGTAGAGTTCCAGCAGTTGAGTTCGCGCATCGCTATTGTTGTGCTTGCGATCTTGAAGTTCTTCCATAAACTGCTTGGCGTCGAATGTGTTGGTGCCGTCTTCGTTGGTGTCGACTAGAGAGCTTCCGGAAGCAACGCTCATGGTATCGTCGTATTCGAAGTCATCTTCACTCTCGTCAGAAGCAGCCCGGCTTGGGGCTGCGGAATGCGCGGGTGACGTAAGAAGCGAAGCGAAAGGAGAGCCTCGAGGAGTCAAACCAGCAGAAGCACGACCTGACTTGATGGCTTTCTTTGATGTGGTCTTTCCGTCGCCCTTGAGGGCCTTGACTCGAGCGTGGTTCATCATTTTGCCGAAGTCTTGGTTAAGTCCAAAAGTGGTGTTGTAAATGCGAATGTGCAAAAAGTACTGAGGTTAATCGACGAGGAAAACTTGCAAATTTTGAATGTAGGCAAGTTTGTAACGATCAAATGATCAAAAGCTGTGCAGCAAGTGATCCTCGTCTAGCTGAAAATTCTGTCACTTGGGTATAGTTTTGGGTCTGGGTCGACTGATATGTGTGTAGTAGGCGGAGGTTCGTGTTACTTTATAGGCGTATCGAGGCATAAAGTCCATGGGGAAGTTCGCGCGACAATATTAGGATTCGGAGATAGGTGTTAGCAAGATGGTTGCACCTGAATTTGAGCAAAGTAAGGAGAGAGAAGAGAAGGAAGTGGACGGACGGCGATAAATATTTGTTTAAAGCCAGCGAGAACCGGGTTGTGGCGTGGCACCAGGAGTGTGAACTGCCCTGTGAACAGTGGAACAGTCCGGGTGGAACATGGATCAGGCGCCGCTGAGAAATTCCAGCACTTTTGGTGGCAAATCATTAGCCGTGAAGCTTAAAGTGCCTTGAACATGCAGGTGCAAGCCAACGGTTGAGGGGGTTTGTGACTCAGGGGCTTGAATATTACGTTAGGCCACATGCTAGATGCTTCTGGGTATTACTGGCATCTGAGGAATCTCATGCATTCTTGTCATTTAGTTCATGAGGTTCGAAGTATATATCACATGTTTGTTCCAATACTTCAAATGACAGCATAGTGGGTAGCCTCCCCAGAATCCACTCACCCGCTTAGCATTCTCCACTTGAATGACCCTTGTCTCGGTCAGCGTCATCGATCATCTAACTCGCTTAGTCCCTTGCTGATATGTCTTAATCAGAATGTTGTCTTGGTGCCTGAGCAATGTCGAATCACACTTTGAAGTTCAAACTTCTGAATATGATTTCGCAACTTAAGAATACCTTAAGAGTATGAGAAGTGGTGTGATGAGAAGATCCAGCTGGGCGAGCTCCCTCCGAGGTCAAATGTGGTTAGGAAAAGCGAATGTGAAACCTGAGAAACGAGAAATCAACCGAAGAGCTTCACGGTGAATGTTAGTAAGCGCCAATCACTTTAGATACTGATACCCGTGTCAATATTAATTGGCCGGTTGGGTTAGGCAGCACTGGCTTGTTGGCTTGAGTCAAGGCACAACAAGATCGCATAAACCGAGGCTTGACTGAGCTCGTGTGGAGATGCAATAGGTAGGGCTAGACTGCAATAGATCTGCATATTCATCAGATGGAATTCATCGCTGATGTAAACAAAGTATCACAGGCAAGATAGAAATCCTGATCGAAACACATTGTGCAACTACCTGCCTTGGCTGGCTGAACCACGGAGAGTTCTATGCGAGCCATACAAAGATGCTCTCCTTGCCTGCGTCTCGTTTACGAGCACCCGGTAACTAAAGTCCTAGCTTCACAGTGTATCATGCTTCACTTAATAGTGCAATCGCACCCCTCACCATGTTAGAAACATCCAATACTATGCGGCTCAGACTCTCTTTATTGATATTTTCTGAGGGTTGAAACAAAACCAAGCTGACATTCATGCGGACTGCTTTGCTGACCACTTCAGCTTGGCACCCAACCCTATGACCTTATCATTCTAGGGGAGGCAAGAAAGCTTAGGACCTTTATCCTAAGTAATGAAAATACTTAGGAAAGTTTAGTGTATATTATTAGGTCTTTAGGCTAGTTAATTTTGGCACTATCATTCGAGAGTCCGCATGTTTTCTTTATCGGTATCAACAAGCAATAAAAATGGCGGTTACCCGAGTATCGTGATGAAGGTGCTCGTATCAGGTTCATGCAAGTGGTTGAGTTGGCACAGTGGCTAACATTTCAACTCACTGCCTAAAAAATAGCAAAATGGCGTCAGGTGGTAATCTTTGGCACCAGCGCTATCAGGAGAGGTTGATACAGTGGGTGTGAGTTGGCTTCCAACGCCCAGTCTACACAGTTCAACATTGGTACGACTCTTGCACTATTTTATGCATGACCTCTTCACTCAAGCCATCTTTTCATCAATCCGAGTTTCCGCCTTTGTACTGAGTTTTGTTTGGTCTACGGGATTCATCGAGGGCTGTTAGCTTTGCTTTGAGGAAATCAGTAGTTCATATGTTGGTGAAATGGTGTCAGATCACGACTATCACTTCAATCAATACTCAGGTCCAGGGTGTTTCGGCAGTGTACAGTGTGACCCACTTGAAACAGCTGCCATTAACACCTAAAAGCACTAGATCCAGCCAGACCCTGAAACTGATAATACTGCTTCAACATCAGCTGTGATACCGTGTTCTTGCTGAAAAATATCCCAGATACTTAAGGAATTCTATGTCTTCTGAATTTTCTTGTGAGCAACTTACTCACAATTAAACCCAAAATTGAAGGTTCCGGCGGGTTTTCCCTTCACCCCGCGAAGTGGGGCAGCAGTGCAAGGTCACTGCCGTAACAGGCAGACGGGGCAGGTGACAGCCCACAGGCAGCGATAAGCCCCGCCACTTATCGGAGCTAAGGTACTTACAATGCCTGCATTCACCTTCCGGACTTCCCAACACCTCGTACCTTCATCTGTGTTGCCTTTAACTTTTATCTTTCAACCTTTCTCTCGAACCAAAAGGGTACCCCCTCTTGGACAGGGCTGCTCTTTGTTTCGTCGTTAACCTCGCACAACTTTCGAGTTTGCCCTGCTGACATCTGAAGAAGTGGGCCATCGCAGGTATATGAGACAGTGTGTACCGCAAACCATCAAGAGCATCACCACACAATATCATCTTCACTCGAGAATCTGCATATTTTCTTTCTCGGTATCAACAAGTAATCAAAATGGCGGTACCCGAGTATCGTGATGAAGGTAAGACAATACCCAAACAACAGAATAATCATACTCCCTGAACCTTGATGATCACTAACATTCATAGTCTCCATCACACTCTCGATCGCCGACCCCCCGCCTAGCTTCTCATTTCCAACTCGTCGCATCTTTCTCAGTAAAAAGAATCCGACCATTGAAATCGGCCGAACGAGCAAAAGAAATGGAGCCTTTGAAGCTGCCAAGAGCAATGCTTGGTTCGATTCACCAGTCATGTCTCGAAAACATGCACTCTTCACCCTTGACGCCGACAAACAGGTAAAGTTTATGGAGACAAAACTCTCTAGTAACTTTGTGTTAACTTTTCATCTAGAAACTTTATGTCAAAGACACGGGTTCTCTTCATGGGACCTATAAAAACGACGTTCGCCTCGAAACGAACGTGAATCATGAAGTGGCCAGTGGTGACAAGCTCAAATTTGGTGCTTTCATTGAACGACCCCAGGATAAACATTACCCTTGCGCCATGATAGTCCGTCAGACGTACGGGTCCATCAAGTATGTCATCTTTCAATATCTTATATCCCTTTGCTAATTATCTTAGCCCCGACCTGCGCGGCAATAGCTTCCGCGTTCCTGAGGATAGCGATATCGAATCTCTAATCAGTGACGAAGACCAAGTGAACAATAGCTACGAGATGTTGCGCACAAACAAATTTGTCCCTGCCAGAATGGCTAATTCATCTTTTGGTCATGGTCCGATCGACTTGACAATAGATGATCATTGTCCTTTTTCCAATATTAGGGATGGAACTGAGGCTTTCGACAACTCTCCTCACATTCTAGAGATACCTTCCCCAAAGCTGCCAGAACCTGTTTCTGCCTCGGGCCACGAGTTCTCCGATCTGGAGGAAGAGCCTGAAGAAGGGGAAAACGACTTGTCACCAAACTCTATGGACACAGACGACTCTTACGGTGGCATTTCAGAAGATTGCCAGAGTATCGACTATGCAATGTCATCCGCTGCAGGGGACTCCATTGTCGATGAAGAAGAAGACTTTGCCGAACATGACGAGTTTGAAGAGGAGCAAGGTATGTTCATGGAGTACAGCGCCCTGGACTATTTTGACCATTTTCCAGTCCACACTCAGGAACCTGCCCCTCAAGGGAACGGTCACTTTGAAGAGGCTACTATCATGGCATCTGTAATGAGCGAGAAACCCGAAAAGACCCCTGCGCAGCCCTTGGCCAAATCTATGAGCACTCAAACCCGGGATGTCCCTCAGCAACTCGATAGTGCCAACCTCATCCAGTTGGACAAGAGCCACTATACATGGAAATCAGATCTTGCTCCAATGATGTCGATTAATGGCACGTCGCCCCTGAAGCTTCCCCCAATTTCAGAAGCAGTCTTCGACACATACAACCATGAGATGATCACACACTCTACCGCTGAGGTTGTCGGCAGAAAACATGGAAAGTACGAGTTCTTTGCTGCTAGAGAAGCCAATGCTGCAGCTGCCCGCGCACAACCTCAACCTCGACCCATCGACCCCGTCCGTCGGGCACCAGCCCTGGAACACTGTCTCTTGCGGGCAGAGATGGAAAACAAAACCCAAGTGCAACCAGCAGATGAAGTCCAGCAGGCCACAGATGAAGTTCAACCTCGCGCTTCCGATTTGGTATCTTCTGGTCTTAGATATCTGGCAACGCCCCCTGAGCACGTCGAAACCACCACCACATCTGTGGAGCCAGAGTTGGACGACTCATCCGCCTGGGCTTTTCAAGAGAGCAAGAAGTCTTCTGGTATCGAAGTCACAAGCGAGACAACTGAGAAGGTGGTGGCCCAAGAGAATGACGTAGATGTTGTAGAGGACGGTGATGCCCAGCCGGCTGAAGCTTTAGAAGCAGCTGAACTGGTCAAACCAGTCAAAGCCGTGGAGCCAGCGAAACCGGTCGAAGCCGCAAAGGCAGCTGAACCTGTGACGATTCCGGCACCAGAATCCACTGCAACCAAGAGAAAGGCCGAAGAAATCTCTCAACTTACCACTGAAGAACAAATTTCTAACGACCGCCAATCTCGCCGACAGGCGCACCGCAGAAGCAGGATGCAGTCGACTGCAAGGCCTCGCCACACTGCAGCATTGGGACCCCCACCAACCAAGCGTCTTCGTCGTATGGCAGAAGCAGTCGGGTACGTCGCCCTTGGAGGAGCTGCTGTCATGTCGGTGCTTATTGCTACGGCGCCCGCTCTGTAATTTACAGACAGGACACGCCAGTACCTTATGAAATTTTATCGGAGTTTACGAATTCGGAATCAAGGACAGGGAGTCGGCTGTTTAGTTCAGTCAATCTTTTGCTTTTCCACTTGCTGGCTTGGGGAACGAAAGGCATGTTGTCAAGGGGTATTTTAGTTGCGTTTATATGAATCTACACGTTTCCTTCCACAACTAGCAAGCAGACCGTTCTCGCGTGAAGTATGATAAAATGCCATCCAGCAGAAATGTATTAAACTTGATCCCTTCTCGGGTTACCGCTTCTCTGCACCAAACGCCAGACCCATATTGCCCAAGTAAGCTTTCCAGGATTCCGCCCGTCATTGACAAATTCTCATTACTGTACGCTTCCATTCATCAAGCTTTCAAGCTCCCAAGGACTCAACGTACTTCTACGTCGCGATGCACTCTTGCTCATTCGGCGCTCACGGCGTCGTTTTTCGGGCTTCAGCTGATCATCAGCCGATACTGGGTCCCTCTTTACGGGATCGACATTCTCAAAATCATTTCTCTTTTCGGTTTCATTTGTGGATTCGGTAGCCTGGTCAGGCTGAGATGAAGTAATGGTTGGTTTCTTGACTCCACGAGTTCCACGGGCAGCTCGAAGTTTGGCTCGAACACGAGCAGCATCGGCCTCGCGCTCTGAAGCGGCCAATTTGGCGGCAATAGTCGCCATAGTGAGAGGACTTTGCTGAGGAGCGGGATCGATGTTTCGTGGGAGGGGGAGACGTGATGCTGTTCGACGAGGGGAACGGTTGGGTGAAGTTTGAGTCTCACTTTGGTCGTCGCTGCTGCGGTGGGAGCTTTGGTGTCGGGGAGTAGACATCTTCATCTCGTTAACCTGAGGAGCAGTTTCCGGTGACTTGACAAGGAGGACTTCATCAAGTGAGGAAGAAGACGACACGCGATCGCGAGGTTCTTGATCATATCTGACAGGAATAGAGCCTCCTTCTGTAGCAAGATCCCATGTGTTTTCCTCGACGATTGTAGTGAAATCTCCCTTGCCATGTCTGCGTGGTTGAGAGCCTCGGTTTCCAGCGGATGCAGAATCTTTCAAGGGGCTGAGCTGGGGAGGCTCTGGTAGTGGCGATGAGTCTGGGTCTGGGTGGTAGAGGGGAGCTGCTGTGGACTGTTGAAGAATTTGCACATTAGGCTCCTCAACGTCATAGTCGTCGATTGGTATGTTTTCGTCGTAGTCGGATTCGATATCACTTTCCCGGTCAACTTCATCCTCAGGCTCTGACTCCGGGACGAGTTGTACGCGAGGGGAACAGCGCGAAGGGCATGGCGAGTCGATAACATCCATCTCATCCTCGGACTCCTCAGCAACAGCTGAAAGTCTGAGAGCAGATGCGTGCCTTGTCTCCTCTACATCTCGTACCCTTACCGGACTAAGACGCAGGCCCATCTGAAGTTCTTCGTCGCAAATCGGCCGTCCATTAGCAGCCATACGCTTCCGCCAGCCATCAATCAGATGAACTGCCTCAGTCCAGCGACTTTCCATCTTGACCCAACCGTCCTTGAGACGGCTGATTTCCTCTTCTCGAACCATGACCTCCTCAATTGGCACGAACGAGGGGTTCGTTAGGATAGTTCGCATGTGTTCTAGCACAGAGTCCAGCTCCGAAGCCATATCCTGCCACCCTTGCTGCTGAATAACAAGGTTATCCTGGTTCTCATTGTTCCACCCACTCATGTCCCGCAGTTGCTGCATCGTCTTGCGCATTATGGAAAGAATAGCTTCGTTTTCTTCACTAAGATTTTGAGCCAGGTTGGCCAAGAATGCATTTGTTTCGTTGCGCAGATCATAATCATCTGCTGCTGTGGTGCCTCCGCGACCTGTCGACTTTTCCTCGCCAACATCGCCTGTGACGATGATTGAGGTGACGCCGGGGTTTGCTCGGGATCCTCGTGCCCGTCCAGCTTCGGCGAGCTGTTTCTTTAAGGTATCGATTTGGCGGTCTCGTCTACGGACGTCTGTTGCGCATGCAGCTCGTGCCTGGGCGACCAGTCCTTTTGTGCGGGCGACTTCTTCCTTTAAACCGCGTATGGCGGCGTCTGCCGACTTCATTTGTGTTTTGAGAGCAGCCTCTGAAGCTTCTGCAATGTCTAGCTTCCTCTTTGCCTCGGTGTGTTTCTCTGTGAGTCGCGCGATGTCGTTGGTATGTTTGAGGTTATCGGCGCGTAGGGTGCGCATGGTGGTTGAGAGAGATTCGCGATGTTCTGCATCACGCTGTGACTGTTAGTTGTATCAAGACATATGAGAGCTAACGTACATCCCGTCGGAGTATTAGATCGTTTAAGACGCTCACGATCCGTCCCATCGTAGCTCCAGATTCATCGCCATTGAAGGCCGTGCCGGCGAAATCAATACTCTGGCCATCGCGAAGTAAACCTCTAGATAGAAGCTGATTGTTGATATACAGCGATGCTGTACGAAGATTATCGGTATCGATCATTGTGATAGGTGAGCGAGTCCAAAGTTGATACACATATCCTCGATTCTTGAAGAGATTGACTTTTTCTCATCAATTTCCTGCGCAAAGGTACTAGTACTATCCCTCCTGTATAAGTGTACAAGCTTGTGGTCCCTTTAATTGTTTTGGTGGGGAGAGCTGGTTGCTATGTGGGGGAGCAAAGTAAACAATGCGTCCGCCAATGAGATCCCTGTAAAAGTGAGGCGGGCCTGAATGAGAGACCAGCCAGGGTCATCCTTTTGACAAGACAGCGCTCGACAGGTGGCAATGCAGATGATCAAGTTTTTTTTTCTGTTTTTAGTTGAAAAGTGAGGGTTTTGGAGTTTGCTGGTGAGGGTCGTTGTCTGGGTCGACAGTCCCACCTGTTAAACTAGAAAGCCTCGACGAGGATGCTGATGGGCCGAAATTGGGCATGTTTACAGCGTACAGCCTAATCAAGGTATGGATGAGGGGAAAGATGTGGTCGAAAAATGGCCAAATGTCATAGCAATGGTGTTGTGCATTGTTTCCATGGACAACTTGACATTGAAGCAGACATAGGTAGCTGCTGGCATAACATGCACTGTCAACTCAAAATCTTAGTCTGAAACTTGGTCGAGCTCTGAAGCCGCACTGATTCTATATTTTCTATCTCCTCTTTCTGACAAGGTCCTCCCCGCCTTGATAGCTTCTTGGTCGAGGCGAGACAGAGTTAAAACGTGGTAGAAACCAAAGGCCCGAATGTTGCCTCGTGGCAAAATTTGCATCTCCTCCTGGACCCTTATCAGACTTAAGGGTGTTGATCCGAGCGGCGATGGCGGGATGTGTTGAGTCGCAATGGTCAGAATACGAGAAGCCAGAATGACTCGGGTATAAGTTGCGCGTCAACATGGATATCTTTGAAACAGTACCCTTGTGTAGACCGAGCTTGACATGCTCTAGAAACAGCTACGCTTGTCAGTGAGGTTCACGGATAGAGTCTGACAGAATATGGAACAATGTCTTTGTCTCAGACAAATTTGAGAAGATTGTAACGCGGTTGTTTTCGGCACCCAGATGGGAGACCAAAGGCCTCGCTACCCCATCATGTTCGATGGCCCCGCGACGTCATCATAAAGACAAAAAAAGGAACACCATCATGACTTACATGAACCGTAGCTTTACCAAGCGTCTCATGTCTCTGGTCGGAATTTGCCCCTCTTTTCCCGCATCGCTTCCACCTTTCTCTTATCCTCTTGGAATCTCTTCATCAAAGCCATCTGCTCCGCCTTGCGTCGCTCTCTCATTTGGAAGCGGTAGAAGTCCTTGGTTTCAGACTTCTTCTTGGTATCCCTCTCGATCATTCTGCGCTTGGCTTCCTCGGCCTCGTTTCGGCTGGCGGGAGCGGCCCGTCCACCGCGAGTCACTGTGACGAAACCATCCTCGTCTGGCTCATTGCGCAGTCGCTTAGCCAGCTCGATAGCCTCCTTCTCCTTGCGGTTGAATGCAGTGAAGAAGGCGTGGACGGCCTTTTGGGTGGCTGGCTTGTCGACACGCGAAAGTTGCAGATGCGATGCGATCCATGATGAGCCGAGGGAGGGCACGTCGTCGGAGAGATCGCTACCCCATGTAGGATACTTTTTACTCTTCTGTAGCTTTGCGATAGCCTTGAGGACTAGTTGCACACTCTTCTCGTCTGCGAGAAGCACAATTGCTGTGCTGCTGCTGCGTTGCACGCGCCGCGACCAGATCTGCGGTAATTGCGCAGCTTCCTCTTCTCGCTCCCGCTCTTCTGCCTCGACGTCGCCGCGTTTTCTCTTTTTCGCAAAGCCTGCAACTTTTGTGGCTTGCGCAGGATCAATAGGTAGCAGCGTCCGTGATTCGTCTTCGAAGGTAATACCCTCAAAGCGCCCAGCGCCTACAAGTTGTGTAAAGACAGCGCGAAAGTGAGGTTCTGTACTGTCTGCGGGAATGTTCTTGAGGAATAGACTTCGTGAATCGTTGGCGGTAGGTATCTTGGGCGCATTTTTTCGTATACGAACTTCGTGAATGGCGGTCTCTGGGTATGACGGTGTGGCGGGGATCTTTATTGAGAGGACGGAGAACTGGTCTCCGGTTTCTTCGACGGGAGACATCTTGATCAATGCGGTTGATGAGCAACTGGAGTTTGAACTCGTTTTCCCTGCGCCTTGAGAAGCAATCAAGAAAAAAAGTTTGGCCCCACATCAGATTAAGACAGTATTATCTGGGAAGTAATTCGCACAGTCCACTTACACGAGAGAGAGGACAGAGGTCTCAGTCTCGAAAGTGCGCTCCAAGAAAACTTCAAAAGTTGACAAAGGATGCCAAAATAAACTCATCAAAGGACCCCTCGGCTTTTGATAAATTACCTAAGTCTTGCTGTCACTTAGGATCGAGGCCCTAAGTTTTGTTGCCTTCCCTAGAATGCCTAAGCTATCAATAATTTATTGAAAATTCTCATAAGCTTGGAAACTATTATCATAACTCTAAGGATAAAGAGTCAGGCGCAGGTTAAGGTGTAGGAGGTTGCTTTAGTTAGAAGGGATTCCTCATTCCGATAGAAGAATGTTTGTATTTCTTATTCTTACATAGTAGTAGATATCGACTTATGCATTATATAATAGCTTCCTTCTCCTTACGTATTCTCTCCTTTAAATTCTTCCCACATGCTTATGAGTTACTAAAGCTCGAAGCAATGGGTGGCCGAGATCATGCCCTTATCAACACAGGCATTACGAAACACACTACATAACTTCGATCAAGTACCATTGTTGATAGCATGTCAAGTTGATGGCGGACGATAGCCTATTTTGTAAACTGTGTAAATTGGATTCTCTAATATACTTGATAAGCCTATCCCAGATGTCCCCAAAAAGAATAAATTAGACGACGTTAATCCAGATGGAATATGAGAATAAGCGTTGATGAGGGACCATTGACCAGAACTCGATAACCAGATTCAGACTCGAAGAGTCTACACGACTGATGAGTAGGCCGTTCATAGATGAGTGCAGAAGAAGAAAGTCCGTTCTGCTGGTTCTGAATGACTTGTTTGTTTGTGGTTCATATGAAGTTTATCCTTGAGTGTGCCTGTGAGGCAGAAGAACATTCTGCCATCTGCTTGTTTGTGGCCTTGTCTTGTTTGCAGTATTGTTTGCTAGACATTGGATGTGCCTGTGAGCAAGAGGGATATCCTGATAGCTGCTTGTTTGTGGTCTTGTTGACTTTTGTTGTTTATTCTTTCGAGATTCGTGCTGACGAGTAGAGGCTTGCCCCGTTTGTGCTCACCTGTGCACTCCGACTGAACAGTATCTCCTCCTCAGACGACAATCCTGGAATCATAGGCATATGGGCCATAGGATATTGCGACCTGGGCGATAACGAATGATGGTGTTGTATCGTGACTGGTGGTAAGGCTCAGTCTTGTAGAATAAAGAGCGATCACTCTATGTGACTATGTGTCGATCGTTTGAGTTCCCGACGTCATGTCTGGGCTGCAAATGAAGATGGTGATCGCTGTCCTTTGTCAGATCGTTGAGCAATTATTTGCTGAACGGTCGAAGCATCTCAAGTGCTGTTTGGTCTTCGGGGCCTTGGAGGTGGTGGCTGTCTAATAAATGATCGTGTCTTGTAAGCTGACTGTACAATGATATTGGAGGCAACGAAAGTCTGGTCGGATTGTGATTATGTAGTTCGCGGTTGCGATATGTGCGCGAGCTGTCCCTTAGTCCGGCGGTTGACAGCTGCTTCTTTGTACTCCATCCGTCGTACGGGAGTTGGCCTTCATAGTTTCGGTAACGTCGATGGCCTTTGAAATCCCGGTTGCTCGTAGTTCGTGGCCATCTTTTCTCATCGTCTGCATCTCCTCATCTTCCATCCTTAGTCCTCCTAATCATCAGACAGATGTCATCCTTCGTATATCCCCTCATCCTCCACCCTATGCCCTTCCATAAGCCTGTGGCTACAACCTCACCACCGTCACCCTTGGTGACCCTTCAACCCCACCCACAACCTGCCTCCGCCTTTCCCCGGCCATTTCGCATTTCATCCTTCTCTTTGCTGGATACTGTTTCCTTTCCACGCCCTTTTTCCCTTTGTTCTCATATCCCTTGATGGCCTTGTAGATATACTCCCAGTCTGACCTTGAAATTATCCTTGGGGTCCCTCGTACTGGGCTTCGCATTTTCTCTCTCAGTCTCATATTCATGATATCGATCCTGACCCAAATTTGTAAATTGACCCTGACGAATATTTGTCTCTGGGTCAAGCTTGCATCTGACCAGGTGCCTATATGTTATGTTGATCTGGGCATGATATTTATTGTGTAAAGCTCTGGTTCGGTCGTGCATGCGTCGTGATTGTATCTCGATGTTGTAATTCAGCTCAATCCAGATATGAATCTTCTCAATTTACTTGATTCTGATGTGATATAACCTCGAAGCTATATATCTTCTTAGTAAGCGTTATGTTATTCGCTCTTGACTTTTTGTGTCTTGACCTTAGATCTCGTCCAAGTTGTGTATTATCTCGATTCTGACTCTTATTTCATACAGGTTTTCGGTTAGATCTGCATTGTAATCCAGTCCGAGTCTGCATATATGTTGCCTCGTGCTTGTTGTATTGAGGTCGCTTACCGGGTTTGGTTCGCTTCGCTTTGCTTTATTTTCTTTTCGAGTCTGGCATCATGGTTGAGTCTTATGTTGAATCTGGGCTGTTTGTTGAGGTGATAAATCATCTGTCCTCATGATCGGTTTTGCTCTGGAGTATGTATCTTGCGTTGGTGTCGATTGTCGTGTTGAAAATACGTTTCGCTTCAAGCCCAACTTTCACCACGAATCATTATCTGACCTTTGACTTCAATGCCATATTGGCCTGATGTCTTTCTTTCTCTTTTTATTTATTTATTTATTTTCATCTCGAACTTGTGTCTTGTCTCAGAGTTGCATTCGATCGTGATTCCGTTGCGACGTCGCCTTCAGTTGTCTTGGCTGCGGCTTGTATTGTGTGTCGAGCTCGATTCATTCGCTTCGGTCGAGTCGGTTATTATCACGGAACCGCATTGACTCGAGTCTGGTGTGATATAGTACCAGCTTGTGTCACACTCCTAAGCGTTGCCAGGCATGGATACTTCTCCAGCTTATGTCTCGCCACGGTGTTGGTGGTTTCCTCGGCATTCGACGTGAGTTTGAATCAGTATCCGTGTTCCCTTCGGTCGATTGTTGTTCCCTCTCTATTGGCCTTCGTGCCGGTGTCTGTAATGTTCCATAGTGCGTTTGGCCTATAGCCCTTGGTATGGGTCTGGTGAGGTCTCGCAGTCATCTCGTTGAAGTCTTATGTTGACAAGGCTACGCCAATAGCTTGATACACACAAGGGCAGGCTCTTCGCTCGTCGCTTTCAGTTGTTGTTTCTGTTGGTCGCTTTTAGTTATCGTTTCTTGTTGTTGTTCCCAGTTGTCATCTCCAGTCGTTATTACTAGTCGCCATTTATGTTGATGTTCTCAGTTGATGTTCTCAGTTGATGTTCTCAGTTGATGTTCTCAATTGGAGTTCTCAGTTGGATTTTGAGTCGGGACCCTCATGTTGGTATTGCCTCCTCTATAAGATCATTTGCTGACTTTGCTGTTCCTCTGTCCTCCATATCGCTCTGAGTATACATCTGGCTAACTCAATGATATCTCTGGTCGAAAGATCGCTGATGTCATGAAAGCGTTCATTGCCAGGAGCAGTCGATGGCGGGCGGTACTTATGGCCAATCGTTGATAAACTGTGAGTAGACACAATACAAATCGTTCTTTATATGCTCTTGGTCTCGAATGAATCCGAACTTGATGCGCCGTCGATCAGCTTGGGCGAGTCCAAGGGCTGCATTGTTCAATCATATCACAACTAACAGGTATACACCTGCATCAACTTTGGTATGACCCTTTGAGATCACTATGAAGACTTCGCGAAGCTGTGTTTCTTGACGCATGGTTTATCCCGTTGGTCATTCGTTAGGATGATTCATGTTGAGATTCCATGTTATCGTTGCATTTCGTTTGATGTCCCGGAGTTGTCGACTGGCCGCACCCAGGTCATTCAAATCGGAATCAAGGAATTCGACAATCTCGTTTTCACGGGTCGACGGCCCATCATCCTCACCAACAACTGAAGCCTACCCAAAAACTTGGCTTTCCAGCTGCTGAAAGTCGACCTCATCGAGGTCTCCCATATCGAGGTCTGAAAATTCATCCTCGCTTGAAAGGGCGTAAGTAACACCAGCATCAGGAGACGCTTTAGGTGCACTACTGCCAACAGTCGCACTGGTTGCAGATGCCGCACGAAGCAGACTACTACCCCCAGACTGAACCCACGAAGAAAAGCCACCAGTGATGACCCTCTTTTGGTTCTTATCCTCAAGACTGCCGGAAAGCGAGCGACTGTAGTAGCTGTAGTGTCCTTGCCATGAAGAACCTTTCGCAGAGAAAAGCAAATACTTATATTGATATTTTTCCAGTGACTCCGCACTCGCATATAACCCCTATCAAGGATACAGCTGTAACGCAAGTCGTTTATTCTTGCCCAACTCAATGGGAGATTCTTTGCATAGATGGCGATCTCTCTTTCCACTTCGAGGGACGGATATCGTTCCCTTGCCAGTCGCGCCATGGCTAATTAACGTGGACAAGGAACTGCCAGCAGCATGTGACCATGGCATTTTGACCTATGCGATTAGTGATGAAAATCCCCTGCCTTTTGCTGTCAACTGACGTATCAACGAAATTGTCATGTCTGTAAAATGCGGTCGTTGCCTGGCGCCAAGGCCTCGTCTGTCACCGCTGTTCGACTCAATCGAACTCGATATGCGTTGCCACCATCAGTGTTGAGTGATCGAACAGATAAGGCGCCAACCCTTACCAATGCCTGAGCATTTCTGGCGCCATCAGGCGCTCTCTTGTTGCATTTCGACTTGCGGCACTATTCGCCCTCGTGTGGAGAGTCATAGTGTCGCTTTTTGTGTGTACTACTCTTGTGTCCTATCAAGTTGCGGCACCGGATTCTGCACAGAGGGATCCCAAGTCGACGGTCAAATGGGGTATGCCACTTTCTCTTGCATTTTCTTTTCCTGCGACATGATGATAAGTGATCTGTCATGACATGACGTAGAGCACATCTCAAGTCTCGCAAAAGTCAAAATGACAAACGAATGGGCAGAAAATAAAGGAACGAACGTTACTAGTCGAGCCGGGATATAAAGTCGACCAAGGCAGCGATAGAATTGGCAGTATGGTATCCATATGCTCTTCCTTGTGCCATCTACCATGATGACAGCCTGTTACACGACGAGGGACGTGCTCGACAAGATGCGTACATATTGCTGTGTAAGTCATGTGACGGATCATTCTGAGATGTGCCTTGCGGCGATCCAATTGCTGGATATCGTGCCTGCAGCTTGCATATCACATGTTTCCTCCTCGTGGGTCGTGCCGATTCGTCCTTGGATATTCAAGGACGTCAACCAATGCCGAGAAGGTCAAGTTCATGCGATTAAATCTTCCGAGGCAAGTGCTACAGATATTCCTCTTCTACTATTTGCACTTGAGAATGTGCGCTACGGAAGGTGGGATGGGAGTTTACCGTCACATGTGAAACTTGCGAAAGTTGCGGAGGACGCAGTGAAAGCATATCTATTATCTAACATAAAGTACAACATTTGCGCCTACCGACCTTATCTCGCATACCCATCATCAACTGTAGATGGAGTACCCAGCTCAGTCGTAGATTAAGTGCTGATCGTTTCCACCTGCGATAAGCAGAAAGGACCACCAAACGGATCCAGCATCACAGAAGTAGGCTACGAGGCAAATCAAGGAACTCATCGCGAACTGTACGACACTTAGTATGCATGCCAGTTAAGCTACTGTAGCAATAACATTCGGCCACCGAAACGAATACGCGGTACTGGAAAGCACCTGCCCCAAATATTTGGGTTGTAACTTATTGGTTACCGGCGGAAGACCATCCGGGGTAGTCACGTGGCTGTGCCCCACGTGTTGCAAATAAGCTTAAATTCGACAACATACCATTTTCCAACAGCCACCATCATTGCAATTCAGTTTGCGTCCCTCATCTTTTGGTCAAATTAGCATGTTGACCACTTATTCTGGCCGTTGCACAAAGGGCGACACCTCGAAACTTACCTGCAACTTGAAAAAGGATGGTCCTACCCACTTACAATCACGGGCCTGACAAAAGCAAAATATAGGCTCAGGATATTTTACTGATCGTTTGTCATTACTGTCCTTCAGGACTAGTTATCATGCTATCTATATAATCAATAGTTTCCCATACCGTCGCGCCGTAAACCATGAGACGGAAACCGTCCGACTAAAATGAACTTCTAAAACACGCTCTAAGCCATGGAAAATTGAAGCAAAACCTTTGTGACACGGTAAGGGTCAGCGTTAGAAGCCGGGCGACGGTCTTCAAAGTAGCCATAGCCCTTGGCAGCGGTTTCGCGTGGCACGCGGATGCTTGTTCCGCGGTTGGCGACGCCCCAAGAGAAACTATCGATCGATCCGGTCTCATGGCGACCGGTTAACCGCAGTTCGTTGTCCTCGCCGTATTCGGCGATACACTCGACGTGGTGAGGCTCCAGCTTCTTCAGAGCTTCCTCAATAACCTTCATACCTCCCTCTTCGCGCATGGCCTTGGTAGAGAAGTTGGAGTGAAGACCCTGTGAGATATTAGCACATTGAAACATCCAAGAAAGAAGGTGACTTGCCGCCCCGTTCCAATCTCCAGCAATGGGTTTGGGGTGCAGGGAGACCTTCGCACCGAATTCCTCGGCGACGCGATGCAAAAAGAATCGTGAAACCCAAAGTTGGTCACCCACTATCGAAATTTGGTGGTTAGTGATATACGGAGTTTTGTGGGGACATGCCAAGGTTTAACCGAGCCGCCCCACATGGAGAAGAATAAACATACTCTCAATGCCGGTGCAGGGACCGACCTGATACTCCCATTGAGCAGGCATGACCTCGGCGTTGGTGCCGGAAATCTTGATGCCGGCATCTACGATCTTGTTAGACATGAATCGTAAACAGTGATCATGGAATGGCTATGATAACGAGACTTTATGTCTTGATAGAGCACATTCACAGAACTCCACTTACACAAGCAAGCCTTATAATGAGCCTCAACAATATCGCGCTGGACAACCTTGCCAGTACCGACACCGCAGTAATACTCGCCTTGGCTGCGACATTGTCAATTAATGCACAAGAGATGCAGACGTGAACTTACGGAGCAGGGAAGCCACCAGCGGGCCAGCCGTAAGGTCGGTTGTCAGAGCCTAGGAGGGTGTACTCCTGCTCTAGACCAAACCAAGGCTCGTCGTCGGCATATGTGTCCATAACCTTCACGCAGTCGTGACGGAAGTTGTACTTGTTGGGAGTGCCATCGGCATTCCAGCACTCAGCAAGAACGATGATGTTGGGAGAGCCGCGGAAGGGATCGGGGTAGACTGCGCAGGGACGGAGGTAGACATCTGAGTTGTCGCCGGGGGCCTGGTTGGTAGAAGAACCATCGAAATTCCACACGGGAAGATCCTCAGGCTTGTATTCCTTCTCGGGGAGTGTCTGCGACTTGTAAGTTGATGTTCGAGTTTCATATAGCTCCTGCTCCCTTGCTCCTTCCTCCTGTCATCAGAAACGTGAGCCCGATAGATCGGTGCGCCACGCATCCCCGCATCTTGGAGAATAAGCTTAATCACTATTTTAATGCTCATTCCACAAGGCAGGCGTAACACCGCTTCCGAGGCTCAAGTCGACACCGCCAGACTATAGGCCGGCCCATGGCCGGCCTCGCCGTTTCGGATCGGAAGAGGAAGAGTGGGTCCGAGATGTAGAATCGGTAGATTGGACTTACGCGAGACTTGGATCGTGTACCGCCTTCGGCGTCGACCCAGACGTACTCAGCCATGATCATGCCCTTCTGATCGAGCTTGAGGAACTTCTGGAGAGTTTCCGTCCTTGAGGTGATAGGAGCAGCCTATGGGACATATTGTTAGTGGTTGTGCTGATAAGCAGCTTGCCATAACGAGTACGAACCATTGTGAATGTGGTTTGCTGTGGAGGACCAGGCGAATTCTAGATATCAAGAAAATATGAAAAGGAGATACAAATGTATCAAACAATCAAACGGATATGTGTAGGATGACCGAAAAACAAAACTTTGGGAGGTCGGGGCGTCGCGGGTTTTATGTTTACGGATTCGATCCGTCTTCTGAAGAAAGGTTGACGCTCTCGCCCGCCAAAAGATAAGGATTCCCTGTGGCCGGATGCAGGGGCGTGGCTGTTACCGGCTTTCAGAGTGGGGTTAAATGTATTCCGTCACAATCCTCGATTGGCGCTCGGCAAGGTCACTTTGAGGAGGGGGGGCGTAGTTTTAACCAACGGACACCACACACACAGGGGAGATACTTGATTTCAACACAGATCATCTTTTTCTACAGCACGTATTCGTCACCAAACGACGATGTCTACCGCAACTGACTCCCTGTACACATTGATTGAACTCTTGCCACGCTACTCAGACACAACTCAAGAGGGAGCAGTAGCTTCATTGAGTGGGTCGTTATTCAATCATTTCATAGCCATCCCAGCTCGTGAATGCTTCTCCGGCAGCCGGCTCATTATCGACAATGCCTCCTTCAGTGGGTGGTATCACTGTCGTAGCGAAACTTTCAGAGCACTGCCGCCTCACAGTAGTGCTGAATACAGTATGACATAACAAGGCGGCTTCGGCGGAGACGGTGTGGGTGCAAGGTACTCATGCTTTTTTTTGACACAGCCGCTCGGCGGGTATCCCCAGCGGCATAAGGCGGTGCCTTTCGTCGTCCTATCTAATCATCACCGGGCCGGCGAGGTTTGCTCGCTGGTTCAGATGACAATTCGGCTCAGTGCCGGCTCAACCTGTTCATTGACAATTAGTTATCTGAAAATAGGCGGATATGAAGGGCTTTGCTCCGCTTACGGAGCCTCGACTCCATTGAGGAAATGCGGCCCAGTGTACCGCAATTAATTGACCCAAAGTCTTATCGCAACAATGACCCATTAACACGTTAAAAGTAGAGTTAATTGCGCGTGTGGTTGTGCGTATGTGGTGCAGCGTGCCCGGATAAGGCATAGTGGGGGTTAGACAAGTGAGAACCATATGCTCCCAGCTTTGGGGATTCAGACCAATTGCATATCCTGCATTCAAAAGCTTCGTGCAGCAATATCTTTCGTCGCTAAGTGAGTCAGTTATATTCGCAAACCATAGATAAGAAGACATCCCGACGCGCCTCCGTCTTCTTCCCCAGGAAATCGAACCCCCAAAGTTCCCTCCCACTCTCAAGCAGAGGCTATCTGATGGTACCCGCGCCTTTCGTGGGCAAAGATTCTGGGGTTGGGTGGGACGGGTGCAATCCTTGTAGCCTGGCGTCTGGCCCACATTCGCACATGCTACAGAACACAAGCAACAAGGTGCACACAGGGCATGTCAGAAATAACTCCAGGACCAAACTGCGCCCTGAGCCCTTCTGATGTGAGCCATGGATGCCCCGAAAATTCTCCATGCCCAGGACCCAGGCCCAGCTATTTTGAGAGCCGCTTAAAGCCTGGTGCTTGTGACTCTCCAGAAAGTCCGACAGCCTCGGTGGTTCCGGTTTGTCCCTGATCTGTTACCAAATCGTTTCTTGAGCCCCAGGCGAACCATACTCATTTTAGTAAGAGGGCCCTGTTTCTTTGTTCAACTTATCCAACCATGGGCAGCAACGCCTAGGCGGGAGTGCAGTTCCTTCTACCACTGCTTCTTTTTTGGGGTTCATTCTAAGCGCTGCCCGGCGACGAGTCGGTGTCTCTCCAAGCACGCCCAGCCTTGTCACCAACGCCACCCCAAAAAAAGAATACCGTACCCAACGAACCAAAGCCACACACCCGAGATGGACAGTAACTTGCAGGTTCTTATCATTGAGTCGTGATTGGCTCAGGGCATGTTCTGCATAATGCCTGTTATCTCACGTTGGGCTTCGACAGACGGCTTCAAACCCGTTTCAGATATCTTAGTCTCTGGTTGGCTACTTTCACCACTTACCGAACTGTAAATCGCTCATGAATTCCGATTTTCAGGTCCTCTTCCATTTCCCCAGACCGTACGAAATTGCAATGTAGTTTTCGGGACACTCCAGACTTTCAGGCACTTCTCCAGGTCTGCCCTGTCCTGGATTGGGAGGCTGTGGTCTCCGGCTTCGGGGATACGCGATGAGTTGTATGATTGAATTGCTGGGGTTTTGCCGTCAATTATTAGCATCGGTCCGGTCGTGTCACTCGATTTTGCTCACCTCTTCTTCCATTTCTCCCTGGATAAATCATAATTGATCTAGAACTGGAGGGACTCCATTCTGCCGGGTGTCAGGGTTCAATTATTCCCGAGCTGAATCCGACTGGCTGCAACAAACGGTTCTTGTCAGTGGGCTCACACGCACGAGACCATGAGAAAAGATAGAGCCCCTGACGATGCCAGGGGTAATGCATGTTCCGACAACTTAATTGACATGCTCTCAAGTAAATGTATGGTAATGATAAGGCAGGCCAAGAAGAAGAATAACACCAAAAGGATTAGGGCGCGTTTGAGTCAGTCTTTTCAGGAGAAGAAATGCATGTTCAGAAAATTTCTTCTTCTGAGGCTCGTGTGAGCTGCCGGTCAGGAAGCAGAGTTACGCAGATCGTTTCCTCTCTGTGAGTGGAAGAATACTATCTCGGAGCAAGTGCTCGAAACTTTGGTTTGGCAACTGCGCTATGGGACAAAGTTGCACCTCCCGTGTCTTTCTTAAACTAAAGTTATCCTAAAATTTATCATAGTCTTCTACAGTATTACTGCCTTTTCAAAACTTATCATAAACTCTTCATAAATCTCTTTTGCCTTAGAATAGCAGAATGGCTGCTCAAAGAGGCAATGCTCCTACTCAGTGTCCCACACTGCTGAGATGGAGATCTGCCGCCCCCCGCAATCCCCATTTTGATTCACTACAAGATTGCCAGACCAATCAGACTCAAGCTTGAGACTATTACGCATTTAAATGAGCAACAGGAACTGATCCGATTCTGGGCTTACCCCAGGTTTCAGTCGATATCTTGCTATCTCTGGAAGAGAAAGAGCAATTAATCTCGATCACTAAAGGCCTCATGTCTATTGGATCGCCAGAAGGGGGATGTGAAATGTTTGGCTCTTCTCGCTCCCACCCTCCCGTCCTCCGAGATCTGGAGAATTGGGTGATGGAATCACGTCCAGATAACTCGTTGCGCGAATGAGGTTGAGTCTAATTGTTGAGATACCGTGCCGGCTTTTGAAATCAAATTCTGCCGGTTTCGCATTGGACTCAAAGTTTACCCACCTCGGAGTCAACTCCGGGTTTGGCGTCCCGAGATGCTGCGATTCACGCCGAGACCCGGCGGGGGGATTGACGGGGGGTGACGGACTTTCACCGGGGGTTGGCCGTGCCAAGCTGGAGGCACTCAGCATGTGAGTGCGTCTTGACGCACTTCAACACCATTCAGTGGCGACGGATAATGGTGGTTTAAATCTCGTGATGGACCAAAGGGCACCAGAAGGGAAAGCGAGTTGCTTTTTACATCACTTTATTCTCATTGGTCTTGGCAGGAAGGGGCCATGGTCAAGAATTGCCCTTGACCCTCAAAATGACGTCGCTAACTTGTGTTTCTACACACCCATGACGCTCTGTATGGGCACGTCCCAGTACCAGCTGGCTACTGCCATGCCGCCAACGCTCATCGTAACTGCCATGAGGAAATTGACATCATTGTTGTCCAGAAGATCCCACCCGTTTTCAATGGCCCGCGACGGTCGCTGATCTCCAAAACTTGACTTGCGGTGCTTGTCTTTATGATCGTAGACACCAGCATGAGCATCGTCATCGTCCACAATAGCGGAACCACCAAGCTTCTCTTTTGCCTCGCTCTGCATCGCCTCGGTTTTGACATTCGAATGAGCGGCCGCGTCCGTGGCAGATTCGGCTACTAGGACGCGGTTGCCGCCTTCTCCCTCGACAATCTTACCGGACCGTACGTCCCTGACTGACCGTTGGAATAGGCCACCCAAGAAACTATCCAAGACACTGCCAAGAGCACCCCAGATCACCATGAACCCCATGAACTTGCGTCGCTCCAGCATCGTCCATGGGGCGCCGCCTGCGGGCGTCCGAGATGACTCCTCACTGCAGGACGGTAGGAATATCATGGATGCGGTGACAATAATCATTGACCCCAGCAAACCTGCACCCAAACCCAGCAAGGTGACACCACCGTTTGTTCCGCGAGGCACCTTTCGGAGTGTTGGTGATGTGATCAGTCGAGGTTGTCCTGAAGACAGGATACCAAGCTCGGAGCTGAAGGTATCGGCTGCGACGGCCGCATAATTGGCAATGATTCCAACGACCAGGAGGTCACCGCCCCATGAAAAGCATAGTGATCCCGTGGGATCCGGAGTATTAGGATCGGCGAATGCGGCTTCTCGTTTTCGTAGTTGGTTCGCGTGGAGGACGGAGAGGACAGAGGCCATCAAACTGTTGGCGAGGACTTGACAGATCAGTCAATTGATTCAGGAGTTGCTTCAAGTGCTTACCTTGAACATGTGTTCTAGGCCCTTCTCCTCCAGATGTACCCTTTGAACGAAGCGTATAGTTGGCCTTGATGCCTTCTTTGATCTGAGGCGTCGTCAGACCTCTCCCTTGTCCGTGTAGCGGGCGCAAGTACTTACGTGTGTTACGCGTGTTCCGGCAAGGAAAAATACGCATAGGAGTGCAAATGGAAGATTCCATGGGTGATAGGCGTGTGCGGCAGCTGTCAGAGTCGCAGCGAAGATGCCAGCGGGCGTTAAAGAATTCCTGCTCTTGGCGCGGTAGATGAGCGCGCAAGTTGCGGGGAGAGCATATAGCAATCTCATGGCTGGTGGACTTAAGCACTTAGAATACTGAAGTTTCAGGGCGCAAAAAGTGAGCTGAGGTTTGTCGTTGTCGAGCTTTCTTGTGGTTAATGCAAGCAAGAGCTAGCCGATTTGGCATCAAGCTCCCCTCGTCAGCTGACGTCAGCGATAATGGCGTAGGAGACATACAGCCACGTGTGAGAGCTTGAGGAAGAACGTCGCTCGACAATAATGAAATTGTCCGGCTTTGGAATAGAAGACGGGATGTCGTGTTTTATAGTCTAGAATTTCCAGGTTGCCCATCCAAGCGGTCTCTTATCGACTTCTCGACCACTACTTCTTTGTAATAGCCTCCATTACTAGTATATTATTCCCGGCCCCTCCCTTTGCAGAAATAAATGATGCGCTGGGTTTGCACCCGAGTCTTAAATCGGCAGCGAAGAATTGGGCGGAGGCCAGGTTATCTTATAAAGATACATGAAGATCGAGTTCTAATCAGGCACTCGAGTAAAGCTTCATGCCAAAAGAGCCTACCCTGAAACTCGGAGTTCTTATCTGAGTGAAAAGCATAGGGATAGAGCATGATACGGGATTACTACCTATCATACAGGCCTGACTTTTTAGTATAATTCAAGGTGACTCTGATATCATCAGCCTCTTACAGGTCATCGTTTTTTGAGTTGATTTCTTATCCAACTCTTTTGCGCAACGAAATATTCAGCGGGGCCTCCACTTTTCCGGTCCGAGATCCCCGGACTGGCCGGATCCCAAGCCGAATAGTATTAAATTAGCTTGTGTAGGAGCTACATATTCTTTTAAGATTAATTTTAAAGCATCTGCAAATGATTGTAATAGACCATAGTATCCCACTGCGTTAGGACCTAGTCTTCTTTGCATACTTGCCATAGTTTTTCTTTCCGCAACAGTCACATAAGCTACCACTAATAAAGCAGGCAGATCAAACACATATACCTTTACACAAGTATGGATCAACATGACAAGACGACATTTTATCATACAGAGGAGAAGAAAGATCATACAAGTATCCCCAGTATTGACCTAGATATTTATTTTGAGTCTTTGGGCTATAATTCTAGATCAGCTCGAACTACAAACTTTTTGTTAAATTTAATTCTAATGATAAGTATGTATGTTAACTCTTTTGACCACAAGCACCTATTGATGGAGCATCTTCTGCGTAAGGATGATATAGAATATGTTTATGGCTTCTTAATTGGCACAGCCACGAAAGTATGATGATGAACTCTAGTAAGCGATAACTGTTTATCATGTACGAAAGGTTAGATGAAACTATATGTATGATACACAGGCTCTTCTGGCGCCCCTATCAAAGTTTCGAGTTTCCTCCCCAACACTTGATTAAAATATATACATAGTAAAACACTGATCCAGCGCACGCAATGCTCAACAAGCAAACATCGATGCCGCCAGCGGCGAGTTCCAATTTTAGAGTCTGCCAATAACCAAATAACACGCTTCATTCTGTTTTGTCCGTTATCATCATAATTGCATTCAGCCAACATCGAAACTGGTATCCTACAAATATTACTCAGGTCTCATCCATATCTAGTGTTTGGAAAGACATGTATGGCGCCCCTTCGCCACTTGTGGGTGGCCAAGCCCACTGACTATGTTGAAGAGAGACTGGACCCGCGGCCTCGAAATTCATCATAGGGGGTGCTTGCGAATACCACATGTTCTGCATGGGAGTTCCATCCTGAATCCCTTGCTGAGCAATAGGGGGAGAGTTCATATTGGTAGACATTATCCCATGAGAAAAAGTCTCATTGACTGGCCATTTGTTCATCTCCTCAAACGGGGTGAACGAGTGAGTTGACACACTAGTAGAGGAGCCTGACGAAGATGGCATAGATGACGATACCCTCGAAGAAGCTTCAGCCTGAAAGGGCGATGGCATATCCACCAAGGCTTCATTATTCGCGATAAAGCCATTCGGAGGCCTGACATTGCTCTGAGGGGAGTGCGACATGGATCGCATAGAGTTCATGCTCGGCTCCAACAACCCAAGCGCGTTGGTAGTGCTATTACTGCCGAAAGCACGAGCACACGACTTGATCTGCTTCCGCACACTGCGCAAGGTTGTGCCTTGGTAAAATCGCTCGTCTTTGCTGATTGTGTACAAGGAGCTTGCCACAGAACAGAGACGATTATCCCACTCTGGACGGAAGTAGCTATGATCAAGACTAAGCCCTAGGTTATCCCGAAGGAGGTTGAAAGCTCGGGAACAAGTATCCAGGAGAGTACACAGAGCTTTAGAGAGGGGTTGCTGGAATGTTGAGGCTGAGTTTTGATTGAGTTGTCTGGTAGTTGGCGAAAAGGACTGTATGATTTGTTCTACAGAAGCGCAAAATTGATCAACAGTCTCAGCCGGGACCACCACTCGCTCGTAAAATGAGCCATTTTTGGGGAAGAGGAACTGAATGATCATGGTATGGTGAAACGCAACAAGTAGTTGCCACAATCTGTCATCATCTTGACCTTTTGCTTTCGGGTCATTTGTATTTGTACCAAAAGAGCGGATAGCTTCTTTACAGATACCGACGCCATGTTTCGATGCGGCTTGATCCGAGGTTTGGGAGAACAGGTATGAAACAGTGCTGACAACCTGGGCAAGAGGCCGCATTTCTCGGATGTTGCTCTTTTGCTTTTGCAAGGTGTTGAAGTTCTCAGAGACGAGGTCAAGCTGAATGGTAACCGATGAGGTTGAGGTCACGGGGAGAGATTCGAGGTCAAAGGTTGACGGTGTGGTTTTGGGCAAGACTCCTGCTTGGATGGAGGTCCAGATGTGAAGGGAATAGGTTGTCCACCAAAGATTGGAGACAACTTCTTTCTCGACATCAAGGACGTCAACTCCATTTATGCGGCTGGAGTTCGGCTGGGAGGCATCCTTCGACATACAATCCTTGATCTCGGTAACCAGCTTGCTTGCAACTTCGATATAACAGATCGCTCGGCGGAATTCGTGGGAAGATAGGGCGTTCCAGGCCAGCAACACCAAAGTCTGTGCTGTGGTGACCCCTTTATAAACTCTCGTAGGTACACCAGAGTATACAGCATCATTGTCCTCGGAAGGGTGATAGCAGGGCCGCATCTGTAGCTGAGTCTTGGCCCACTGCAGGAGTTCATGTCCACGAGCAACTGTCGAGTCCTCTCCGACGACGAAACTAGCATCGGCTAGCATCACAGCCATGAGGATTTCGTCACAGGTATCTTCGCGGATTTCTCGAAGCAGCAGTGTCTTGGAGATGAGAAATGTTAGGGGATGTGCGGAGAACCAGACGTCGATAAGCTGGTTCCGCTGTCGATGGCTAAAGGTAGACAAAGGGCTACAATATGCTGAAGGATTGTCGAACATGTTGGTAGAAGTATCGTTGGATAATCCAGACCGGATCAATTGGTTGCTTTCATTAGACTGAGGAGACCCCAAGTCGCTATATCTCTGGCCAACAGAAGCGACAAGGTCAAAGGCAATTAGGGGCAAAAGGCTAGTGAATCTGACCTCTGTGCTTTGCTGCTGCTGGGTCTTTCCTACTTCTCCAAAAATCAACTGGGAAAATTTGTCCTGAAACATCTGCTCAAGGGATGCAGCAAGGCTCTCAACACCATCTGCCAACGGGGCAAGATCTTCGTGGGTTCTGCCAGGAGACATAGAAGAGGCAGAATTGGCAGAGCACGATCTCCTTCTTTTGCTGTCGGGTAGTTCATGTTCACCTCGTACCTGTAGATGATTGCTGGCTTTTGTGCTGTCGAAACTCAAGTTCCGACCCTTTGGTCTTGGAGGCTCAAAGTCGTAAATGCAGTCGGCACCTTGCTTACGACAAGCCTCGCAAATAGTTTCGTTTGAGCACTTGATTTTTCTCGCCCGACAGAAAGCACACGATCGTCTCAAGGGATGTTTTGAACTCATCTTGCTCGATGAGTATAAATGTTGAAGGATCCGTTACCATATGTCAACAAATCTGGGGGCCAAAAGAAACTGGCAGCTCTGGGGAATTTGCCAAAAAAGGGATCTGATCTCGGTAGAAACGCCGAGCAGACGATCTTTGTATGAGGTTGAATGGCGCCGGCTGCCTGGGTTTAGTTTCGAATTAGAGGAGCCTCAACAGGAGCTAGACAAGCCCACACTGTAGGGTTTAGATCGGATCAACGCTCAGGGCCTCCAAGAAGGTTTCCCCTCTCATTGGTAGGTAATATTAGTAGTAGCCGAAAAGCTTGTCAAGCATCCATGTCAGAGGTCTGCATCATTTAGGGCTGATAGCCTCGACAGGGTGGGAGTGGCAGTGTTTGGGTCAAGTGAAGCACCACTCTGCTGGTAACTTGGAGGGAGAGACCTGACGTGAACTAACAGACAGAAAACATGTATTGGATGGACTGAACACGAAGCTAAAGATGGCACAGGCCGGAGGCAGTGTTGACAAGCGTCAGATGCTTATTCTTATTTTGAGGGTATCATCCTGAACAAGAACGTCAAACACGCTGTCAGACTCCCGGCAAGGCATCTCGGTGGATCCGATGTTATGGGCACGGCTTACATTGCATTATATACGAAAATTATCGATACGCGAAGCTTGGTCTTCCTGTTCTTCGTGTACCTCTCGTAAGTGAGACTGGGTTGCAACAACACGAAAACTTTACTGTGAATCGAAGAACAGGATCGTGATCTAGTTTATGCTCAATGCTAACTCTCTTGGATCATACTTAACTCATTCCAGAGAAGCCTATCGCATTGCCTGCCTATTACGGATCAGTTGAAAATAGTTCAATGTCTCGCAGCACGACTTAATTTAGACCCTCCGAACCCGTACGCAGTTCAAGAGCAAACACTGTACGGAAGAATGCGCCAAGCTGGGCTGCGACCTGATAAACTGCCATCAGAGCGGAGAAACACGACCAGTGATTGAATCCTCCGGCATTGATCTCACTCGGCATCTAGCACAGAGCAAGGATGACCTCAATGGGCGGTAAGGGGTCAAACGGTGCCGTTTCTTAGTCTTAGTGTGGCGCCGAGCCATTGGTTCTCGCATTGCTAGTTTAGTTGGGCTGAGTCTTACATGGCTTTCTCGTGGCTCTCTGCTTGTGACCAATGATGAGGTGGGAATCTGTGTCCCCATGTAATAGGATCCTCAGCTGAGTGATATGTTTGCTTTGTTTGTAGCATGGATGTTTTAATGAGATTATGACGGTTGAGTTCGGCGGTTCAACTCATTCATGTAGTGCAAGGGTTTGGCAGAAGAAATTCCATTCCTCAGCACACAATCATATTTCAGCATTAC